GTAGATGCACTGCCCTGCTATAGAATCGACGGCGAGAAATGAAGGCCTGCCAAATATCGATGGTGAACTTGAGTTCGCAAAACTGTTGCCTTCGGACCGACGAAACAGGGTTCGGTTGCCAGTGGCCACATTCACACGAAATGAACCTGGGGCTCACCGGAATGCTGTGAAGAAATCAGCAATGTTCAGAATGTAGCCTTAGGTAGCGGATGCACTTTGCAGTCAAATATGCCTCCGCAACGTCGCCTGGTTTGCAATCAACAGGACAACAGCTAGTGAGAATGGTTCTACCTGCTACCGGCCCTCTGGTACTGGCGCTGTCCATACGCTGACACTCTTTCCTAACCGAGTTTTCGAAACCTTTTCCCAGGACCGTCATGTACCTGAAGGGATTGCCAGGACTACGGTATTCTTTCCACTTGTCGATTGTAAGTGTACAAGCAGAGCTGTCAGTGCACCTGCACACCTTGCTGAGACTTTATCAACTGGAGTTAACCCTTCTGCATCAACAGGGCATATTAAAATGCGAAGGTTGAAAGCAACAGCTACAAACAGACATTACTCCAAGAACCAGCATTGCAGCATTCAAGATATGCCCAGGGGATGCCCAGCTGGTTTGGGAATCCTTGGAATGTGCTCCAGCTACGTCTAACTTCCTGCCTTCACTTTGCGTAAGAGAGCTCCTCGAGTGCAAAGAGCTCTACATCCACTCTTTTCGCTTGCAACTAGCTCGCAAAAGAACACTAGAGAGCTCAGAAATCAACGAAAGACTGAGAATTACAAACTTCAAATTGGAAGAGCTCCTATTAGCATTGAACAAATCCCGCGTGCCAGGAACAGCTGCATGCCGGACGGGCCATGTATCTGAACCAAAAGCAGATCCCTCTATCCCTCCACTTGTAAAAGTGTAGATTGGTGCAACTTTATGCAAGTTCTTCGTACAAAGTTTGTGCTTCTTGCTCAAAGCAGATTCAACACAAACTTCTAGCTATACAGCGGGGCTCTCTTCAGCTCCAGCAAAGCAGTCTAATGGCGCCACCGACCTTCTCTTGGCACATCCTGCTGACGTTACTAGCAGTCAGCTGGCTCAATCAAACGGTCATCGCAATAAGCATAGTGTCGCCCCTCAATGTGACGTACTATGCAACGTCATGCCCGCAAGTGCATGAAGTGGTTAGGGAAAGGTTAGCGGTTGCGTTCAAAGAGGATAGAACAGTGGCGGGCTCCGTGGCTCGGCTGCTCTTCCACGATTGCTTTGTTGAGGTGAGCTCCCACAGACTGTTGCTTTCCTGCGCTAGTTCAATTTTCACCCTTTGTCTCTTTGCTCTTCATTAGCTCTCAAATCTCACAACCTACACACAGGCCTCAGTTCGAACTGGCGCTTTTCGTCCTTAATGGTTCACAGGAGCTGCAGGTCAGAATACAGGCATGCATCGGAACTGGCAGTCCAAACTGAGAAGGTGGCTAGAGTACACGGAGACGAGACCCTGCATGAGGCAACGCCTGCATGCCTGTCCTCCAGAGAGAGTAGACTGGCGGAGATGGTGGTAAAATCATCGTGAAATAACCCAAGAAAATGCCAAGCATTACAAAACCAACAGAAAATAAGCAGATTCAAAATCCATAGCTGAAAAAGGCACTGAAACAAAGCAAAGTTCCTGCTACTGCTGCCCATGTCCACTTGCAACATAAATAGTGTAAGTTTTCTTTACCACCTCCTCAGTGACTCCCGTTATTTTGCCCCCCCGTTTGGTTGAAGGTCAAATAGTCCTGTCCTCTGCCTATCAAGAAAAAAAAACCATAGTACGTCTTGTTCTGTAGGGTTGCGACGCCTCTGTTCTCCTGAATTCGACGGCCTCAATCTCGGGCGAGAAGGACGCATTTCAAAGCATGACGCTGGCGGGATTTGACGTTATTGATGACATCAAGGCCCACATAGAGACGGTTTGCCCTAGCACCGTGTCGTGCGCGGATATCGTTGCTCTCGCCAGTACCGAGTCAATCTTCCAGGTGCGTACGTTAACTGGCTTCCAATCTCCATTGCTTGCCAAGATTGAATCTTCACCACTGAACCAATCACAAAGTACAGGCTTAACTACTTCAAGACGATCAGTGAATGATCGATATCTCTGCTTTCACGTGTCCTCCTATTTGAGTCAACAGCAGGAGTACAGAACGCTCACATCTTGTACTTTCACAATGCCGACTCTGATTTCAAAAGGTCACCGGATTGGCCCGCCGACTTTTGTCGGTCAAGAATCATCGCTGCGCAATGCAGTCCGGAGGTCCAAACATGTCGAGCCCTTTATGGGCGCGTCTCCTCTCAAGACAGTCGCTCTTACTTTTCTACAATGCAGCCGTTCAATATTCTGTGCAGTCTACCACACCATCTTCTTATATGCACACGACGGCGACGCTTCTCTCGAGTCATACTGAAGCGGCCCCAACTGTCTCACATAGTGGGAGGTTCCAATTTAGAGAACTTGTTTTCGCTTTATGCAGTCTGGGGGGCCCAACATCTCGATGCCGCTGGGGCGCGTCGACGGCCGCGTTTCCTCCAAGGCGGCCGCGCTCGCGGCCATGCCGAACGTAACGATGAATGTGACGGTTCTCAACGCGTCGTTTGCCGCCGTCGGGCTGACTCTGGGGGACATGGTAATTCTTTCTGGTGAGCAACACGCTGCTTGAGACCTTGTGCGAAGTATCAAGCGGTTTGGTGCGTTTGGATGTGGGCAATCAAGACAGCCGGGGTCGGAGATGAATCTTCGTGGGGTTTTACGGACCTTGTTCTGCAGAATGGAACGGCGCAGTAAGGAGAATTTGAAGAGCTCGACCGCCCGCTCCATGTGCCGGTTGGTAAGTAAGACTGCTTGCAGTCGAATGGCTTCAACCCCGCAGTCTCCGGTTGTCATAGTAAGACAAGGCCTCAGTACTTGCCCTGCTTTGCGTGGTTCAGACCTGCCTTAGTGGAGGCGTAGTGGTAGATTCTGGATGAACTGAGTGTTGGCTGCGTGAGCACCCGTTATACTTCAAACTTATGAGTAGTATTTTGATATCTTTTTTTCAAAGTAAGACGCGCGCTTCGACTAGAGCCCGAGGGTGCAGAACCCACACACCGCGCTTCTCTAGCAAACGCTTCGAGCTTTTGTGTTCGACCGGCGAATCTGTTGCTCCAAGTCTCTACGCATCCGGAACCAGAAGTCAGATACTTGATAGAAAACAAACGCGCTTCTTTCCCTTCAAGTCTTCTCTTCGCTTCTCCGTGCGCAGGGGCCCATACCTTCGGCAAAGCGCACTGCAGCAACGTGGTTGACCGTCTTCTACCGGTCGATCCGACGCTCGACCCAGCCCTAGCGCAAAATCTTACACAGCAGGTGAGAAGCATTATCACGGCGGGCGTCGTAAGAATCAGAACGCCTGACGTCACCCTGACGACGTTCGTGTTTTCAGAATTCTAGCATCTTGTCGCGCATCAGAACCCACTTCAGCACGGTACGTAGATCTTTCGCCGAAACGGATCTACTGGCTTTCCTGCTCCCAACACCTGGAAAACGGCGTGTGGCTGTTAACCACAATGTCGTTGGTTCCCCATGACCTCTTCAACGTGGTTTGCTACCACAAAAGCTTATGAGCGCTCCACGTTCAATATCCACTCTCACTGGATAACACTTCCCAAGGATGGGATCCGACTTGCACCCGTTCTACAGGCATCCGCATTGTACGTTTTATGTGCACGGCCCACTGCAATAAGAACCTGCTTCGAAGAAACTTCTGCCTCGTTCCGTAGCACCGGGTTAAAACCTAACCCTGATTGCCATGTTCAAAGTTGATTGCACTGCAACCCCCGCATCAACGACCGAGAGTCACGGTGCCCCGCACATAGCCAGCAACCCGACTTTTGACAACCAGTACTACAAAAAAGGTCATGAAAATCAATATTACGCTCTTTTGAGTAGTCCTAGAATCAAAAATCTGCTTTTAACTATGTCCCAAACACATGGTTTGCAGTGCAATCCCCGGGTGAACGACCCGACGATAACAGTGCCCCTCGACGTGGCCACGAATGCGACCTTCGACAACCAGTACTACAAGAATCTGCTCCAGGGGCGCGGCGTGCTGGCGTCCGATGAGGTGCTCGCGCATGACAATCGGACGGTGAAGCTCGTCCAACGGATGGCGACGGTGAGCGCTCGCGCGCGTCTTCCTCAAGAATATATATTCTTATGGCGAGACGTTTGGAAATTGCGTGCCGGAAAACGGAAGAGCGGAAATCTGCTGTTGACGGACGGGGTCGAAGTGGGCTCCGCTGCATTCGCGAGTCCTGGTTTTAAGCTCTTTTTTATGCTGAGCAAACAGATTCCAGTCGATCCTCTCTACGACCGTTGGAATGAACGAACACATGTCCTGCCTCCCCTTCCATTGACAATGCACCCATGCGACCCCGCTTGCAAACTTTGAGACAGAGAGAAAGACATCCTGAGAGACGCTCCGATGGCCGCTCCTACCGAAATACAAAGCGTCGAGGATAGCGTTGAGAAATTTTATTACCTTCTACGAAGACTAACGTGCAAGTCGAATTGAGAACTTTTGCTATCCGCAACCGCCCACATGTCAAATTCAACCACTACCTACAAATTTCCCTGTCAAGTATTCCAACGCTAATCACATCCCCCGGAATCTGACACCCCTCTGACGTGCCGTGCAGAACGAGAGGGCCTTCTTCAAAAACTTTAGCCACGCGTGGGTGCGCATGTCCATGATCGGCGTCAAAACGGGACAGGAAGGCGAGATCCGCCGAAATTGCGGAGTCGTCAACCGCCGCTGATTCCGTCGGGAGCAAGCGGACCGTTTCAGATGCGGTCACTGGAGTGACTGCCGGACCACGTTTCAGAACGGGTTTCTTAACAACAATTGAGTATGTCTCTCAGAAGAACCATCATTCGCAGCAGATTGTGGATGCAGCGTCTCTAGACTTGAAGCAATTACTGGCGGCGAACCCAATAAAGTACAGCACGATATTGTAAATCGTGCCGCAAAGTTGGTTAAATTTGTAGAATACGAGCGTGAACCGTCAACTTGTTCGATCAAACCGCAAACTGTGGTGAGATCTGATCGTATAGCATACAGCACAATGGACAGTCACTCAAGGATCGAAGCAGGGTGAGACCTCATTGCGTGATAATCAGGATGGGTGCTCAAATTCAGACCGTCGCAATGAATTGAACATATGGTCTTAACTCCTGATTTCTACTTGCGCTGCCACGCACGTGCAGGCTCTCAGGCTGTATCATTGCCAGGCAGCAGGAGGTCGATAATGGCATGTGCAAGTCACCATGCCAGTGACTCGCATGTTGACGTGTACATGCGAGATCGCACGGCGACAATGATATAGCAGATTGATTCGGAAGTGACAGTGACTCACGTCTCATGTGTCACTCGGATAGCCATGATTGCACGCAATCTCAGTGCATCATTGCTCGACTTGATAGACCAAGTGTACGGTCGGACGATCAGTGATCCCACGTACTGATCCACTGATCGACGAGCAGATCAAGCTCGACGGTTGTGCACCATAGCCATGATTAGTATATACAGAGATGATTATGACAGGCGCAAGCGATTCATTTCATGTCTGCACTTCGGAGGAACTTTCATGATGAGCACGCCATGTTGAGCCAAGTACTAAGGAGAATGGTTATATCAAGCACGTAGGAACCGTGCTTAATGCTCCGGATTCCATACTACAGAAATTCAATATTTCCTTGTCTTGATGTTGGAAGCCCTGGTTAGCCTGTTTCATGGTGACTCGAACTGAGAAGGTTTAGGTTGACGCTAGCACGACCCTTAAAGAGGGCAATCTGCTTTCTTGATTGAAGCTAATTGTAGTACGTGCGTACTTCAACCCCTCAGATACAACACTTTCTCAACGTACATTGATTGCACTTCCGAAGCTAGCTGTACATAAGCGAAGTGGCAAACTTTTATTGGCACCCCTGTTTGCTAGAAGTACTTACAAACAGACACACAAAAGTAGGTACTACTGTCAATCCCGAACGATTCCGCATCTCTGCGCCTGGCCCCTGCTTCCACACACAGTAATCGAGCGCCATAAAAGCAAAGTTGAACTTTCTAGTCGCTACTTTGCTTTCAAGCTCTGCTTTTGTTACCAAACCAACACACGGGAAAACGAAAGCCGTATGTACAGTAGGCTACCAAGGGCCACGCCTTGATGTTCACTGTCCTTACTTGAAGGCCTTCCAACAAGCTGCGTATATTGACCTACCAAGAGCTTCGAGGCGTCCCGGCTTTCAGATCGCCTCTTTCTTGACTCGCACGTTCTTGACGTCACCCCAAGAAGGCTGCCCCATGTTGCGAGCAGCAAGGAACCCCAAATCAACGTTGCCCTCAATAACGCTACCTTCCTTCTTCACGGTTGCACCAGCCCTCATGTTGCCTTGCTCCAACTTAACAGGCGCCCAGGTTCCAGGAGCGGCTACCTTGGGCCACTCGGACGATATTCCCTCTTCTTTCTCAATCTTAACCTCTTTTTTAACCTCAACCTTAGCTTGCCCTTTCACATCTTCTTGGATCTCGTCCAGGAACAACTTTCTGACCACGTTTTTTTCAAAGACTGGACCCGTGCCACTCTTGTCAAAAGCAGTGACTCGCGGGCGTTTCTTTGCCTGGTTCATCCAATTGCGCAAGTTCCAACCAATGCTTGGGTTGACTTGCCTAGGCAATCCGGAAGGCTTAACCACATTGTTCTTCTTGGGCCGCTTCTTGATGGGAGCCGGAGGCGCAACCGGAACTTGACTCTGACCAGTTTGAGTGGGCGGGGGACTCTCCACAGGGGCAGTCCCTTGGTTTGGCCCCGACAAGAATAACATTCTTTCAGCAGCCTTGACGCCTTTCGCACTAAGCCGCAATTGGTGCTGGGACCCAGCCACGTTGGTGAAGTACAAGCCGGGCTTGTGCAAAACTGCAAGAGATCAACGCACAACCGTGTCAGAAAGGGTAGAGAAGATTGTCATAGACTGCAATGTACATTCTTTTGACAACGTGGAAAACACTGCGGAATATGCTCTACACAGCTCGCTTTGATGTGAGGCGGATGGCTGGAAAAGCACGAAATGGAGTCAGCTGTACTGTAGCTTTGAGTGTAATCAGGAGAACTGAAAATGTGTATGAGTCCATTGAACCAAACACTGGCAGGCAAACGCTCAGACAATGCGCAGTCTACAGAAGACTGTGCTAAAGCAAGGCCGAGAGATCACATACGACAGCTGATTTGCAAAGATTTGCGTTAAGCCAAGTCAGGGCGTAGGCTGATGAAGAACCAAACAAATATAGGAGAAGGAAAATGGAGATGTCAAAAAGCAATGTATGGTTCTTTAAACTCACTTGCGCCAGTCTTGCGGGCGACCAGCTTCTCCCTTTCCAGTTCTGACATCGCCTTCCATGCTTGACCCCCTTTGCTGTAGAAGCTGTGCTTGCACAAATGAGTGGCCTCTGCAGCCTCTTTGATATGTTCTATGGGCATTTCCAGCTTCCCTTGCTGCAGGAAAGAATGTAAACAGGTCAGTCAACCAGGCAGGTTACCAGTAACTGCAATACATGGATGATATGTGTTTGCATTCTTCCTGTCAGCCCCTGCTAACCTTGCATTCCAGTATCGAAATCTTAGAAGCATATCGTGATGATCTGACTACAGTGAGATTGAAAACAGAGAAAGGCTATACACAAAACTTATAATTGCAAGAATCAAGTTCTGAGTGCATTGCCCCCCTCCCAAAAAAATGCAATGTGAGGCAGCCAGGCCTTCAACCTAAAGCTGACCAGAAACGACGTTCTTTTGTATCAGAATTGCAGCATTGCTCAACTTTGAAACCAATTTGCTTCGTGCCCGTCTGGCCTGCAGCCTGTTCGAAAGAACATCAACCCTGTTGTTTCATCCCTGTTGATCCATCTCGAAACAACAAGAAAGGCCCAACCCTCAATCCCAACTGCTTCTCACCTGTCTGGCTTTCAGCATTGCCACAAGGATCGCATGCCCCCCGCTGCCCCATTGCGGCAGAAACGCAGGGTTAAGTACCTCATCCAGCAATTTCTTAAACAGCTTTTTCATCTCCATTGTAGCCCCAGGAAGCAATTCAACATCTGAAGGACTTTGTAAGGTACCCTCTTACTGCCTCGTGAGTCCAACCATCCGTTCCAGCAACATGTACTTCTTCTGGAAACTTCCCGAGGGGGGGATATGCAAGAGTTTGGTTTTTTCTCCTTCGAGAAGCTTGACCAGGTCCTCATTCACAGAAACCTGCGTAGGGGCGGCCATGCTTGCAAATCAAAGCGATCAGCGCGCACTCCCCCTTTGTGCCCTCTCCGTTCTCCGGGCCTTGTAGATAAAAGAAGATGCGGTTGCAATCTCGCAATCTGGAATTGAAATGAATGCATCAACAAACTGCCATCAACCGATGTACTGTACCTACTCGCAGATGCTGCTGTCTTTCCGTCCTCTCACTACTGTCTCAGATCTGGAACTTGAAGTTGAAGCTCTGCAACCTCCTCTCTCGTCTCCCGTCCTCAGAGTCAAAGTCCGTACAATTTCTCTCGCTTTTGGAAGCGAAAAAGAACCTCAAAAGGATTTTGGGAGCCACGCAGCGGCGCTCCTACGGACCGTTAACGCTCGTCATAGCCTAGGGAATAATGCCGTTTCCGGAAGCGCCGGGACGTTTCTTCTAGAAGCTCAATTAGCTTGGGGTTCTTTACGATATTGGAAGATATTGCCGAACGGGGAGGGTTCCCTTCACTGCTTCAGCCTTCAGGCTTCAGCCAGGATAGGGCGACCGGATTCCCGAACTTTCGCTTTCGCAGTCGCTCGCAAAAGGCACGCAGCTGCAAAATAACGGCGACAAGCAAGCTCGTACCCGTGATCTGTACGTCGCTGAAAGTCATTGGGGGCAGTCAGCTTGCGGCTGGGTCACAGACTCTCTGTCTCACTCTGACAAGCGCTCAAAGATCATGCATGAATCAGCATGATGCACATTTTTCAGCAGGGTTCCATCCTCAAACCACCACCGCATCATCATCATTATCATCATGGCTGAAGGAAGAATGCCTCTTCAGTAAGTTCTCAGTGCTTCATTCTTAGCAGTGGTGCGAGGAGATTCTGTAGAGAAGTGGGGATTAGAAACATGGCATTCCGTGGGAAGAAGGGCCGACCGAAGCAGCAGTCTCGCTCGGGCCCACAGCTGCCGTCCGTTCTGAGGAAGCAGATTGCTGCGCAGACAGCTGAGGATGGATCGGGGGGGTCTGCGAGGAGGGAAACTAGCGGCGGGAAGCTCAACCACCGCGAGAGGAGGAAATTTGAGAAGGACGAGAAGGTGCGGAGACGGCAGCAGGAGCAGGTAAGAAAAGCACATCAGCAGACGAGTATGTGCTCATAATCAGGAGTATTTGACACCGGGATATGATAGAAGGATACGATACGAGACGGAGGAGGTGGAGCTTGTGCCAGGCAGAACGTGAGAAGATTCCTCTGGTGGCGGTGTTAGCTTATGGTCGAGTGGCTCGGTAGATAGGCATGTCTTGCTCAAAATGTTGACAGCATGCTCTTCCAGGTTAATAATGATTCTCGTTAGAAAAGGTGGCGCTCGTGAGAAGCCGTGGCTCTTATACGCGGTCTACTTAAGCATTCATCGATGAGATGGTGGTAAGCTAGCGGCGCAAGTGTTTTGGCCGGTCTGTCTTTGACGACTCTTCAATGTTGTGCGAGCTGCAAGGGTTGTGCAACTTGCAGTTGTGATCTCTCCGTAAGTTATCGTCGATCTCTGCTGCACCTAGGTTCTATCAGACATAATTGGGTGGATTGCACACCACAATAAGTGGTGTAAGTATTGATTGTGATTGTTAACAGGGGGTAAACGGACAGCGGGGGCAGCAGCAGCGAGGCCGGAAAAATGTTTCTGGGGGAAGGGCACAAAAGGATGATGCTCGTCGGCCGGAGGTATCAAAGAAGAGAAGGCGGGCAGGTGGGCGTTTGACCCCTCCAACTACGCAACTTTAGAAAGTAGGATTGCTGGCTGGCTCGTTTGTAATCTGGCTGTGGAACCAAAATGGGCGTAGACCATGCATGGACAAACCCGATCGGACGGTGTCATGACCCTCATAGGACTGCCTCATAAAACCCAGATCGTTGAAAATATTGATGCTGGCGGAGTTAGCGACTGACGTTGGGCAAACCCTGACGCCCACGTTAAGGAGTAAGACGTAAGTATGGTTGTTGAATTGGTGGTGGTTACTGCTTATAGTTTAACTTGTTAGAAGAGCCAATCTCCTCAGCAAAGGAACCTTGCCTTAGAGTGACAATAAGCAAGTTGGTATAAATATACTGCTCGGCTAAAATGTGTAAGTCGACGTTTCGATTCAAAGTCAGTGAATGGCTGGTTGATTACCTTCTTTCTGATAGACCAAAGACATTGTCATGGCATCGCTCGTCCCTCCTACAGAGACTATTCATCTGAGTTGAACTTCAGCTTAAGTTACGCACTTGGGATCCACAGGAAAGCTGAAGTTAGCACATCTTTCTAATTGCAGTCGATGCCCCCCGCACCAAGTTCGAAGAGCTGCTTTCAATGGAGAAGAAAGCGGGGGGCGGCGCAGCGGCCGCAGACATCGAACTAGAGCGGCGCCTAGCAAAGAAACTCAAATTGAAGGACGGCAAAATCAAGGGGCCGCAAGACGGGTTCGACGTCCTCTTGGGGGGGCTCAAAGATTATGGGGGACAGGAAGAGGAAGAGGGTACGGATGAGGAATCTGCGTCCGAATCCGGGGGGTCGGAGGGTAGTGACGAGGGGGAGTTTGGGGGCTTGTTTGGGGAGGCGAGCGAGAGCGATGGTTCTGAGGGGGAAGCGGACTTTGACCTGGACTCGGACGAGGAAGAGGAGGGAAAAGGGGAGGTTGCTAAGAAGCGGAAGCAATCAGGCAGCAAAGGCGGAAAAAAGGAAGAGGCTGATGAAAGAAGCGACGGGCTTGTTGGGGACGGGGAAGGGGCTTCGGACGGCGGAGCAAGTTCCAAGAATCCGGACGACGACTTGGACCAAGATTTGGACACGGATTCGGACCACGATTTGGACCAAGAAGAAGAGAGCGGTTCCGAAAGTCCAGGAGACGAAGATTTGGGCCCGAGTCCAAGCGGGAGGGAAGAGAGCGCCGAGGAAGAGCCGATCGAAACCGACATTTTCGGGCGGCCGAAACAGGGGGGTCCGGAAGGCTCGGCGGCAGTCAAGTACGTGCCCCCCCATTTGCGGGCGGCGGCGCAGGGGCCTCTGAGTGAGGAGATGGTTCGGTTGCAGCGGAGGATCAGGGGGCTGCTGAATAGGCTGACGGAGGCAAACGTGGAATCGATCGCGAGTGAGATGGTGCTTATTTTCCAGGTGAGGAGTGGTTGTCGGTTCGGTTCTCGTTCGCTTCGGTGCGACCCACAAGCTGAACCCGATTTTGATTGATTAGCTGGAACGGAATTTTTGGAGAGTGGAACCAAGATTCGTTGCCAAAACATTGTCTTGATATATAGATTGTGGAACGGTTTGTTTCTCTGGCTGAGGGCCCAATGCCATATGGAGGAGGATCGGTTGGGGATGGTCTTGTGTGGGAAACATCGTCTCTACATACTGCCTCAGTTGTCCCTACTTTACTGGCTCAGCGAGCCACTTGCCACAATCAACTCTGAAGCAGACTAGAAACGAGTGTATTTCTAAGCTCAAGCTCGGACAGAGTCCCAAAGTTTGCTCACGAGAACGTGTACACGAGTCATGCCCTACAGGTATCCGTGTAATTTATTTGCGTCAGATGGGAAAGTACAGTACTACAGTACATCAGGAAAGTCTCAAACGTGTTTCTTTTTAAAGAGATCCATGCGTCTTCAAAGCAAAGCTTTTGCGGACTTGCTTGCAGTGCGCATCCTGTTCTTCCTAAGCGACACGATTTTCTAGTACAAAAACGACTTCGTGAAGTCTGACAAAGGGGTCGGAATGCCCGAAGATTGCTGTTGTTATCTCCGGCCCACCCCACGGCACTCTCTCTATCACGGAAGCCTTGGCGTGCTTCAAGCAACTCACGGGTCAAGTGCATTCCGCGTTCCTTTGAACGAGGAAGGTTTCGGGAACAGAAGTCAAATTGTAATGCTCAAGCATAAGCTTTTCCCTTCTCAGGCCCACGCGCAGCCCTCTGTCAAAGGTTCCGTCAAGGAAGAAATCCTTGGCGCTCTCGTGAGAAACCACGGTTTGGGTGCCTTCTTTTAAGTCTCGTTCATTCAAAGAAGGAGACTCCTCAAATACCTAAACGCTCAAATATGAGGATTTTCCTTCCAGGCACACGCACGACATTCCGTTATGGAATCCATCAAGGAAGAAATTTTAGGCTCGCTCATAAGTGGTCCCCGCGGAAACGACCAGTACGCCGCTGTCTTCGCCGCATTCATTGCGGGGCTCGCGGCGTCGGTTGGCGTGGAGATTGGGGCCAACTTTTTGGGGGCGCTCGTGGTCAGCTTTGAGGAGCAGTACAAAAGGAGAGATAGCCTGGCGTGTCGGAATCTTGCGTTAGTGCTGGCGCATCTATACAACTTCCAGCTGCTTGCGAGGTAAGACTTCCAAAGCTCGGCGGCTGGTCTTCTTTTCAGTTGTTCAGATTTCACCTCAAGCCCTTTTCTCGCATCTTCAATCATAGCGAAATCCCTCTACATCGCGCCGGCCCCGTTCATCGATCTTTTGATTTTAGAGCACACTTTTGAAGTCGTCGAAGCTTCTCGAACTCTTTTCGCTTGATCGATGTCCAACTTCTTTGTCGCAGTCCTTTATTTGAAATCTTCGATTCCCTGCGAAGCCACCCCTGAGTTATTTCAACTATCCGTTTCATATCGCTTTTTTTTACGACTTTTCCTTACCTCCTTGCTCATCGTTGCCAGGTTGATGTAGACGACAGCTCCTGTACGGGCTCCTGAACACCGTCTTGCCCCGCTTCCACGAGCTCGACGCAGCGACCATCTTTGCCTGTACAGCCCTGCGAGTTCGCCGCCTTCCAGTGGAATTCTCCCAAAGAGCCCTCTCTTTGGGTTGCCGACTATCCCCAAATTTTAGCTAATCCTTGTCCCCGCAGCCCCTTTCTGTACGAGTTCCTGCACCACCTTCTCGCGCGCTTCCACGATCTCGACGTGGCGACCATCGCACACCTGCTCCAGACCGGCGGGCTCGCCCTCCTCACCTTCTAAAAGCCCTCATATTCTCTTGTAAACTACTCCTAATCCTGCGCTAAACCCTTGTCCCGCAGCCCCTTTCTGTACGAGTTCCTGCACCATCTTCTCGCCCGCTTCCACGAGCTCGACGTGGCGACCATCATAAATTTATGAAGACATTTTTAAGCATGATTCAAACCCCTTCGGTAAAGCCCTTCTAGACCCTCAAAACCCCATTTTTGCGGATTTCTTTGACCGTTTTCTGCAGCCCGTTTCTCTACGAGTTCCTGCACCACCTTCTCGCTCGCTTCCACGAGCTCGACGTGGCGACCATCGCACACCTGCTCCAGGCCTGCGGGCTCGCCCTCCGGTCCGACGACCCCGTCCGAATGAAAGACTTCGTCCTGGCCGTCCAAAGACGAACCGCCCAAGAAACCGCCGCTCTAGTTCCTCTGGAAGCCCCGGAGAAAAAGGCCAAACCCCTCGGGGACCTGGGCGAGAAAGCGGCGGAGTCGTTCCGGGCCGCGGCCGAGAGGGTGACGTCAGCGGCGGGAGGGGTGACGTCAGCGAAAGAGGGGGCCGACCCAGGGCTGAGCAAACGGGTGCGATTCATGCTGGACACGATCACAGACACGAAGAACAACCGGCGGCGGGGCGACGGGGAGGCGCCGTGGCAGGGGCGGCTGCGCAAGTGGCTGGGCAAGGTGAGTGCTGACGCTTCGTTGATACGGATGACGTCGGCAGTGTAACTGTACACAAGCAACGTTTTCGTGCGCGGTTGCGCAAACTGCTGGGTAACGAGAAGCTTTGGTCCGCCTCGACTCAATTATGTTTCCGACATCGCCTCTGGTTGCGGATTTGTGAAGCCAACGGCAGCTTTGCTTTGCCATGTTCTTTTAACATCCTGAAGCACGTGACGTCAGCACGCAAGTATGAGTGAGTCCGGAAAGACGTGAAGAGAATTTGCAGTGCTCTTCTATGGGGGTGGCGTATGTCCTGCTGGCACGCTGATTGCGTTTCTTGATTTTCCTGCCATGCTGGAAGCGCCGTTTGACAGACGCTGGTCAATGCACATGTTCTTGTCTTTGCGGCGTCAGTTGTCCGTCCGTGCATCGACCTGCCCGCTTCTATTAGTATCTCTATTCTGGGTGCGAGCACTTTGGCTAGTTTAGTAGGCATTCAAAAGAAAGCATATGTGTCAATCAACTGCGCCGGATTTTGCTAGTGCCGATGGTACCGAGCATAGGTCGGTAGCTGAGCGGATCTTAGATGCACCCTGTTTTACGCATAGCTTATCCTACCATACATACCTCTCCAGTCGAGCACTCTGTTTTCTCACGCCCACCTCTGCTTCTGCCAAATTGACTCCATTTCATTTTCGCAAAATCCGACGTCGAAGCCGCTCCGTCACTCCCTCAGCGCCTTGTAGACCGTCTCTGCAAACAAGAGCACTCTTTCCTACGGAGACCAAGATGCATACAACGTCAATCCGAACGATATCATGTTTCACTTGTCAAATGACTAAAGCGGTTTGCTCCTGTCGCGCAGAACAACGTCGATGCCGCCCAGCTCCGCTCCGTCACTCTCGCCAACGCTCTCACCCCACACAAAAAGGGCCTCTGGTGGCTCCCCCCAGCTGCCGGAACCCTAGAAAAGTCCGCTGCCGATTCCGCCCACTTCGGGGGGGTCGTTTCCGGGGCGATCGACGGGGGGGCCGCCGAGGCAGACCGGCTTCTACAGTTAGCGTCCAAGCAGCGGATGAACACTGACGTCAGGAGGTCGATCTTTTGCATCATCATGAGCGGGGAGGATTACGTGGACGCGCATGAGAAGCTGCTGAGGCTGAAACTGCCCGGGAAACAAGACCGGGAGATCCTGCGCGTGCTCGTCGACTGCTGCATGCAGGAGCGGTGCTTCAACAAGTACTACGCGCTGCTGGCCGCGAGGTGAGCTTCCGCTTTCCGTTTTCCGCTTTCCGTTTGCCGCTTTCCGCTGCTGGCCGCAAGATAAGAGTCCGCGGCTTGGAAGCTTCTCTTTGGCTAGTAGGTGCTCAGAAAGGTACTTCATCAGACGTCTTGGTCTTCTCGATGTTTCTGGGCTTTCCTTTCCAATGGGTGCTTCGAAGTCCAGCTCGATCAAACCCATCAGCAATTCTTCAACGAGTCTAATGCTTGAATCCAAACGCCCTAGGAATCCAATCGTTGATCTCTGAAACTTGATTCCTCTGCCCCGCAGGCTGTGTTCGCAGGAGCACAACCACAAGTTCACGCTCCAGTACTGCGTGTGGGACCACTTCAAGCAGCTTCCCTCCATGGACCTGCGCCGGAGCGCCAACCTAGCGCGCTTCCTCGCCGGAGTGATCGCTTCGTTTGCGCTCAGCCTCTCCATCCTGAAGGCGAGTTTCTACTCCCTGATCTCTAAATTTCGTTCAAGATCAAGAGCTCTGAACTTCCTTTCCATACCACATAAGCTTTTTTCGCAGCGGATTAAGGGCTTTAGTGCTCCCAATCTTGCATAGGGGTTCATCGATGCCAACCAAGCGTGCTTCGTTGCCATTGTCATTGCTTCTTTTGCCCTCAGCCTTCCCGTGCTGAAGGCGAGCTCCTGAATTCCGATCTTGTGTTTTTCCAAAAAGCAAAGCTCTAGACTTCAGAGCGCGTACCTGTCATGCTTTCTCCCCTAGCGGATGAAGGGCTTCGCTGCCCTTTTCACTGTCTTTGCACGCACCAGAGCCAACACGACACGTCACCATAGCCGCCTGTCCATGTCGTGGCGGGCATAAGCTACCAAGGTCTCTCATTGGCTGTACCTGGTGAAAAAAAATCTTGGGTTCAAAATCGTCAGGCGGATCGCAGGAGGTCACACTGGCCAAACGTTTCGCAGCCGTCCGATTCCGTCGTCCGCAAGATTTAGCTCTGGGCAGCTCAAAACGCGTTTCGGATCGCATTTGGGACAACAGCAAGGAAAACTGGAAAATTTTCCATTGTCCAAACGTCGAATGGTCGACGGTAGCAACGTTATGCCATACGGCTGCCCAGCCAACTCAGTCTCCTGCGGTCCGCCTGTGCAATTCTCTAAATATCTGCCATCTTTTTCGCCAGCTGGTGGTAGATTTTACCTTCTTCAGACTGAACCTTTTTCTGATTCCCACCCTTTCTGTGTGCGGAGCAATGTACCTACCTACCCCCGGGAGCGTATTGTCCTTGTCTTCCACTCTTCCCGTCTGCAGGCGGTGGACTTCACCAACCCGTTAATCAACCTCTTAAATAGTCAACCTCTTAAGTAATCAACCTCTTAAATAATCAACCTCTTAAATAATCAACCTCTTAAACTAGTTAGCCTCTTAACTAAGCAACCTCTTAACTGTTGCGACTCCTTTTTGTCTGCAGGCGGTGGAGTTCACCGACCCTCAGATGGACGCCAAGACCGTGATGCACTTCCGCATCCTGCTCGAGACGCTCCTGCTGGACAGTCCGCGGGACGTCGTCGTCTCCGCGTTCGGACGCATCGCCGGACAGCCGCAGCTGTCCGCACTGCGCGAGGGAATCTCCCTCTTTTTCCACCAGCATTTATTGAGGCACCAGCCGATCGTGCAGAGTAAGGACAGGAGTAGCGACGACCAGATGGGGCTGCTGCTGAAGAGGATAAAGGCGGCGAAGAAAGCGATGTCGAGCGTGGGGGGGGCTGCGGCGGAGCTGTGATCGTTGGCCTGGACTATTCGATCGGCCAAATAATGTTATCGACGTGAAGTTTCCCAATCATTTGCAGCCTTTCCGCAGTTTAGCTTTTGCGCGTGACCAGTCTTTGTTGACTCAGTCAGCGGCGCAGCAATTCAGATGGTTTCGATGCAGTTTTCGGGCTTTCGATTCATTGATCTTATTTATGTGAACGTGCATATCTGAGTCCCGCTTCGGATGTACAAAGTTAAATTTACCCGAATTCGTGGGCACCGTCTGTAAGCCTACGCAGGCTGCTGCAAGCAGATTGTTGGTATAGACAGATGAATGCGAAGGATTTGGAGCGCCTAGGTGCATAGAGCAGGCAGCTACGGTGGCCCAGGCGGCCGCTGCGGTCGTTGGCACGCATGCGTGTGCATATGCAGCGGTTTAAGTTTAGGCTGATTAGTAATCTGCCGCCATACGCAGGCTAGCCCAGTTAAGGATACAAGCAACGGTGTATACCGGTACAACGGGACTCCGCCCAGCGGGACAGTTCATGCACTGAGTACCGTTGCATGGGCCGGCCGCCTGCCAGCGCACGTCATGTTCGATAAAATGATTTCAGTACATGCATATTGAACCGACCGGACGGGGCAGGCCCGGGGCACGTGCATGCGTTCAATACTATACACGAAGTCCAGTGTCGATTGAACGGGCTGCAGTGCAGCCGTCACTGCGCGGGAGTGATCGAGCTGCCCATTTGCCAGCAAACCCATTATTTGCAGGCTGACGCGGTTGTTATATGGCAATGATATGGCAAATTAATTGGTACGTGGGCCGGACTCGCATATATCTCTGATCATCCGCATTATTTGCTCGATCGTCGCTAGGTGCAGCTAGCCGAATGTATGGTTATTTCCAGACCGGAGTTCGACGGCCTAGGCATCAGTGCGGCAGCGCATTGAATCCACCGACAACTCAACGTCACGTTATAATACATGCACGGATCATATCGGCCTTTAATTAGCGATCAATTCCAATTTGCCGACGCTTGGCCAATGATCGCATCAGTTAAAATGCACCCATGATTGCTGCAGGCTAACCCTTGACTCATGCCGCACGGCCGCCGGAGCCGCCGGGGCCGGCGGTCCCTTATTGCCAGGCAGCAAAATGCAGATCAAAGCCATGACTGGATCCGCTTGCACTCGACAAAATCTAGTTTTTTGCTGATGAAGTGTACGGATGAGATTTGGGAATAGCGAAACAGAGCAACAATACCTGCTTGATGCGTAAAAACTAAAGTGCATATGCAGTGACTGCTTAGCTCGTCACTTCTATGTCGAACTATTATCTTGCTTTTGCAACCATTTGTCGGCCGTCTGATCGTCTGTTACCAGGCCCTCGTCCTCGCACCCAGCCCTAGAATTGGATACCAGGTCCTCCAATATATTCACCTCGAATCGGTGCCTTTAATTATTCCCCCTTCTTGCTCTTTACAGCAGTTTGGGCGGTCTTTTTCCTTCCGGCCCTCAGTGCGTAGACAAGATTTACCGTTGTGTAGACAGCTAACGACAGCACAAATATCCCTGCAGAAACGTAATTGGTTAGCTGCCAAGCCAACCAGACGCATGAACAAAGTCAAAACTTCTTTTCACTAGGCTTTCTTCTGCTTAACGAGCATTTTTGATGTCATGAAGGCGTATAGAATCATGTAACTGGAAGGGCACGCTACGGGCTCTTCCTTACGCCGGTTTTCTAATGATTTGAACTTCAACAGCTCCAGGAAACCACTTGCTGTTCCACGTCGCGTGCTACATTGTCTCCGTTATAGAGACTGAGGACCGCCAAACAATGGGCTTTTCATTGCATGCGACCAGCGCCATGATCGTCAAATGTACATACAAAACTTTGTTGTAGCATTGAAGGCGGTTCTGCAGCCAGCATACCAATTCGCAAACAAGCATGCTGGTTGCAGCTGAAAGCACGATGCCTTACCGCAAATGTCCAGCACAGCCGCTGGGTCCGCCAACGCATTGACGGCCGGATCCAAGTCGAACTTGCTCCCCCCAAGAGCGTCTTTGATCTGGAAAAAAGGTGGATAACTTGTAAGGCTCTAAGCCTCTGGATCCTGCACCCCGTCTCTCACAAGAGGGCATTAGACGAAGAGGCGTGCGTTGTGACAGAAGCGAAAACATTGAAATTAACATTGAAGGAACAAGTACGTGTAAACCACAACTTTTGTTTGAAGGAGACCAACACTGAGGGAGTAAGAGGAAGGGACGCAGACCCACCGGCAAGGACAAAGGAGGATACACAACACCGTGGCAGAGAGCGGTAACTCCTCGTTGTTCTACAAACGACTTCATCGAGTCCAAAAGCTTTCTACTTCAGAGAAACTTTTGAAAGAAGGGGATCAAGCGGCTAACGATCGACTCGGAAAACATGACAAAGCAACCAGCGTCTACAAAGATGGGGCCCTGACAATGCTATTGCTGTTTGCGACGACTTGGAAGAGTAAAGGCTGCTTGTCTACCTTCGTAACAGCAGAGAAAGCCGTTGATCCAACTGGCAGAACGGGTAAAAGAAGCAATTTCTAACAACGCGAGAAGGTAGGACGCCATAAATACTCTACATAAGCAACTCTGATAGAAGGTACTGAACACGCATGCCTCGCACTTTCATGTGTGTGATCAGAAGCACGCAGAACAGCATCAATTCCCTCGGTCCCCAGAGAGAACAACTTGTGCAGACTTATAACGTGGACTTTAAGAAGCGTTTGGAAGCTGTTGGCGCCGACATGAATTGTCGACCTCTGATCGTCTCCAATCTGTGAGCAGGTGACCAGTCATTATGCCTAGACGCAGCTTGCACGCGTCCTTCGAAAGATTGCAAAATGGCCACTTTAGGAAGCTTTCCGAGGCGTTTCAGAAAAACACAACATCATTGTTTATGAGCTCTGTCGTCAGAACCGTTGCAGCAAACAGGCGTCCGCTCACGCAAGAGGCAAGAGAAGCCAAAACTTTTTGGGAAGCGCAGAGCGTCAACGTTTGACCCATAAAGGTAGGTACCTCGTGGCTGTGGATCGAGTACACTAGCGAGGTGCGGTACAGACCGTGCTCGGTCTCCATACGCAGGCCAGATCGCTACTGTGGCGCCTCCAATTAACACAGAAAATGAACCTAAATACCGTCAGACACTAACCAAAAAAGATTTCGTCCGCCTTATCTCACTCCAGCACACTCTAACCCCACCAACTTAACCAAACTCACTCGGTTGTGCCGATGAGCGATTCCCAATCACAAGGAGTGCGTCAACGAAAGTCGAATTCAGGGACTGTTGGCTTCTTTGTCCGTTTCGCTCTGCTCACCTTCAGTGCGTACGGCGATTCGAGCGAGTTGGCGATGGTGGCCCAAAGAGACGCGAGGCTGAGGACCAGGTATATACGCAGGATCGGCGCGGAGCTGTATTGGAGGCCTGCAAAGGAACGTTGCCTTTAATGGCACTAGGTAGTAGTGGCATGCTTTAAGTCCGAGCAAAGGCGGTTTTGTGTGCGTCTGGCGCCGATTATCTGTAACCCCTGCAAATCGTGGGAGTGACATCTCGTTTTCAACCTGCAGGGAGCATCTTTGCCGCGGGCCCTATCCCGTAGAAAGGGCCCTTCATCCTGCGCGAACAGTAAACGGGAGGCGCGAGGGGGGGGCGCCGGCTTCCCCCCAACCCCGGCACGAGTGGTCAGCACAGGGACAACGGTGGCGGACACGATCGAGGAGGAGCTGGCAGCATCGGAAGGACTAAAGCAGATTCCCCGCCCGCCAATTTCTCTGGGTTTCTCTGTTCATCCCCTTTGGACTTTCTTCGCAACTTGGCAAGAGCGACCCCAGGAAAGGTCACTCTTGGGAACAGTGAAAGATGCAGTACCGCCGCTTCGGAGGCGTGGAGAGGCTCCTGCGGGGTTGTCACTTGACAAAAAGTAACTCGAAAGCGTCTCTGCTGTATGTTCCTTTTCCATCCGCATCAAAGGCGTCATGGTCTGGTCAAGGCAGAGGCAAGAACACTTCAACCTCTCTGTTGGCCGGCCTGCTTTGAGTAGTTCCATGTCAAGAAGCGAAGGAGCAGATGAAAGAAGGGGGCGAGATAAACATGCTGCTGTGTGCTCCTAAGCCTTTGCTTCAGAGACTCCCGTTTAAAAGGACTCTCCTTGTACCTGACTTTGTACGGTTGAGGTACAAAAAGCCTTTTCCCCCAAAGTAAATGAAGTGATTCAATCCAGAAGTATATTCTTCCAACTTTTGCAGAGACATGTGGCTAGCTCGGGCGAACCCATTGAAGCTTGAGAAGAGCTCTGTTGTAGTTGGAAACGATCTCTGAACAGGAAACTGCTGAAAGGGCTGCTCTCGCCAACATCGATCTCCACCATATTTTTGACAACAAACTGGAGAGGCCTGAAGGAACCTTCCTCACCTACTGTGCCGGCAAGAAGCGCAACCCCGCCTACAAGGGTCAGGTTCGATGTCACCCGTGGCAGCGGGGGTCCGTCCTCGTCTTGGTTCATCATGGTCAAGATCCCCCTCATGAGGAGAAAGAGGCCTTGGAACAGGAAGAGCTTTTTGAGGATGGCCTTCGCACTGGCAATCAACTTGTACCCTGGAAGAAGATGCCAAAAGCAATCTTTTGTTTCTTTGCTGCAGTAAAAAGTGTTTCTGTTTGTGCTTTCCAGCAACACCGAATGGGTGAGGCAAAGGCGCGTGTTGAGAAAGGCCGAATGGTACCACGCGTAGATAATGTGTAGCAGATGAGGTGAACCCATTTTTCCGAATACTATACTGCAAAAGCATATCCGACACCCTGCTCCAAATCTCAGCATAAGATTTGACTTCATGTTTCCACTTGTATCCATGATTGGCCTCCAGGACATAGTTTATCCGCAAACTTCCCAGATTCCTGTGTATCTCAGGAGGATTTAAAATTCTGGTAACTCGGAGTCCCAGCAGAGTCAGCATGTACTTATTGTAAGCCAGTTTCATTTTGCAGATCTTCCCAACCAAGATCAAACAACATTGAGGGTGACACAGGCTAAGACACAATGATTTCACGGCGCCAGAAAAAGGTTCCGCTCAAAACAAAAGAAGTAGGTTCCTATGTTGGTCTTGGCTTGCCAGGTCATCCTTTGAGTCCATCACGAGGTTCTACCACAGTTGGCAATTGCACTCCGATCTCTACATACATTGTGTTCAACAAACAAGCAGCAAAGCGAGTAGTAAGCATTCTAACAGCACCACTACACTTTGGTTTATTCTGCAGAATGAAGCGGTAATTTGAAATCCCAATGCTAGACCAAAACCAAAGCTAGATGATTGAACACTCCAAAACTGAAAATGCACTGAGAAGTAGATTGAATCTTCAAAACTGAGAAGGTGTTGGAAGCAAAAGGCTCACTTTCTTCAGTTACCATCCTGAACTGATGGTCAGTCCCATCTGTTCCGGTGGGCCGGCTGGTGCTTCCCCGCCTGGAAGGTGCCATCCTTTCCCCTTGAATCTACCTCCCTAGAGATCGACAAAAACTGATGAGACCTGATAGGATATAAGACCTGCTAGGTTTTAATCCACAGTTGTTTGAAGAAGGGCAGAACGGCCGCCTCAAATTCGCCTTGAAAGCGGCTTTGTGCGGGCCCTGTCCTCAAGTCTCGAGCAGCACACTTGAGATCGGTGTTTGGTGTAAATAGGTCCGGGTCAGATGGTACTTAACAAATCACGGGTTCGCTGCATCTCGGCCCGGTAAAGTTTACCCCGTGCGTGGCGTAGCTAAAGAAGCGCGCGGAGCAGTCCACCAGGCGATCGAGTACGCTTAGTAACCCGACCATTGTGACAGTCAGGTTAAACCAACCACGAGAGCACAACGATTCGCGGCCCAGCCGGCCGCGCGCGCGGCTGTCTGTCGACCGGACTCACAAGGGGATCATCCTGGCCCTCCTGATCAATGATCGATCTTCAAAGCTCTTCAATGCTGTAGCATTCTGTCAAGCGGAACGAAAGCAACGTGAAGCTTTACAGCTTCCAGCTGTTGCAAGGACCAGAACCCGTTGGATCGAGCAGGTGATCTAAGAATATTCTGATGGTATCCAACCCCCATGCAACCTTAAATCTTACTATCGATGTAGCTAGCTGAAGGTTAAGGTTTCACTAGTACAGGCGTACCCGAAGTGCTGCATTTATACGAAACTTGCATGATGAACTGAAGTGCTGCAGGCAACTTTTTTGCCCTGTTCCTTCATGGCACACTGAGGGTGGCCAGAATGCAGAGCTCGCCGCAAAGCTCATTGCCTGCTAGTAGGTCGACAAAGTGGTTCAGTGAGCTGCAACGATGGCAACAAGGAATATGAGCACCAGATACATAACCTGGCCGTTTGACGTTCATTGCGACGTTCCTGAGCTAGCTGGCTTCTTAACTCGAATTGTGTTCCCCCCAGCTCGCGAGCTCATGGGTCAGCCCCATGCAGCGCGATCCCTTCTTGCTTGGACTCAAACTTGCGTGATCGATTGCAATATAAGGCTTTACTGCCTGAGGCTCGCGGTCGTTGAGCTCGAGACGCCGATCCACCAATGAAGACATGCAGTTTGGCAAACGACCATGCAACAACATCATTGACTTGGAGACACATCATGAGTGATGGCATGGAACTTACCGACAATAGTTCACGTACTCATCGCGAGTCTTTCTTGAGTCCGAAGTTTGGTGGCCAATTAGTACATATTGAGAGTCTGACTCCGTGATGCTTGACAACTACAGAAGCCCAGTGCTGGTGTAGTGTGCAAGGCTTCACACGTTACTTTCCGCAACAAAATGAAGCGGTGCATCTGTGATGTTCAAGTCAGTCCAAGGAGCTCACGCGCGCGGGCATGCATCACTGAGCATCAAATCGGAAACATGTCTGGGTTTAGAATCGTACAGATGCTTCGAACTGAATTTCATATATCAAGCATCATATACATTGCACGCATGAATTAATTCAATCATTGTTTCAGCATAGACATATTGCAGAGGCCGTTGCGCAGCCATCACGCCCCCAATCACCTCAGGCCGTTTCGTTTGTTGTAATTTCAAATTCACAATATACTAGTTGCATGATCGACGGCCAAAATGCTCCAGCAGCACGACGCAATGGCAACAAGATCATTGCATAGAATCATCAACCATGCAAACATATGTTGAATATCCGGAAGTGTCTACCCGGACCAAGTTTGCCACGGTTGCTTAAGCATAGCGACAGCTTACGGTGCACAACTGTTGCATGCTGACACACATGCAGTGGCGACGACATGATGTCATCCTTGAGACAAAGTGACGTTCAATCAATCGTTTACAAAATCAGCAGTTTATGGGCAGTCAAAACAGGATTTTGGGCAGTCGAGTTGAGTCCTACATATTGTTCGCAGTCTAAAGAAAGAATCAGGTCTACGCAGTAATGTTTTACTCTTCGCTACAATCAGTGGGGTTAGTATGGTAAACTACCGGTGTGGAAACTGCAATAAGCTGTTTGAGTGGGGTTCAGTGAATGTACTCTCTTTACTAAGCTAGGGAGACGGTGATCCGAAAAGAAACAGCAAACGAAGGTCCTGATCCTCAAAGTCAGGAGACTCTCAAAGCGACACAACACCACCTCTAAGGCCCCGCACCCAGCTACCATTGTTACAATCGATCAATGTCGTTTGAAGACCGTCTACTCACTGCTTTGTCTGTTCCTTCAGTAAATCTCCACCTCCCAGTGCACCTTCCTCCCGAAGATGACGCGGCAGTCACACTATGCATTATTCCCAGGACGTCATTGCGGCCGCTGAGCCGCTTTCTACTACTACCCAGTCAGTCAGTCACAAAGCCGGATCCGCAGACCCGCAAGAGCCCCATCCTCTTAACACTTTGGCTAAATCGGGTCCGTGTGTTTGCAAACAGGAAGTCAGTACAGGCTAAAATAGAGTACCCCCTCCCCACGGTTCCCGCGAAGGTTTCAACAGAGTATTCCTTTCTATAGGTTGCAGGACTACGATGTACATGGGTGCTAAACAAGCTGTACGCTTTTCCGGAAGGGGAGTATCCAGGAAGCTAAACTCAGTCGGTTCCAGATCAATATAAGAAGGAGGATAAAAGCGGTCTACTTTGAACAGGGCAGGCACAGGGGCCGCTCGACGTGGCAAGGGAAGCGTTGCTCCGGCCCGAGCGGACTGCCAGAGTTGCACAAAGAGTCACTTGCCGATTTTGCGCCAAGGAAAGGTACGACGCACGTCAGGAAGACGCCTTTGCTTCGACTGCATATGATCTGGAAGGTAGAGGAAGACGACAACAAGTCAGATTGCTTGGATGAAGAAACATTGATCCGGTTTGCTTGGTCGGCGAGATGAAAAGAAAAGACCATACAATCAGACTTCTTCAACCTGTAAAAAGATCTCAAGAACGAGGAGGCGCTGCATGTCCTGAGCCAGTGGACATAACGTTTACCGCCAACAATTAAGACCGACCATTCTTGGTGGAGAGCTTCGTTTAGAGTCAGCAATCAGGGATTTAGAGAACTTCTCTTCCAATGACATGGACTGAAGAGCAATCGTTTTATTGACGGACTGATCATAGTAATCACGAGACATGGAAACCCCGATACTAGCACCGGGACAACCAGTCAGAATTGCCAAAATGGAGGACTACGCTTTGAAGCACTAGACATTTGGCAGAACTAGAAACGTCTTTCTGGAACACTGGCTTCTTCTATGTTCAAGTTTCACATCACACTTTCTGGAACACTGATAGATCCTACCGATTCAAGAAATCAACCAGAAGAACGAGCGTGGACTCGGAAAGACAAAGCCAGGTTCACAGAGGAAGAGCAAAGTTGGTAACAAAGCAGAAGAGAGGTAATGACGAAGACATGAAGAAAGATGGTCAATCAGACAATCAAACGGGTCTAGATCCGGAAGCCTATCTTTCAAGATTGCTGACAAGTAGCAAAACAAGCACGATAACGAGGAGCAGGATAGACCTCTCCTTTCAGAGAATCTGCTTGCGAAGCCTATCCAATGACCCAAAATTACTTCTGATAGTTTTTGAGACCCTAGACATGTATAACCCACAGCCAGAAAGCAGATTGAGTTGGCTCACCTAGTCACGCCCGCTACTCTTTAATTCCGTTGCTAATGTTGACCACTGGAGGGGGTGAGAGTGCGTCTCCATACGCCACATGTGAAACCCTTCTCTGGCGGCGACTGTGCTAACGCCTTCTTTGTTGTTCTGGTGGCTGGACTCTTGTGCCCTTTCTCTGGAGCCTGCCCTGTAAGCAAAGGAGATTCGTCAGAGATGAGTCTCTTGCCAATGAGGGAAAAGCTTATAACCACCTGTTCCACCTTTCTGGCTGCGGAAGAAGCATTAAGCTTATCTTGTACGCCTGCACAAGAGACAGAATAAGCACATTGTGACACTTTACCCCTATCTACTTTATGCTTTTCATAACGCTTTTTCAAACAACTGTTGTGAACTACTGAGGTCTGACCTTGAAGCTACCAGCAGGTAAATTTCATCAACACGTGCAGGTCTGACTGATCATTGCTGAAAGCAATGCATTGCTTACATGCAGGATGCAACCAAAATCGCAAAGGGTGCTAATGCTCCGTCTGAAACCAAGCACATTTGCGCGATTCCCTTTTCAAATTCTGGCAAGTCCAAGCTTCCAGTCATGTAAGGAATCTCACTTACAAACGCGACACCTGCATTGTCCAATTCGCATTGTTCAGCAGCACAACAAAGCGCCACAGCTCCCAGATTCATGGAAGGACCCTGTAGAAAGCTCATTGAGAACACTCTTAACAATCACACTGGAACTCTTCAAGACACTTTGTTAGCAGGTCATGAAGTGGTTCCTTACCCACTCATGTCACTTGAAGTCCAGCTTCTTGGTCACACGAGCCATCGCCTCCTTATCAAACCCCGATGGCCGGCGCGGCTTCTTTGGCGCCCCGGGCGCCTCCCTTTGGCGCCCCTCCCGCAGAATGCTCTCGGGGGGGGTCTGCGGCTCCTCCTCGTCAGCCCCCAAAACCCTGAAAGTTGCACTGGCTGGCGTCCGAGGGGACGTGGACGTATCTGTAACGTTCAGGTTGTCCAAGCTCGTCCGGAGGCCCCCCAGGGGGTCCACCGGGTGGCTCGCCGCACTGGTAAAACTCTCCTCTCTAGTTCCAATCTCTTCTTGTGATGGTTCTGGTAAGCTACCAGGGGGTAACTTTGAGCTTTGTGGCTGGAACCTGGGACCTGTTTCGGGGGCGTCCTCGGTGCTGGATGCTCCAGGGCTGTGAGGGAAGCTCAGGGGGTCGTCAGCGAAGGGATCGAGAATCTTTGCCGCTCGGCCTGCTCTGGGGCCCTTGTCCCGCTTCCGTTCTGCCATGCGATGGAGTTTTACCGCACCATGCTGGCCCGTTCCTGTCCCCAGATGACTGCTCAACGTGATACACGCTGTTACAGCGCTGTCCCAAGGCACCCTTTCTGGATGAGGGGTAGCTGATGGCAGCTTGCCCTTCTTCTTTTACCTGGAGTTCGAAATGGCGTTCGCTTCTGGAGCTCACATCACTTAGGGAATGAAGGGCACATAATCTCAAATAGGAGAGAATTTTCAAGAGCGTTCTTTTGACCCCAGACCAACATCCACAGCCCTTTCTTTGAGTTTGAGCAGAAAAGGATTGCCGTCTCAACAAGCAGTCCAAAGTCCCCAGACATGATTTGGAAGTCTGCTAAGTATGCCTTAGAGAACCCCCATGCTACAACACGTCAGAGAAGCTAGCGCCTTGCTGTTCACGCGCCTTGCTGGTGTCCCCAGAGAAACTCTGCATGGCAGCCCCTCGCAACAGCCCATCTGACTCCAGCATATCTTACGGTCGAGAGTCTTGCGGAGGTTGTTATGACTTTTCAACCGTCCGATAGCATCAGCTGTTTGCCAGATGTCGCGACCAAGGCTGGACAATGGTCGTCCAGGCTGGACCAAAAGTCAATCAAGGTCAATCTAAATCCAACCTAGTTCACGCTGGGCCAGCTGAGGCAATAACGCGAAGCTAAGAGGATTGCGGATGGGGACGGTTCCCGAAGCCGTGAGCCAGTCGCTTTCACGAGTTCTAGATCCTCTTAACACCACCATAAACACAACAGTAATTCCAAACCGACTCTGCAACGATCTTGTGTGCAAACGGTTTTCAAGCTGAGGTGCCAACAAGTACCGGCTCTCTACTTGCAAATTTTGATAAGGCTTCCCCGAGCTGGAAAAAGATAGGGCATTCCTTGAGATCCAACGGCTGAGATGGACCATTCCATGCCTTGGTCGAACAAAGGAAAACCGCAAGAATGAAGAGGATGATATTGGAGGGACGAGATGCAGTTTTTCAAGCAGCCAGTTGTGTGAAGGAAGGGAATGCATACCGTATGCATGCCCGCTAAGTAAGAGGCCCTGGCCTCGGCAGGGCTGCATGCCGCACTGCCATATGTAGGTGCACAAACTGCAATAAAGCGTGTGGCAGCATTGCGGCTGCTTGCAAACTCGCAACCGATCATCGACCTCTCCTGCAATCGTAGAAGATCCTGCTCTCCTTTCAGCGTTTTCAAAGAGGGCTGCAGCTCACACAAATCAAGGGGCGCCTTACAAACTGCATGCATGACTTTGTGTTGAGGTAGCGAGGCGTCACCTTCAAACGGCCCGCTGATGTCCCCAGCGCTGTAGCAAGACGCTGAATGCTCTTGCAGACGTGCATCAGCCTTGAGTCAACTCGATTGCTAACAACAATTGGACCTAGAGCTCAGAGAACATCACTTCACTACACAGGCAAAAGCCACAGAAGTAGTGCCTGCCAACTGCTTGTAGTTTGCGACGCACAGGACTACCCCAGCAGCTTGAAAGTCCAAATTGAAGCCGTTTTAGTGCAATTGCCAGCATGTGTCGCCTTATGGTGTATCTGGGGGACCCTATTGTGGTCGCTGACCTGGTCACTCGCCCCAGCCACTCAGTCATGAAGCAGTCCTTTGCAGCCAGAGAGCGGTTAACAGGGGGCCCAGGATACATTCCTCTGTCCATCAACGCTGATGGTTGTGGTGAGTGTTACTTTGGATTTTTATAAGTAGCAGTGGGACTTACTAACACCCGCTTCCTTTCTTTTATGTTGGTTATCTCAATTCTGTTGGAGAGCGGAAACTCGACTTTTGTTGCACTATCATTTGCAATGCCACTTGCCAACTACGGACATCCACTGAGAAAGAGCTAGTGCCCCTAGACGTGAAGCTCTGTCCTGAGCTTCTCAGAGGTTGCCTCAGATGATGCATCTTTCCAGGAGCTTCTGCTTTCTAGACGGTGGCTTTGCATTCGCTATGCGAAATTGCTCATCACATTTGCAAGTTGGCAGTCATTCCATGCGGGATGTGGCTTTAATTGCTCGGTGACAACCATGGCTCTAATCAAGCTTCTTCTTTGCTTGTCAGCTTCAGCTTAAAACGAGTAGCAAAAGAAAAAACTTTCATTCCTTTCAGTAACCTAGCAGCTGGTAAGGAGTGGTTGCAAACGGCTTTCTTTGTGCATTCCCGAAAACTTACTTTGAAGATGTTCAAAGCATAGCAAGAATTCCAATTCCCACCTCGTGTACTTTTCAGGGATCGGTTGGTACGCCCGTGAAGTTGAGCGCAAAGACGGAGATGTGACTCCAGGCATCTACACTAGCATCAGCCCGGCATGGAACGACGTAAATTTGGAAAGGATCACACCAAAGATTGTTTCGCCCCTCATCTTTGCACACGTCCGGGCTGCAATGGTTGGGACACCTGTTGTCCAGATGAAGTGCCATGTAAGTGCTGATCTGGGGGTAAGAAGTGATTGATGTACTCTGAAATTGTACAGTTTGTCTGATTATCTGTTGGAAGTGGTTCATTGCAGATCCTCGAGTTGATTCTCCTCATTGAGTCCTATGCAGCAACTATATGCTTCAGTTGCACTTAAGTAGCCAAAGAGAATCAGAGCAACTCTGGGAAAATGTTCCAGGTTCAAATAACGCTTTGCAGTCACTGCTGATTATGCATTAGTTGAAAAGTTCACGGCTCCAGTCGTCCATCTGTCCTATAATGTGCTGAAGAAAAAGCTGCCTAGCTCTCTTCTTTTTTTGAGTGTATTAGCCCGTGCTGCCTCCGCTACATCTGTCTGCACAACGCCGACACCGGTGGTTTGAAAACCCCTGCTTTTCTTGCAGACTTGTCACTCTTTCCTGGCTTCCATCTCTGTACCATAGAGACCATAGAGACGAGCCGGTTGAGTATCCAATTGCAGCTTCTCTCGCAAGTCCGTGAGCTTTTCAAGCTCCAGTCTCCAATCAACCCTGCAAGAAGCAAGAATTCTCTTCAATGTGCAGCCTTTCTCAATTGGCCGCTATATGTGGATGCACAACGGCGAGATCGGCGGTTTCAGCGCGCTGCGCCTGCCGCTGCTAAACGCACTGCGTCCCGAAGTCGCGCAGAAGTGCCCCTGCTTCGAGTCGGACACTGCGGTTGCCTTTGCAGTCTTCCTTAACCAGGTAGGGTTAGAAGTTAAGGCAATCTTATACGGAGGGAGAAGGATGATGGGAACGGAAGCTTCTCAATTTCCAACTAGTAACGAATCGTTAACTTAGTCGAGTCCTCTTCAGTCGACCTTACCTCCTACCTGTCGTTTTGCTTTTTTGTCATCGTTCGAGAACACAGTAACGTCAGTTGAGTTCCTTCTTGTGCATCAAAAGTCTGTACTAGGTGCAGATTGGTTAACTGCAATTTGAACGGTCAATTTGATTTAGTATAGCGAGTACGATATTCTTTGCAAGCTTTTTGGACTCGCTTCTCGTGATCATGATCGAACTCCAATTTCCAGCTTGACGGTGGCTTGAGAATTACGTTGACCCGCGTTTCCAGCTCGACGACCCAATGGTTCAACTCGCGCCAACGGCCCTGGCGCCCCTCATGGCCGCTACCATCGCCACCATTCGCCACGTGGCAGTCCAGAACGGGCGTGGCGACGAGACCAGCATGCTCAACTTCGTCGTGTCGGACGGTCGGACGGTTGTCGCGGCGCGGTACACGAATGCTACGGATGAGCCTGCGTCGCTGCACTATGCAACCGGGTCCGCTTTCAGAAGGTGCGCAATTGGTGTACAACTCATGTGACAGAACTAAGAAGAACAGCAAAAAAAGTTATGAATTGAACGTAAGACGATCGAATTGGTTTTCTGGATCGACCGTCGAAGGCTGTGGTGTCAGAACCGTGTCTATCGGTTGATTTTCGCCGCTCCAAATAAGAACACGCCAGAGCGCGGCATCAGCAAGGCGAGGGGTTCCGCTCTACAAGGTGCACAGGACTACCAATGTTTTGATGTGGTCTTCTTGCTCCACCAGCAATAGTGTACGTAGTCGCCCTAGTCCTCGAGCATAATATTTTTGCACGAAGGGCTGGGCGCTTTACAGACCTTGATCAGTCTCAGGGCTTCATAGCTGCCAAGTCTCAAACTGTACTTCAAAATTTTAAAGTTCCTGCTCAGCAGAGAATGAAGTCAACCTTCTTTGCCGTTTGGTGTTTCAGATTATGTGCTGACCGCGGATCGGACCCCTCTTTCACGAAGCAAACAACAGTTGAGATATCCAGGAAATTTTCAGCCCGCTTGTCAAAGCTATCAACGCTCAGCCGTCATCCCGAAGTCAGTTTTGGAACCGCACTGCCTTTCAAACGACGACACGTGTTCCTCTTTTTAAATGCAGGAAGAAGGAGGCGTCCGCAGACTTCCGTTTGGAGTACCACGACAAACGGAGCCGGTTAGGGTTAGTGGCGTCGGAGCCGCTAACCGACGAGGTGGCCGACTGGGCACAGGTCCCTCCTAACCACATGGTGGTGTTAATGCACTCGGAGGGCAGCTTTGTGGACACACTAGTACTCCCGATCGACTGCGAGAGCCCAGAGGTGAGGACCTTTTCACACCACAAATTAAAAAGAGGTTTTGGAATTTCCTTGTGATGTGAATGCACTCCGAGGGCAGCCTCATGGACACACTGGGACTCTCAAATGATTGCAAGAGCCCGGAGGTGAGGATCTGTTCACATCGAAGATTTCAAGCAGCTTTTTTCCTTCTCCTTCTGGTCGTCATAACCTGTGTGATGTGAGCGTACTTTCAATGCAGTGTCCTGATACTCTTGTGCTTCCATTTAACTGTGCGTAGGAGCCCGAGGATTAGGCCGGTTGCAAAAGGCAGAACCCGAACGAAGACTTTGTCGATGGACGGCAGCTTCGAGGGCACTAGCGTGCTTAGGAGAGATAGACAGAATCTTTGGAGGTGCACAAGTTCTTCCCATGACTGGACCGGATAATCGTTGAGGATTCCTTTGATTGGACTCTGAGGGCAGCTTTACGGACACGTGTTGGTGCTTCTGATCGACCGCAAGGGCCGGGCGAGGGAAGTCGTACTTTTTGGCCAGCATGAAAAGCTGCCTTCTAATTGGTTTGACTCTTTGTTCCGCTCGCTGATCATCGTTCCGGTGTACTCACGGCAGCACGAGCGTCCGGAACACGCCGTATTATAGCTCGTTTGCAAGTTCTGAGGGGGTAGTTCAAACCTAGACGAGACGCAGAGACGAGGAGTCCTATCCAGAATAAAGACTCTGGCGCGTGCTTGTTCAAGGGAAAGACTTCGAAGAACCAAGTGCGCCTAACCGACCCGTCATGCTGACGTCACAGGTCCAAGACCACGTGACCCGCTGCTTCCGCGCGCTGGACCAGTCGATCGCCGACAACGCCCCGCAGGCCCTCCAACAAGCGCCCGGGGGGATCCCCCGGGCCCTAAAGCGGCCTTCGTTTGCCACCGGGGAGGACGTACCGGTCGCAACGGCTCCCGAGACGATTTTCGAGGAGACGGGGCAGAGCGTGCTGTCGGTGGCTGCGGACGGGACACGTGTCTTCTCGGGGAGTCCCGCTGGGACAATCCACGTGTTCGATTTGCAGACAGGTGGGCGCAACAGACTGGTTGCGGGACATGGTGTTTCTTCTCTGAGCGGAAATCTGAAGCGCTCATAAGCGCTCGTGGTAAAATCTGATTGTAGTTCTTTCAAGAGCGATGTAATCGTTTCGTACCCGTCCTTTCGAAGAAAGACGTTGTTTTGTTCCTAGGAGGAGTCGTTCAAGGAGCCAAGACTTGTGGATCTTTCGTGAGGCGGGAAACACTTCGGATTCGCAGACGATCGTCCCGTTGTTTCGACCAAAGTTTGCGTGGCAATTTATGCCGCACAAACAGACATCCACCTCAGAATGGCTGAGCTACTCGCACTGGAGGACAATGGTTCAATGCACTTAACATTTTGGGCTGACAACTATTTGAGGCTGTGTACAGCTCCTCGAAATCATTCTGGCAACTTTTGGAGGCTTTTTATAAGTTCCGAGGCCGAGCGTATGCACTTCGGGATGCTGATAACCACTATTTCAAAGCACTCTCCGAAGCGCTCGGCCGATATCAAATCTCAGTGGAGCTCATCTTGAAGTCCAAGATGCTGCCCTGTAGCAGCAGTCTACATATGACATCGTAGTCCTCACAGATTGACGTCTATCCGCCCATGCCACATGTCAGGTTTGGAACTGGTCCCGTCATCCGTCTTGCAGGCAAGCTGTTGCACACACTTGACGACCACAGCCATGCGGTGTTTTCTCTGGCGGTAGCCGATGGCCGCCTCTTCAGCAGCAGCATGCGAGTGAGTCACTCGTGCCGCCGCTTCTTCTTTTCATTGCATCCTACCTGCGGTCGACTTCTGTTTCTCTAGCGGTCTTGCGTTTCTTGCTGTCTCTCTTATTTCCGCTCGCTTGCTTTGTCTGCGACGCTTTGCGCTGTCGGATTCTTTGCCTCTTTCCAACTTCGACAAATTGTTTGGTTTCCCCTCTCCTCTTCCATTGTGTTCCTTGGTTCTTTAGAAGAAATGGAGTACCTCACTAACTGCAGCTTTTGCGCATAGGAAGGTTCATCTGGGCGACCCTTGTTACTTCCAAACCCTTTACAAATCTTGTCTTCCCCTGTGCCTCTCATTGTTATTGATATCTCCCCCGCCAATGTTTTTAATGCTGTCTACTCTGCGGCTCCCAGCAACGGTAACTTTTGAATGACAAGATTCCCTTGGCAACGGGATTTTTGCTGACGTGAGACCTGCTTGCTTATTCTGCGTCCAGGTTGTGAACGAGTGGGACCTGACAAGCCCCGACGGCGCCGCGCGCGCGCGGCCGCGCCTCCTCTCCACACGTCACCACAGCGACGGCGACGTGCTGGCGCTCGCGGCTGCTAAAGGTGCGCGCGCATCCTCCCTTGCGCACGTTTTTGCGCGCTGAAATCGCGCGCGCGTGGTATTGCAAAAAAGTCACGTTGTGCTGGTATTCACGGCCGCATAAACGTGCGCGTGCGAGGCATCTTTCCCGTCCCGAAAGCTTGGTTTCTAAGTGTCGAAGTCCGGCTTCAACTAGCTCGTTATAGTCCAGCAAATCCTTTCGCCAAATGTACGCCTCTCAGGGTCAAGGGGCCATGCGTTGCATCATTGTGTGCATATGCTTTGGAAGAACGAGCTCTGGTCTTCCAAAAAAAGCGTCCAAAGTTTCAAGCTCTCAGAATGGTTCAAGTTGCACTTAAGTCACTGAAATTGGGTGCTGAGGGTTTCAGGCGGACAGCGGAACCTTGCGATGGTCGAAATCCCAGCGCGCATCCGAAATCAAATTACGGACTTCGATCTGCAAACTTTAGCCAGGGAACCGCAAACTTTGGCAGGACCGGCTCACAATATTGAGGTTCAGCAAACCGTGCGTAACCAAATGCAAACAAAAGATCACGTGCGTTCATTTTTGTCCTCAGATTCTAACGGCAGCGCTGTGATTCTTGGTCGTCCCCCAGCCAATTCGTGGTTCTGCGGTCCGCCTGGTTTGGGGTCTCCAGATGCATGCTCAAAAGTCATTGCAATCTGCACTAATGCGAATCTCGAACGGTCTCTGCAGGTAGCATCACCGCGTTAGAGCTGCCATCGGTTCCGGAACTGTTTGCTGACGCCGCCTCTCGTTGTTTGTCGTCAAAAGGTGTCGTCATCGGTGGTCCCCGTGACGTCAGCATCCACGTGGAGAAAGCGTGCGCCGACGGCGTCACGCAGAACAGCGAGGCCACGGTGGGCGAGCAGAAGGGTGAGCTGGTGCGCGCGCGCGCGCTCCTGACGGACGCGCTGACGGGAGGACACGTGTCCACCGTCTACGCGGTGGTTGTCAGGGGCCGGTGGCTGTTCAGTGCCGCTGGGGATGCAGCCGTGAAGGTAAATATCCGATTGGCATTCGTGCTGCCCGCCTTTCTTAAAACCCTTTGTATTGAAGAAGTCGAAGCGGGAGAAGGAACGTGACCGTCGAATCTGCCGCAAAGAAGCTGTCGAAAGTGTGAAGTCCAGCAAATCCCAGTCTCGGGCAGATCTTACTCTCGTTAACTGCAGGTTCAACATGTTGCAGCGCCATTCCGCACTGCATTCGGTGCAAACTTTACGGCTTTTGACGATACACTGGTTCCTCCGCCTTTCTGACTCGTATCGAACAGGCCCTCGAAAAACAACATGTTCTTCCTGCGTTTAAGGGGCCTCGAGAGTGGCCTCGGGGCTAGTTTGCCAATCACATGACGCCAATCTCAACAGACTCTGAACAAGGACAGCACGAACATTCTTGGTCAGCTTGGTGCGGACTCGACCGCCTTCCTTCCGGTCAAAAAAAAACCGGGATTCGTTTTAGAGGTGACTGCGTTTTATAAAAGTTTTTTTAAAATAACAGCTCGCGGAAGTGAAAGGTTTGTCCGAACATTAAAGGGGCAGCTTAAAAATGCAAATGAAAAGAATCAAACCCAGAACAATGTTCTCACTCCGCCCACAGGTCTCAACGCGGACATCGTTTACGGGGTTAACTTTGTCGTCTGAAGTAAAGTTGATGTGGGTTATACATGAGACCCGCTTTTGTCGCCTCAGATCTGGGACCTCGACGCCGGCAAGCACAAGGCCAGCCTGTACGGGCACGCCGGCGCCGTCATGGCGCTCGCGGACGTCCAAAAACAGCCCTCCTCCGGACCCGATGCGGACGCCCAGAAAGAGCGATCGAACGGTTCGGACGCCGCGACCAGCCCATCGGACGGCCAGGAGGAGCGTTCAGACGCTCCGGACGGCGGGTTTTGGCTCCTGAGCGGCGGCCGCGACAACAGCGTCCGCGTATGGGACACGGACACACGGGAGTGCGTTCGCGTTTTGAAGGGCCATGCGGACGATGTGCTGGCGCTTTGCGGGGGCTTCGGCGGCCGCTTTTACAGCGCATCTGCCGACGGGACCATACGGTGGGTGATCTTGTGTTTGGTCCCATTACGTCTTTGCCGATATACGTTCCGTCTTGGCCACGGATTGGTGGAGAATGCCATACCGTCGTTGTCATGTTCCTAAGTTCTGTCCATTCTTCCCTCTTCCCTGCTCCTCGTTTTTCCCCGCACCGTTTGGCATCGCAAATTGAACACGACGATGGGATTTTTCAATGTCTTCCGGCCTTTGTCGTTGTTTGTGGTTGGTAGAATTTGTGTCAGACGCGAGATCTAGAATGATACTTACAAGCGTACGTCAAAGCTCGAATGGATTGGACCCTTTGAAAACAAGGCCTTGGGTGTCCGTTTTGGACTAGACCCTGCGTGTGACGTTCCACGATTTCCATTTTTAGCACAAGCACGGACACTACAGCTGTTTGTGTCGACTTGCCATCGGGTGCCAAGTTCTCCGAGCATGGTCCCTGATCTTTGGCCGTTCAGTTCTCTCTTAGAATCGATTGGACGGTGCAAAATCAGGAACCACGCTTGAGCGATTTGAGACTCGACGGCAGGTTTGACGCAAAGAGCTGGATGTTCTCGGATGTACGCACGGGGTTGTAATTGTTTCTTTTGTTCTGTTTCTTCCCTTCTTCTTCTTCCCTTTTTAGGTATCTGAGTTTTTTTTTGTCCTGCAGAGCCTGGAGCACTGCGACCTGGTCATGCACTCAGATCTTCCACCACGAGGATACCGTTCCGTTGGCGATATGGCCAACGGAAAGAGGTGTTGGGAGCGGAGCGGCGGACGGGAAAGTGCGTTCCTGGTTGGTCGACAGAAAGTAGGACGTGGTGAAGCTTTTGTTTGTACAATATGCACGCGCAACACTTTTATGACACTTACCCTCAGAAGCGAACAGCAAGAACTGGCGAGGCGCACAGGCGTCAAGGAACTTGATTACCGGTAAGATAGATGAAGAGGCCTCAGACAGGAAACGTTCTTGAGAGCTTTGCAGACATCGCGATTTCGATGTCAACGGGACAATCTATGAGCATCGGCGATTTTGAAAGGAGCCGGCGTCTAAGATCCCGCTCGTAGTTTACCGCCAAGATTCTCCACGATCAATCTGGCCTGTTGTCTGGTGATTTGTCAAAGCCACACTCGTTTCGAGTCTGCCGGTGCTACAAGTTCAAGGTTTGCTCCTTGGAATTTGGCATGGGTCTTCTTCAAACGCCCATGGCAAGCGGCCAGAAACTGCATCGTGCAGTCTGCATTCATTGTCCCGCTTATGACTCTGCATGCATAGCTGGCCTTACCTACAAGTTCAGTGGATACTCAAGTTTCTCACCAAGTCGCAAGTTATGCCACGCTCAGGTTTGAGTTAGCTGAGAGCTTGTCACAGTTCATCCAACGTCTTTCCTTCGTTCTGATCAAGTTTTACGCTCTATAATATGGTGCCAAGTTATGTGCGAGCGTGCCACAGCTTGCAGATCACTGAGCCGTGCAACAACTTGTTGCGCGGCTGCGCAAGGTATACCACACTCTAGCTTATAAATGATGCCCCATAAGTCTGCAGACTCTACTTGGAATTTACTTTCTTGTTCTGCATGCAAGCATGCATGGCTTACTCATAACAAGCGCCACTCACTCACTCAACTTACCTCTGTCATGTGTTAATATGTTGAAAATTAGATGGTTTCATATCCTGGCTGGACATGCAGCACGGCGGCACAGCAAGGCTAGCTGCGGATCGGACCGCCGAACGCCCTATAGCGCGGGCGGCTGCCGCGGCCGCGCTGGGCAGAGATCCGTCGGATCTGAGAATATGAAATTAGACGGCAGAGATTATTCATGACGTCCAACCAACTGAGCCTACGGAGTCCGACTCCCTAGCCTCGCACTAAAACTGTTCGAATGATCTTGACCATCAAATGGAGGGCAAGCAGGTCGGACGTCTTGTCTTGCATGACAATGATGCTGCTAGATCTTCATTTTCAAGGGCGTTTCTTTCACTTGCGCAAGCCTGAAAGTTTCAGGCTGAGGCTGAAGACAGTGTAGTGGGCCCAGGCGCCTTTGTTACAAACAAAGCAATAGCAGACAATCCTTCCAGGTGAGGAGAAAGTGGTTCATCTCTTCTTGTAGCATGCCAAGCTTGCGGTAAAAGCAAAGATTCGTGTGATCTGGTGAAGCGACTAAGTCTATCAACATCATTTTGACTTAACAAGAACGCCGGATATATGCAAGTTGAAAGGTTCATTCAATATTTTTGCAATGCTGAATCCACAGCTTATAAATACATGTTTCTGAAGCTGGTGGAGATGAAAGGTGTTTGAGAGCAACTGAACGGAACTTTCCAAACTTTTTTGAGGGCACCACTGTGAAACGTCAGAGTCCTCTTTTGCACACTTGGGGTCTGCCTGCGACCTTCCATAGAACAGCTTTTGATGCTTCGATCATGTTTCTTTCAAGCCCCTTGCATACTCTTAATTTGGGAAGAGCGTTACCAGCCTGCACGAGGGAATGCCGCTTGGTTTGCAGTGTCATTGACTTGCGGGTTGTTGATGCGTTGGTGGCATGTGAAAGATGGATCAGCCTTACTTTTGTTGTCGGTTGTTTGGGGCATTGCTAACACTGAGTTAAGGTGCAAAAGTGAGCTTACCCCTAAGGATTAATGCTATTCAGGGCCGAATGTTAACAAGAATGTTATCAATATGGATCTTATGTCGGGTTTCCCTGGGGCATTTGAAGTGTTGTTTGCTAGTAGTGGTTGCTTGTTGCCTTGTTCAATAAATGCTGGCCGGTTATGAATCTCAAGCATTTCAAAAGCAAAGGTCGGGACACTCATGTTTGTGTGTTTATTTTGATCTTTTTCTTTCATACCACTTGTTCATGTCGCTTCTTCTCACTCCGTTCTGTTTCTATGCAGGGATTTAACGCAGCATCGTTGAGAGAGCTGACATCGTCATCCTCCGCTTGCTTTAATATCACGCTTTGCATACGGGGGGAAAGAATGAGCAGCCTTGTTCGCCCCCCTCTCGGTCCCCGCACCAGCCTTGCCTCCCAAGCGCTCAACACAAACCCCCCCTCCAACCAAACCCGAAGCGGCCCCCCCGTCACAGACGCCGCTTGCGCCCCTTTTCCAAGCTTCGGCAGACCCCCCCGCTCGCCCACTTCACAACTAGGTAGGAGAGGCTTCAACGCGTCACTCCAAGACAGTTGCAGCCGAACTGTAGACCAGTACCCCTTCCTAGCGGTTGGGAAAAGCGCCCTTCCAAACTCCACCAAATCTAACTTCTTATCCCAGGGCTCGGAAAGATTAGCGGCCCCCCGGTCCGGAAAAGGGGGGGTGGAAATGAGTGTCGCAACAGCGCCCAAGCGCGTGATGCGTACGGTGAAGCTCTCGGAGGTGGCGGGGGCGGATCTGCAGCAGCTTCTGTCGCGGCCGAGGATCGATTTCAAGAGCATCTTTGACACCGTCGGGCCGATCATTGAGAATGTGCAGAAAAGGGGGGATGAAGCGGTGCGCGAGTGAGTATCTTTTGCCCCCTAACTTTAGCCCTTGTCTTCGTCGCAGCCCCTGGCAAATGTTCCCAGGCATTCTTGACTCTGTCGCTTGACAGTGTCGATCCAAACATAGAGATGTTGACACTAGCCGCGAGCTGTGGTGGTACATCATCAAGTGGCCTCTAAAAAGGTTCTGAAACGGAAGGAATAACAAGCTCACAAACCAATCCCGATCATCCCGCTCAGGTACACAGCGAAGTTCGATGGGGCGAACTTGGACGACGTCGTGGTGAAAGTGTCGGACCTGCCGGACCCGCAGTTGGATCCGGACGTTACAGCAGCATTTGACGTCGCGTTTGATAACATCAAAGCGTTCCATGCTGCGCAGAAAAAGACGCAGGCTTTGGTGGTCGAGACAATGCCGGTAGGGTGCCCCTTTTTCCTTTCCCAACTTATGTTTGAAACGGCTTAGCGCAATTGAAACGACGGCCCCTTCCTTTGCTTTCCTCAGCCTAGAGTGTTTTTTTAATGTTCTATCAAGGTAAGACCGTTGAGAGATCAAAGATTGTGGCAAGTGGGCGGTGCGGAATTGCCAAACGAAGGAAGGATGAAGCAATCACATAACGGGCCTTTTGTATTTTGTTGTTTGCGCCGTCCAACCATTGCCTTAGGCTTTTACTGATGTCATCAAGCTCAAAATTGAAGTTTTCGAGCTGGCTGGCCGCGCATCCTCCGATCTAGTTTCTGCATAAAGCCTTGTGTAATCCTTGTCTCAGGTCCGTCGGAGCACTGAGGGAAAGGATGTTTGTCTCTTGTCGCTGCACCCATTCTGTAGACCAATTCAGCTTGTTGATGGTCACAAAGTCTCCAGTCCATTGTCCGGTCGAGCGGAGGATTACGGAAAGTGTATTTGACCCGCGTCATCATTAGTCTTAGCTTCATTCAGTACCGTCGGAGGTTTCGCTGGTAGAGGGGTCCATCTCCGGTCCAACCATCTTTCGCCTGGATAACAAAACGCAAACACGCGCCCCATGCTGATTGTGCTTTCTCTTGGCTCCCGTTGAAACGACAAAACAAATATAGACGCCCACATGAACGGAACCAGCTGCTTCCTCTTTGCAGGGCGTTCAATGCCGACGAGTCGCCCGACCAATCGACCGTGTCGGTCTCTACGTGCCGGGCGGCACCGCAGTGCTCCCGTCGACCGCACTCATGTTGGCCGTTCCCGCAGGAATCGCCGGGTGCAAAACGATTGTCGTTGCGACACCTCCCCGGAAGGACGGGAGCATCGCTCCAGAGGTGCTCTACTGCGCGAAGAAGGCAGGCGTCACGCACATTCTTAAGGCGGGGGGCGCGCAGGTAAGCTTTGCTGGCTGGTATCCGTATTTTTGTGAACCTCTGTTTCCGTTTCTCACCAGCCGCCGACGGCTGCGGGTCCTACATTTCGAGGCTCTTTATCTGTCATCGAGTAGGAAGGAGCCGCTTTTCCCTGTTTCTCCTTTTTTGGGTCAGTAGTTACCCGTCAAAGTGGCCGTGAAATCGGAAGTCTACGCAGGTTTCTCTACTTTTCAGCCCGTGCTTTTCTACTGAAGCTGTCAGCCTCCAGCTTTGTCCGCTTGGTCAAGTTTCCGCAAGTTCGGCCTGGCTGCGCATACAAGCCTTCCTTTTTTGTGACTTGTTCCTTCTTGTCAACAACACACACCATTGCTCCTGGCCCGTATCGTACGTCGGGGCCCCTAGCAGCAGTCATTGCCGCTCTTCCTCACAACCCGGTTTAGGAAGCCACATGGATCTCCGACAGTTTAGGATCTTTTTGACTTCCTTGACAATCAAGATTCCTGCACACTTTGCAGGCCGTCGCCGCCCTTGCGTGGGGCACTGCCACGTGTCCCAATTTGGACGCTTATATCACTAACCTGCTTACAAAACCAATCCCGTAACCCTCACCCTAACTCGTTTCTGCTTTGCAGGCCGTCGCCGCTCTTGCGTGGGGCACTGCCACGTGTCCCAAGGTGGACAAGATTCTAGGCCCCGGCAACCAGTACGTCACCGCCGCCAAGATGCTCCTGCAAAACAGTGAGGCCATGATCTCAATCGACATGCCGGCGGGCCCGTCCGAGGTGCTTGTTATTGCGGACGGGGGAGCGAGTCCTGCGCACGTGGCGTCGGATCTGCTTTCACAGGTGATTTAAGGTCTTGAAATCCGCTCTTGCGTGGTTATTGATGAGGAAGCTGAAAGTATTGAGAAGTTCAGTGCTGAATAAACGGCGCTCACTCAATCTAGGATGCCAGATGAGGCGTCAGGAGTTGTTCGAATTTCACACGGAAGGCCGAATTTGCCCACCAGTGACGTCAGGTGTGCTATCGCAGGGAGATAAAGTGAAAACTGTGGCTCATGTTCGAAAAATCCGAAAGTAAAGGGTCCGGAGGTCTAACGACGTTCGTGATCAGATTGCTGGCGATCGATCATCCTAGCGACCTCTTCAGAACGTTTGCTCACGGTTGGAGTCGCCACTCCGACTATATTCTAGTATGGGTGCAGACTTCACAAATGGAGATGGAAGGCATACAGGACAAAGAGGTCCACTCGACATTGCTGACGTCATCTTTCTCACGTGGCACCAGGAGGAGCACGCCCGAGCACCTTGCTTGTCGCCCCCTCCATTAGGAGGACTAACCGGCGGTCTGTCTGCTTTTAGAAAACGTCACGTCGTGGTAGGAAGATTGGTGACGAAACGCACCATTCTGGATTTGTCGACGTCAGCTTCTTGCGTTTTTGACATCGGTTTCTTGCGTATCTGACGTCAGTCTCTGCTTATCTATTCAGGCGGAGCACGGCCCCGACAGCCAGGTGGTGCTGGTTGCCCTCCCTGGGGTGGACCTAGATGCGGTGCGCGCCGAGGTGGACCGGCAGTGCGACGCGCTGCCACGTGGCAGCATCGCACGCAAGGCGCTCGAGCACAGTTACATCGTCGAGGTGGAGACTGCTGCGCAGGTGAGCCGGCGCCCATTTGTTTTATCTTAGGTGTGAGCAGCTTCTTGTCTTTTTCTATTTCTCAAATCGATTCCTGGAAACTTTATGACTGAGTGCGGACTTCTTGCTTCAAGCGTAGCTGTAATGTAAAGGTGAAGAGCATCAAGAACCGCTCCTTAGAGGTTCCTTTGTCTGCAAAATGCTTTCTCTTTGTCTGCAAAGTGCTTGTTTTGGATCAAGGCGACTTTTTCTACATTTGCATGCGGTTTAACTTGACTTCGAGGTCGGCAGATTGTCACCCTCTGGTGCAGTCGGAGTCTCTGAGGATCTGCAATGACTGGGGCACAGGTTCTAGTAGTTGCGATAGTAAAGTCCGGACGCAAATGGCTTCGCTTTCTTGTCAAGACCAATAGCTCCTTTCGAGATCTTTCTTCTTGGAATCGTTGCCTGCCCCTTTCGGACCCAGCTTTGTTATTCTCTTATTAAGCTACTCCTTCAACACTCCGTCTTTTTACTTCGGCGAATGACAAGTGCGATCTAGTCTGTGCCGACGCGCTTTTGTCAATTCAATTCACATGTTGCAGCTCTCAACCCTTTGTTCCCGTCTGCAGGCTACCTCTTTCTCCAACGACTACGCTCCCGAGCATCTCATCGTTAACGTGGAGGATGCCGAAGATTGGCTTCCCAATCTCACAAATGCGGGGTCCGTTTTCCTGGGCCGCTGGACCCCCGAGAGCGTCGGCGACTACGCCAGCGGCACGAATCACGTTCTGCCGACGTATGGCTATGCGCGTATGTACGGCGGCGTTTCGCTCGACTCGTTTGTGAAGTACATGACGGTGCAGAATCTGTCGAAAGAAGGTTTGCAGAATCTGGGCCCGTCGGTTGCAAAGATGGCCGGGGTCGAGGGGTTGGATGCGCACCGGAGGGCGGTGACGATGCGCCTTGCGGATATCGAGTCTGGACGGTAATCTTGTCAAGGTATAGAACATTCTTAGCACGGTCGCCCAACTTTCGAGACATCCAAGACATGCAGTGCGACCTGACGTGCATTCTGCAAACGCAATGAGCAACTTACCGCGTCAAAAAAAAATTAACATGCACCGATGCCCGACCTGGAGACGCGCGGTGATTTTGGATGTGAGCCTCGGAGTCAACGGAATTATTGTGTGACAAGTGCACATCAATCACTGCTCGAATGTCCCAGTCGTTTGTGAGTCGAGCCTGGCTGGCATGTGATCAGACGGAGTCGAGTGACCCGAATGATGAACGCCGCGGCCCATTTGACCATGAGTCTAAGTCTGGGTTCCTAAGTTACGCACAGCTTGCAACCACTGCCAGCCAATGATGCGTGCAATTTTCCTCAGTCACCAGTAAAGTCAACAGCTCATGGAACCGGTACGTTGCGCGTTCACTGGACAGTAAGGAGGTAGCGCGGGCTACATATTACTGATGAGCAAAGCTGACGCGGTCGACTGGCAGCTTATACTTGCCGGCCGCCTCATCTAGCTAGGTGCCACACAGTAGACGGTATGGCCGCGGCTCGGAAACCCCGGTAAGGCCTAGCCTCATGGTGCAAGTATATAGATTAGATAATCGGCTGGCACGTATACCGTCGTGCTCAGTACTTGGCCGGTATGTAATAATCCGATCCACCGCAGCTATATTGATCAACATATAAGGACAAGCATTGAAGGGGCAGCACATGCATATATGCCGGATGAACATTCATCTTTTCACGAGAAACTTATATAGCGGATTGAGGCTGCGGGCCAGCCACTAGTAATATTAACGCATCGGCGGCGTGATCATTGTACTGGCACCACCATATCATGTCACGAGGCAAATCTAGGCCGCCTCAGCTGCACTGAGCGCGGTGACCAACTCCCAACAGGCTGGCCAGGCTGGCCGGCTCAGGCTAGCTGCACCCAAATACCCAGCTTCTCAGGTTGACCTTCCACCGAAGCTAAGGATCGTGGGAGTTGTACCACAGTAAAGGGCTCAATTTTAGTAGTTAATAATGTCCGTACCAGGGGCAGCCTGTCCAAGGTCGGACCTGACTCAGATATACATAAAGGCTTTGCTTAATTACACAACCTCCGCTCCTACTTGCGGGCATCCCTCTGTGCTCTCCACGTCTGTCGCAATCGCTCCGAAAGCCGTGGTGAGCATTCTTTGATAGCACTCGTCCCCTCCAGCGACGCTATACTGCTGGACCACATGAGCAGTGGCGGCCCCAAAAGCAGGGTCAGTCGCAGTCTGCACGTTAACCAGATACGAATCCATCTCGGGATCGTCGCCCCTCTTTAGCTTCGTCCTCAGACGGTTAACCTTGCTCAGCGTAACCCCGCCGGTATACGGATTGAACTGCCCACTAAACGGCGTGGTTTCTTCCGTCTCAAACTCGTACAGTGCGTTGTTAGCACCGCTAGCCTTTGTGCTGACCTTGCTTTTGACGTGGGTTAGCTGCTTCCAACCCACGATTTGCGGCTGCGCTCCGAAGTTAACGTACTCTTGGGAGTTTGAGAAATCAAACGAGCGGGAGATGACAGTTGTCAGGTTGCCTTTGGAGGACGCCACGTACCCGCTGACGTAATCGTGACGCTTGGCGCTCTCGTCGTAACCGCTTGCCAGGGGGACGACGTCAGTCTCGATCTTGTGCTTCAGGACCCCCCCAGAGGTTTGGTTGGAGTCAGGGTCTAGCCATAGAAGAAGATTGGCGTCAACCTGTAGAGAGGACAGAATGTTTATTGTTTATCTAGACAACGTACAGATGTTGGTGAGGTCTCTTGGCTGAGACCGTGCAGCCCTTTTTTTTTTTATCCAGAAGCCCGATGGTGCAAACAATCTCCACGAGTAGATCACCCTCCTTTCTAACTCCAGGATGGCCTGCTTACTGATTTTATGGAAAACTCACATTTACGGAACAATCCTCTAGATCGCGCGTTTGCGAAGTACCTTCCGAGCTTCGGGACTTCGGGAGAACTTCGGTAAACTTCGGACTTTGATGCTGAACTGGTTTCAGACTCGCTTCGACCAACTCAGAAATGCCGTGTCTCAATTCGACCGACAAAGAGGAGAAACTTCTAGCTGGCTGTGTGCAACTCAAGAAGCCGTCGAAATTGTTCGGCAGTCCTGACACAGGTTTGTTTTCGGCCCGTGCCAGTTCACTATAAGAAGCTCCGACTGGCGTCTTCCACAGTTTCCTCTTCCGGGTCAACGACAACAAGCATTAGTAGTGAAAAACCTGGAAACACAAAAGCCGCCTCCTCGAACTTTTAGACAGCATCGCCAGTAAACTATGAAGGTTGAGCGCAAACGTCCAAAGACACAAGCGAAGGTCTTACGATAGAAGCCTGCCTATCATGCTCCGTCAATTCATCTCCGAGGTCAAGCGCTGACAACCAGTGCTGCTGGCAATTTTCAATACACTCTGCATATCTTCTGAATACTTGTTCGCATGAATCCCAGGGGACAATACACAAGCTGCTGCGTTTGACTGCACTCAGACCGCCACCGATATCCAGATACCAGCCTATTCACATCCTCCCGCCCGTTCACACTCCGCCCAATTCACTCACCAGCCAATAGCTCGTATCCCCCGCAACATCGATCGCGATCGAGTGCCGTTTCCCATCGACGAGTTGGCCCACAAACGGCGTCAAATCGAGGGTGTAACTAGGCCCCAGGAACGCCCCGGTTCCAACCACGGGGTGCCACAAGTAAGGGTCGAAGCCCCCGGTGAATACAACCGGGGTCGGCCAGGCCGCTCCGGCAATCACGCCGTCGACAAATGCACGCACCTGAACTACACGAGAGGACGCCAGAAGTAAATTCTGCTCGCCGAATGCGTTGCTCTTCAAGCTTCCTCTGCTCGAGGTCATCAAGAGTGGAAGCGTCGGCCTCATCCATTGCTTTTGAGGTCGACGACGATGAAGGTGTTAAAAGTTGATCGACGAATTCTTGGATAGATTTAGGAGAGGATGGGGTCGCTAAACGGGACAAGCCTTCCTCGCATCAGTCGAATTTTTTACGACCAACAAATGCAACTCTGAAGGAAGGCTGTGCTTCGCGATCGACAGCGCTCTAAGAATCGATGGTGCAAGGCCAAGGAAACCCCGGCCCCGACCCTTCTCCTGAATGTTGCTCCAGACCCTTGCCGACGGCCGTTAGGAAGCCCACTCGAGGGGGTGTGGGCGATCCGGAAGCTGAGAGTCATCGCTAAGGAACGGTAATTGACTTCAAAACCTTCGACGTAACTCGTGGTCAGAGAACAAGCCGCGCCCGGCCTTCAACCCACCTCATGAAACGCCCCGAGCGACTTGCACCCAAAGTCGGTAGTGACCCCGGTTGGAGGGTCCGTGTACCAAAACTCTTCGCACAGGTGGGGGGACGCGATGATCTCCAGCTCGGCACGGTAGATGTTCTGCGGAAGGTTCTCAAAGTTGCCCGTGCCACTGCGAACACCAAGAGAAGCGGATACATGTTCGAAACCATGCTAGAAAATAGGTTTGGAAGCTCGACGTAGTGCACTAAAGAGTGGTCAGGTGGAGACTGCGGCCACTTCGAAGAATTCAGGCGCGGCACAAAGCTCAATTTGACCTGGGTGCACAAATCCGACTGGACCAGACCATTGGGCTAACCTTTTAGAGTGTGTGAAGCCCAATGTCGTCTTAGGTCGCCCCTAGCGGATGCGAGCACAGACACTTTCCAACCTTTAGTCTAAGACGCCAACTTTGCGTCCTTTCCGGGCTGCCGAAGTCTTCGGGACAATGAAGTGCCGTACATTTAACCGCTCTTTTGTTTCTCGTCCTTTTCGGGCTGCCAAAGTCTTCGGTACAAGGAAGTGCCGTACATCAATCGCCCTCTTGTTTTGATGATGGTGCAGATACTCGGGACAGCTTTTGACTCCCAGATAGACACTGGACACATCGAATAGGTCCCAAAATTCTGATCTTCGACTGTGCCACAAAACTGCATCCGTTGGACAATTCCGCATCCGATAAGAAAAAACCGAGCCTTCTTCGGGATGCTGATGGCCGTGAAAAGACCGTGAATCCACGAATCAGAGCGTCTCAAAGGTGCTCGGAAGGTGCTTTAAAGCTTTGAATTAGGACAAGAATTTCAGCAACTTTCCGCCAAGGAGTGCTTACTTGGAACCTCCGTTGAGCACGAACCAGTACCCATGCCCCGGCTCCTTGTTGGCGATCGGCAAAACCACATCAGGCAGTTCTTGCGCGTCAGTCTCGTTCGTCGCCCGGTAGAAGGTTAGCGTGACCTCAACGGTAAAGATCCCGGATAGCACCCCCCCAATGCTGTTGTCGAGTTCCATGAAGACGTCATGGTCCGATTTGAAGAGGGCGGAAAGTTTGGTGACGTCTTTCTCGATGTGCCAGTGGATGCCGTTGACTGTCGGCTCCGCCGTGGACGTGCGGAGTAGCTGTAGAGGTGGATTACGGGAAGGGTCAGGAGGAGGTTCCAGAAAGAGGCAAGAGAAACTCGATCCGGAATTCATGAGAAGATTACCAAGGGGGTAAAGGGGAGAGATCCGTGGGTGACATCTTTGCCGATGCATCAGTGGATGCCATTCGTGGCAGGGGGAAAGGTGTAGGGAGGGTTGAGGTACGCTTAGCTTTCCAGAAATGGGGGTAATAGATGAGGATGGAGGGAGAAGATTTGCGAGTCCCTTCCGGATCAGCCAGAACATCCCGTTGACTGTGAATCAACAGTGGGTGGTCAAAATTGGAAAGGCAGGTCAAGAATAGGGATTAGAACAGGTGTGGCCATGTTGAGATTGAACAGAACAATGTCAAGGATCTATGCGAAACATACAAGAACTTCCAATGTATAATCATTCATCTGAATGTGTGCCAATGGATGCTGTTGTCTGTGGGTTCTGCAAAACAGTGACATGCGGCCAAGGAACGTCTTTCCACATCTTGCTGACTGCTTTTGACTGATCAAGGCAAAGGCATCTGAGATCAACAAATGCTCGTCTATCATCAGACTCACAATTGGCATCGCTAGTCTCTGCTCTTGCTGTTCGAGAGCTAACTCTGGGCGCCTATTTGCAAGAGACAGGTATAACAAGAGGCTTACAAGACTTTGTCAGGTGACCATCTTTCAGTAATAGCAGGGCGGAGGGGCCATCTTCAATGTGCCGCTAATACAACGACTGTGAGCCAAGTCATAGTTCTAATGTGTAACAATCTGAAATGAAGTTTGAAAGAGATAGAAAGAAACATACCTCTGCTCGGCCCAGCCACAGCCCCGAGAATCGATCATACTGTCGTCCCTGGCTGGATGCATCCCAATCAAGCACGACCAGGCTCCAGTCTTCTCCGCACTCCGTTGCATTCGGCGCAGTGAAAGAACCTGTGTAATTGTTGTAGTAGAGGCCCGTGTAAGGGGATGGGGGGAACTCCGTTCTTGGCACCAGAGTGATGGTGCATGACTCAGTGGCCGGGCGTTTTATCGGCTTGGTGACTTCGATGATCTGGAGGGCACAACATATGAATGCGTTAGTTTTGTGCCAATTTGCCATGCTCATACTTTAACAAAAACATGTAGGTGTCAGATAGTCTGTTCAGCTGTATTGGGCTAAAGACTCCAGCAGTTGTATTTGAGAGTCACGGGTGAAAGCAGACTCCACATCCTGTTTGGAGGACGTCGCCGAACAGAAGATGAGAGCCAGAGAATGAGAGAGGTGCCAGGCGCTGTTTGTCTATCTAGGCGAGAGAAGGCCTGCCGGTCCAATGCTTGAGAAAAGCACCTTAAAAAATGCTCAGTGAATGGAAACCGAGGCCCATCAAGCAAGCAGTCAGAAGCCTATGGATTGCAGTGGCGGATCTGCGGTGCCACAATGTGAGACTGAGTACTTCGAACTATTGTTACTGCATGCCCCTCTACAAGACCACCCAAGCTGAACATGTTCCTGTAAACATTCACAAGCGAGTACAGTCCCGCTCGCTTGGTGATGCAACAGATAGTTTTGCACAATGAACGATGCAGACTACTGGAGTCTACGTTTTTGAAGATGTAAAGTAGCATCAAAACCAGTGTAGTGTACCCCTTGGATGACGAAAAGTAGCAACTTCTGTATGCTTGAGCAAAGGAAGAAGGGGGCAAGCAACGAAAACGATTCATCCAATAACTTTCTTGACGCCTTTGAAACTGCACACCTGACTAGTGCACTATAATTCTCGATGAGAGGGTCAATTCTCTCAGTACAACATCCAACCGATAGATCCCTTTGAAAGGAGCAGGCTACACAATGTGTAGAGTTCTACAAAAGCCTAGTTTCGGCACCCCTATTAACCAATTGTTGACATAATGTATTACAAGCTCCGCAAGCAGTTTTCCAAGTGTCTGAAAATTGGGAGGCAACAGTTCAATACATATCATTGAAGCATCAATTTGGCCCCCTATAAGGTGGTTGCTGCAAAATCTGACCTCTAAAGACGTCCCCAGGGCGTTCCTTTTCTGCAGCTCTCCAAGGGTTGGAATGTTTGTCCAGCCATTTGAGGCATTGGACCCCTTATGACCCTGGGAATCTGCACTGGCAATTTCCGTTCCAGAAATTGTGCTAACCAGCAAGAGCACAACAAGAAGCAGGATTGCATTGCATCCAAATGAACGCTGCACCGTCGCTGATTCAACAGCCGCCATTGCTGTTCGAAGCGACCTTTTCAACTCTGTGCTGTTTAGTCTCTGCTACAGCTCAGCCACGGAGCTAAGAACTAGGATGATGGGTTACATATGTGTGTACTGGTATCACTTGACAGCACTTTGTCGCATGGAAGCCGATCGGACGGTCCAAAATGCTTCTAGCTTCTTAATTGCATTAACCCGGCCGGGGCCCGGCGGCTGCTTCCGTGACGTCAAAAGTGACCCCAGCCTCTTTTGTGCACAATAATTGCAGGCGCGGACCAAAGACCCAGTAATCGTAGGACAAGGGCTCGAACCGGGACGTAGACCCGACCAGATCAAGATCCAATACAAACCTCGTTACCAAGTCTACACAAGCCGGTAATACCTACCGGACTTGTCCGAAAACCCCGGTGTGTTCAGCTCCAAGCAAGTTCCGATGCATATTCGAATGTCCCTTCTTCCCACATATTGCCTCATTTTCATGTTTTATAACCTCTCGAACTCTCTTCCCTTCGAACGTGCACAACGGTACTCTGTGTACCGGCTTCATAACCATGTTGAAACCGGTCACCCAATACCAGTAGACCGCTAAATCTGGAGTGTGCACGGCAGTCAGGCAATCCACGGGGTAAACGTGGCACTCCATCCGGACTCCGGTATGTACCAAGCAACATGAGCTAAATTTATGAATCGGCAAAAATGCATCCATCAATCTGTATATAACCAGGCCCCAAAGTAGGTGATTAAATATTTGTGTGCTGCTGCCACTGCTGCATCTTCGGCTTCCAGAATGACTTTCACTGTCACTGTCAGGCAAATGACGTCCTTCGAGAAGTCCACATGTGATCAAATGGGAGACGCATGGTGTGCCCCGAGGGTGAATGAACACACACACACACGAGGGTGAATGAATGAAGGAATGGTCCATGCCACGTTGCTGTGTGGGAGGATGGCGCCGTCATGCAATGTGAGGGACGCCATGGCCTTGTGGCATTGCTAACTCACGTTGAGAGAAGATTGTCACGCCCTTCTCGAAAGCCCGAGACACTAGCGATTCCCAGAGGGATTGAGCGGCTACAACCTTGTTTCTGTAGTGTTTTTCCAAACGACTTCTCTGCGAAGATGCATCAATCCTGACAGTGCTATTCATGAGGCAAGCGCAATTGCACCGTGCTTTTTCTTCCAGAAGGCCTGAAAGAGCGGTAGCCTAAAGAGATTGGCAAGGGGGCCTCCCAAGCAAGCATGCGGACACTCTCCAAGCACAAGGTAATGGTGTTTGCAAAATCTCTGCTGGTGTGCTTAGATGTCATTGCTCTCCTTTTGTGAATGCTGCATTTTGACATAGCGGATCATTCAGAAGGTCAAGAAATCCAAATGGAGGCATGCAAAGGGAAGGGGACTGGTACGATTGGCAATGCTGAGAAGTCTGAGCATCACTGGCTGCGTGGCTCCCTGATCTTCCTTTCTCTGGTGAACGTCCAGATGTGAAACAGAGGCCATGTTCCTTTCTATTCTGATCATGAAAGTGTGAAATATGCCTCGAAAGGTTTGTTGAGCGGCACTCCTTTCAAATTGTCAGATCCAAAAGCTTTGCAGACTGAGTACAATTGTGCTGTCAGTATAAAATTGTTGCTGTGAAAGCTTTGTTGATCTGCAGATCTAACAAGCAAATATGTTTTTCCCTACGTTCAGATCTGCATTGTCAAGATATTTTGGAGCCATGTGCGGTGCTTGCATGTAGGGTTTTCAATCGTCTTTAAGCCGTGTTGAGCAATTCAGTCGCGGTAATTTGTAGGTGATATTTTTTGCTCAGTCACATGTCTGCATATCAAAGTTATCCTGCATAAAGTACTCTTAAAGTTACAGCTGCTGAGTGGCTGCCTGAAATGAGCGTCTGCTTTCGTCCTTCGTTCAGGGTGGCGAAGCCTTCAAGTATTTTAACCACCTTGTGACCTGCTTGTCACGTCTGGATATTTCAGCGAAGAAAGAAGCTAGTGGTGTTTGTCACAAAGCTTAGCTGAGCCAAGAGTCTGTTTGCTCTTTTGGTGTTCTTCTTGTGTAAGGGGGATCCAGAGCCTGGTTGATGATTTAACGATCGGTCAATATGAGACTCTGATTTCTATTCTGACGCAAACCGAGGAAAGTCACTTCTATATCCTTTCCCTTGTTGTACTCCCTGGGCCTCGTCATCCGCATACAGTACGATTTTTCAAGCGGACCACCTGTTTTCCTGCATGCTTGTCGTGTCAGCAATCCTGCTAGAACACACCCACAAGCATCTACATAGTAGGAACGCTGGTGCCTAGCTTCTGACAACTGTCTTCCGGTGTTTTGCGCTCAGGTTGACGTAAGGGCCCTGTTCCAGCTCCTCTGACCCTACCGCTCAAGGGGCAGCGAGTGGATTGGATGTGATGCTTCTCATCTTGAAAGTAGAGTCTCTTATACGGCTGAGATAGCCAGCTCCCTGTGATGGGGAACGACGAGAGACTCGCTGAGGAAACCAGAGCGGAGAGCAACGGGGCTGAAGAGCGGCACATGCCTTCTCAGAGTGTTGAGCCGGTCCTTTCTGAGATCGGCATAGCCGAGAGCATGCCCGATGCAGAGAACGCGCAAGACCCCACCCCCTCTGAGTCTGGGAGCAGCCCTCAACGAGACTTGAAAGAGTCGCTGGGGTTGCGTCCGCTGTCCATTAGCAAGTCGCGTGCAGTTTCAGATGCCCTCGGACCTGCAGTGTTGGACGCCCTAGGACCTGCAGTTTCGGATGTCCAAGAGTTTGACTTCTGGAGCAAGCCCGGAAAGCTTCTGGAGCAGGCTGCAGACGGGCAACCTGTGTCGAGTCCGAAGCTGTGGTCTCATGGGGGAGGGGCTCGGGTCACTGTTGCTTCGCAGGAAGGGGCGGGTGCACTGTCGCCTTCCACCCCGCTCGCGGATGCGTTTAACCTCCGGGACTCGTATGTTCTGACTGAGGGGTTTGGGCCGCTCGAGTGTGCTGAGGTCGGGGAGTTTGGAGAGGAGGAGGTGGGGGTTTCTGGGGCCAATCCTCGGGGGGCGGACGGTATTGAGCAGTCTGAGAATGGAGAGGTGGGGAAGGAGGAGAGGGCAAGGAAAGCGGGCGTGGTCCCGAGTGCAGAGCCTGGGGGCGGGAGGAATGCGGTTGTAGAACTGGAACAGCAGCAAGGGTCACTGTCTGCTGGCGAGAATGACGCTGTTGTGGGGGAGCATTGTGAAGAGATTGGAGCTGGGACGAGTGCCAACAAGGCAGAGAGCACGTCCTGTGCGTTTGTCACAAAGCCTGCAGCAAGCAGCAGCAGCACATTCGACAGCGCTTTCAGCGTGAGCGGTCCTTCGAGAAAGCCTTCCCACGGTGCGAACGGGCCCTCATCAGACGGAGTAGACGGGGCCGCAAGAAGAACAGGTGTCAAAAGCGCCGAGGCTCAGGCAGAAGGTTTCAAGCGTGCGGTGCTCGAGCCGCCAGTTGTGCCTAAGGAGAGGGCGATTGTACGAACGGTGCCTGGACGGCATTTGAGCGACAGTGCCAGCGTGAGTAGCAGCACGCCGTCTCAGCCAGAAGCGCGGAAGCATGGGGACAGTAAATCGACGGCAAGCAGTGCGTCGGACACGACAACAAGAGGGGTTAGGGGTCGGGGTAGCGAGGTCGCCAGCACGAGCGGAAGAACTGGCGCGGACAGTCCGAAGGCAGGACCAGAGCATCTGATAATCACCCCCCCAGTTTCTCGGCCGCTCTACACGGACACGCCGGCAATGGCAAACGATGTGGTGTTTGGGGTCTCTACGTTTGGGAAGCTTGGGCGGGCCAACTCGTTTGCGACAGGCTCAATTAAAGGGGCTACGGTCTTTGCGCCGGATGGGCTGGGTCAGCGGAAAACCCACTCTGAACCAAAGCGGGTTAGCTTTCAGCTGGGTGCAGCAGAAGGAAAGAAAGTTGGCGGAGGGGTGGTTCCGGGCAGTCCAAGGAGCCCAAAAAGTCCAACGTCCGACAAGCTAAAAGAGGGGGGCCAGAGTGCAGAAGGCAGCAGTAGAGGAGTGGAAAGAGGCGGCAGCGGATCAAGAGGGCTTGAAGAGAGTCAAAAAAGTCCGCAGGAAAGGCAGAAGGGTGATCAACAGAGGGGTGGTGCGGAGAGCAAGGACACGGGATTGAGGCCTGGAGCGAGCAGAAAAGCAGAGGTGGACGTTGATGTGGACAGGGGGAAGGCGAAGGTGGATGCTGATGTGCGGAGGAGCCTGGCATCAACTTCGGAAGGGGGCAGTCCAAAAGTGATCGACCGGAGTGCGCTGTTCAAGAAGTGGTTGGAGAAGAACAAGGAGGAGTTGGCGCAGTCTGAAGGAGGCAAAGGTAGGCGCAAAGTTTCCAGCGTTGCTTGGTGTGAAGAATTTTCTCTGTTGACTGCTTTAATGATCCCATATAGCATGGAGCTAGAAGCATCACAGACGACTGGAGCAAACACTGATGGCGACGATTGGGTTTTTTAGAGGGACCACAAACGGTCATTGGAATTCATCGTGAATTTGCTGGTAATGCCATCCCCTGCTCAAAGCAAGGGTTTGAAGGCACTGTGTACAATCTCACGTCCTACACTCTTTTTCTTTTTTTCCAGCATACTCCCCGCAACCGGACAGTTTCCGCCCTGTGGCCATAATTGTCATATGAGGAAGGTGTCACAGAGGCAATTGTGAGGTTGAAGAGCCATTGACAAGAAATATCTTCAGCCGACTGAGCAATCAATGTCTAGCTCAACCGGCATAGCTCCCGTTCAAGCAACCAGATAATACCTGCCTGGTTCACAAACCAATCCGTCGAGCATCTTTGGCACTGAGTCATGTAAGGACGGGCTGATTTGATTGACTTCGCACACTTCTATCTGGGCTTCGACCTTTGTTACAACAAAGATGCATGAAGGACTGGGGCATTGAGAGCCGTCATTTCGCCAGGTGGACGGCAGAAAGAAGTAATTTGAAAGCGTTCTTCCATTCCACAGGTTTGGCGCCCACCCCAATACTGCAACGCATTGGATCCTCCAACGACGTGCTCCCCCCTGCTTCAGCCCGCCACAGCGACGAGCGCTATCTCAAGCGCACCACCAGCCACTCCGCCATCGACCCCCCCCCGTTCAAACCCTCCGGGGAGATCCAATCTCTCGAGGGGGGTTATGACAGCCCAACCCCGTCTCCCCGGCGCAAAAGCTCCAGCACTCCCAGCTCGCCCGTCGGAACGCCACCTGGCAAGCATTCGCGACAGCTGTCAATCGGCTCGAGCAAGCCCCCCAAAGCACCTAAATCTCCGCCCACCTCCCCCCTGCCGCCGAAACACCCGCACTCGCCATCTAGCAAGCCCCGAGACCCCCCTCGGTCTCCCCGGGAAAAGCAGCCCTTTTCTCTGGGCCCGGCAACCATCGACGCCACCGTCGATTTGGGTCCCTCCTCGGCTCCGGGGTTTGCGTCCCCCCCCCTCATATCCAGAAACCTCGGGCGGCTGCCGCCAGCCCGCATCCCCAGCCCGAAAACGAACTCCGTCCTTCGAAAGGCAATGTCGCAGTCCAAGGCGGAGACGTCCATACCCGTGGGAGCGCTGCTCGTTGACGCGGGTTTACCCGCCGACGCGAAGGATGCGGTCCCCCAACTGATTGCACGCATCATCAAGGCCACCAGTCAAAACCCCCCTCTCCAAAAACAGGCCGCACTGACTGCCCCTAAATTATCCCAAGTTGCCCCCCTCCCACAAAAGGGGGGCAAGAACAGCAGCGGTTCCCAGCCAGAGAACCCCCCCCCTCCGAGCCCCTCGGACACGGCCCCGGTGCCAGAGGACGGCGCGTTTCCCGCCTCGCTGATGTCACTCTCGCCGCGGGCTCTCCTACGGTCCACGTCACTGCCCAGCTACTTACAATCAGTACTGCCCACGTCGCTGTTAAATAGTTTTAGCGCCCAGGTTAGCTTGACTGCCCCCGAGCCAAAACGGCTCACAGCCCCCCCCAACGAAACATCCCCCAGCCTCGAGGACTCGATTTTGCTCCTGGGGAAACTGGCTCTCGCCGGCGAGTTCGAACAAGAGCACGGGCGCGCGTTGCTGGCCCAGGCGAAGGGACCGGTCACCGAAATTCTGTTGATGGTCCTCGAGCGGGGTTCCCATGAAGACCGGGAAGCCGCCGCTGGGCTGACACGTGTCCTCACCCTCTTGGAGGAGGGCCGGAATGCGCTGCTCGAGTCGGACGGGCTGAAGCTGCTGGTGGACGTGCTCTGGTCCGGGACGCCCCGGGGGAAGGTACGTTTCAACACAAATGACTCATTATATGAGTTGAAAGAAGGAAAAGAAGCAAAGTATCCTAGTTTCTGAACAATATCGTGCAGACTCGTGTTGCCGCTTTCAATCGTCATATTAGTCCCAGCTTCGTCACTATAGCGGAAGTGAGTAGCGGAACACGTCTGGTTGATCGTCATTATTTCCCAGGTTCGTTGATTACGCGAGGAGGGATATGGTTCCGCTTTCAGTTGTCACGACTACACATCTGCTCTTGAGTGTTTACGTGACTTCTTTGATTGCTTGCATTCGTGTGAAGAAGCCTGCTCTTCCATTTCTGGTTGCTCCTGCGATTGGTCGTATGATTTACATGTCGACCTTCTTCTTCACATTGTCCATTGCAGTCATAAGGACGTGTCTCTGAGTGCAAATTGCAGCTGACGTGCGGAAATCAAAATCAGAAGCACAATCGGAAGCACAACCAAAAAGCAGTCACAAACCTCTCAGGTGCTACGGTGTCACGGCCTCAGGTTTCAAGGCGCTCGACATCCCAAAAGACAGTTGCGCCTAGGTGCAAGCCGCAATCACATTGCAAAACCTTGCAAAAAACTTCGCTGGCCAGTGCTGATATGGTCCGCATATCCAGCATTTGTGCATGCTACGGTCGAACGCCTCCCAAAAGCTCCGCAGTTCGAGACCGCAATGCAAGTCTTTTAGGTGCTACAGTCTACCGGCCTTCGAACTAATCAAATCATGAAACGTTGGTTGCTTCCAGGTGCAAGCCGCGTCCAGTTTGCGGAACCTCGCGTACAAGTCAACGGGCCAGAAGCGCGCCATTATGGCCGCCGGCGCCATTGGGCCCCTCGTGTCGCTTCTACGTTCCACCACGCAAGGTGAGGCCTAAGGGCTGCATAAGCGCTGAGTGTGTACCGTAAGCTACGGCCATGTGTCGTAAAAGTGCGCGCGCTCTTTACACTCCAGAAAGAGCTTGATTTGAAGTATCAAACCCGGTTTGCGGATGGATGTGAGCAACGTCACCCTTCATTTGGGCAACCTGGATCTTGTAGAATCCTCCACGGCTCACATTGTCGGGTGGAACACGCAGCTATTTTGTAGCTGATACATTCGCGTTGCTTTGTCCCTATGTCAGAAACCAGGGTTGTGCGGCTTCGTTCTAAGCTTGCGCAACGCCCGTGTCTTGTCGTGGGCTACTTTCCGAGCTGTCTGGTTCTTGTTCTTTGCATCACGTTTGGATCGTCCCTGCTGGTTCAGGATCCTCGCTCTTCAACTAAGCTCCAGCTCCTGGATTCTGATACTTCCTTAGCCTAGCTATTCAGAGCGGCCAAAATTCTGTTACTCTGCTGCTTCAGCGGCCCCCTTTAGTTTCAGATATTGAAAACCGAGTTGGAGCTATCTTGTTCAGCTCAATATGTTCGACATTTGATGGAGTCACGGCTATGTATTCAGCGGCTCCCAGATTGGTGTCTCTCGCTTCAATCCTCGTGAGTACTTGTTCCTGAGCTTTGGATTGTGTTCTGTCTCACAGGTGCACCAGAGGCGGCCGCGGGGGCGCTGCGAAGCCTAGCTATGGCCGACGGCATGGAGGAGATCATCGTACAAAACGGCGCCATTCCACCGCTGGTGAGCCGTTGCAGAGATTGCGGCGCAATTTATCTGATTGCGCGATCAGGGTTGCGTGACTTTTGCTAATATACCGCCCAGGGCTCCTATTCGCCAGCCAGCCGCAAATTCGTACGAACTCCCTGTGTTTAGAGAATTATGTCGGAGCCTTTGCATATAGGTCTTTTTACTTATTACTTAAGGAAGTGCGACTTGGTGCTTAAGCGACTAGACGAAGGCCCTTCCGTTTTGCCAAGTGCGCAATTTGAATGGGAGTTAGTGCATAGCGGGCTTGCATTTCGCCATTGGTAAGGCGATCAGACCCTCCTTCTGTCGCTGCCGTGGAGGCTTTCAATGCAACACTCCCCCTTTCACTATTTTTGTGCTCACCTATCCACATGATAATTCCAAAAATCAGTGCCCCATCTTTCACCGCCACCACCCCCGCCTCCTCTCAAAACGCTAACAAAAGTAACCCCCTCAACTGATGCGCCTCCTGCACAACCCCCAGAGCCCTGCCGGGGAGGAAACGTCCGCGGCCACGCTCCCTTCACGTTAATCTCGAAGAAAGTCCTTTTTTGGTCCTCTTTCTCCCCACTGAAAGTACTGACGGTTTAACCCCCGGACAGGTGCGCCTCCTGCACAACCCCCAGAGCCCCGCCGCCAAGGAGGCCTCGGCCGCCACGCTCCAGAACCTTGCGACCGACGACGCGCACCGCGGGCAGATCGTGCAGGCGGGGGCGGTCCCCGCTCTCTTCAAAATGCTTCTGGCGCCAGAGATCAGCTCTCAGATGGCGGCGGCCGGCGCGCTGAGAAACCTCGCGGCGGGGGGAGGGGAGTACCAGAAGGCGATCGGGGAGTCGGGCGCGGTGGGGCCGCTGATCAAGATCCTGGGGAAGCGGGGGCCGAACGTTCCGGCGGGGATGCCGGTAAGGGTTTGGGTTTGGGTATGGGTTTGGGTTTCCTGGGTTCCAGGTCCGTCCCGGTTCCGGGTTTGGTCGTACATTACCTATTGCTCCGACCTAACAATGGAGTAGCGGGAACCAGCTTCGGAGGTTTGCACGTGAAAAGCGAAGCAAGTCCCGTCAAGTCAGAAGTCGTTCGGAGAACTAGTTAAATTAAGTGAAAGTCAGTCGGAGATTGTTTCGTGCGCCCTCAGGAAGGGTTTGCACGGCCATATCGAGCCCGCTGTTCCTGTAACGCATGCCTTCCAGCTCCCGCACCTCACTTTCTTTCTTTTTTTGCATGTTCTTATCCGCATGGTTTTAAGGATTGATGTGTAGGGCTCAGGAGAGAGAGAGTTACGGGCAGCTTCTTGATTTTTCTTGTATATATAATTTGGACCTGCTTTTATGTACATTTCTCCATCGTGCTCAAACCCACGACCATTGATTCCTTGTAGGAGGCCGCTGCTGGTGCGCTTGCAAACCTGGCTCTCTTCGATGCGAACAAGCCGCTGATCTCTGGGGAAGGGGGGATCCCCGCCCTAACTGAGCTGGTCAAGAGCGGCACCCCCCCGGCGCAGCTGGTCGGGATGGAGGCGCTCAAGAACCTGGCAACAGACGCGGAGATCAGTCATGTAAGCCGTGACGTCAGGAAACCGTGGCAGAAACCAGGTCCTGTGTCAACCGAAAGGCGTACCGCCCTACAGCCATTAACTCTTCATATGGGCTCATATCTGTTCCTTAAACTCTGATATTTTCTGTTGTCAACAGCTGCGCGCAGATTGCTGATGAAAGTTTTGATTCTACAACATTGCCGTTTCAGAAAAGGATCAGTAATCTTCAGAGCAGATTGTACTTTGCTGTAAACTCTTAAGACTGGTGCGCCCAATTTCGGACGATTTAGATTTCGGACGGGCAAAGCCGATATATAATTTCGGACTATCTGAACCAGTCTGCGGCTGCACACGCGCGTGTGTGACGCTGTCGCGCGCTGCTCGTCCCCTAGTGGTACTTCAAAACGCGACGACAAGAACAGACGCGCACGAGCAGCCGCAGACTGCGTTCACTGAGTCCGAATTTTGATTTCGGGTTTGCCCATCCGATATCAAATGGTCCAAAATCCAGTCTTACATCTTTCAACTCCACCATCTGTTCCGGTACCGTCCCAGCTTGAACGTGTTGCGATAGCTCCACTACTCTATACCTCATTGGTTTGGACGAGGTCCAGGATCAACGGGTTTGATGTGTCAAGCCTTTCGGTCGTTGCGAGATTGACAGCCCAGTCTGCAGTAGAGTACGACGACTCGAGCTTTTCTCGTCATCGTCGAAACGTCAGACTTTGCATGCAGAATAATCCGCGTCGCTGGTCCTTCCGTGTGGTTTTTATCGTAACGGGAGCGGTTTTAGTTCTCTTGCGGAGCTCCGAAAGAGCTCCGAAAAAGGGGGGGGGGAGCAGGCCTTTAGCGGAAAAAGCATAAGCGATGCGCTCGCGTTCGTGCAGTTGATTGTCCAGGCAAGAGCGGCGCCGTGGCTTGTCCGAAATTTGAAGTCGTCCGAAAGGAGGCTGCAACGGGCGGCCGTTCGAGTGCTTCACGCCGTGTGCGCTTTCCCGGAGAATCTGGAAGCGGTCAAAGAGCAAGGGGTGGTGCCAGTATTGGAGGTTAGTCGCCCGAACCCTCTGATTTGAAAAACTTTGATACGAGAATCATGAAAAGACTTGCTTGAGAACGGTGAATTTGCAACGTTCAAGGCCGTAGAGATTCTGAAAACACATGATTACATGATTTTTCCAGGGGTGCCGGTGGCATTGAACGACGAGGGAGGAGCAAGTGTCTGGGTCGTTGTGAGTGGATCTAAAAGTGTCGCTTTCCCATTGCCCTTTCCTGTCCTTTGCGTTTTTGTAGAAAGTAGGCTGAGTGGGATGCGGATGTTTTTGCACTAACATTGCGGCTGCAAACGAGTTTTGCTGACGTCACTCGATGTCTCTGATTGCTCTGTTCTCCTAGTCATCGCCCAATGGAGTCCTTTGTAGCTGTCTAGGGCTATGGCAAGGAGTCGACGACAATGAACAATCGCTTCTCGTCTGGGTTGCTGCTGAATTGGATGTGTGAGGGGTGAAGGTGGTTAGCGGACTGAATGGGTTTCTTTTACCGGATGTTTTTCGGTTACCGTTTAGCGCTTCGTAGCCTTGTGGGCTCCACGAGCTCTTGCTAAGCTGAGCCCTTGATCGAAGCCCGTTGACATTAAAATGCATTGGAGCACGCATCAAAGTCCTCATTTTCTCCGCAGCAAATCGTCGAGGGGCAGACCGGTCCGGATCGGGACGACTTCATCGCCAAGCTCCTTTTACAACTGAAGAGCCCACAAGAAGAGTCCACCGAGGATCGGCCCCGTAACCCAGACAGGAAGCCTTCGACAGCAGCCGTGGAGAGAGAATAACAGTTAGGTCGCCCCGACTCCTCTAACACCCAATCCCCATAGACGCATAGGGCACGTGTTGACCACGTTACCAAGGCGGTTAGCGCGCTGTGTTTGCAGCACGAAGCGGTGGCCAGGCTTGTTAACCGAAACTGTAGACGGAGCCGGGACCGCGACACAGCCAGCCACGCAGATTGTCAAGCTGTATAGAAGTGAGGACTGCAGGCGTCGTTCGAGTGTAGCGAATAAGCTTTTAGTGCCGGACGATGGCGCAAAGCGTGCGAACTAAGTGCAAGTAGGTTTCAGTTTAACGTGCAATCATTTGTCAACTCTTGCGAACATGTTGTTTGGTGCTTTGGGCACTGGCAGGCCGGGAACTTACCAGCGGATGTAGACAAGCTAGCACTCGGGCTGGCCGTGCTGGATGTCGTGCAATGCATGCAGCCACCTGTCACTGTGACTTAACAAGCGAAATCCGGTTAGAAGCCCTTGCCATTGATAGCCTGACCAATAATTGATTCGAAAAAATCCGACATGACGGTGGCATATGAATCACAGTCAGATTGGAACTGATAATCAGACGGTACGTGCCGATGATTCATTATTCGAGTCATGTGCGTGACGTCCTGTTGGAAAACTGCAAGTTCAGCAGGCAACGTACAATGTCAGTCAACTTGACTCGAGTCCATTGAGCAAGCTTGCTCAACCATTTGTCAACGTATTTTAATCTGCCAGCCATGCACTGGGATATATGGGGACAAGTATATATGTCCTACTTCATGTGCCGAGAAAGTTATGAACTTAGGCGGCCGTTCGCGCGTCGAAGGGCGAGATCGGATCGGATTCAACGGTTCGATGCAACATATATTTGGATTACCGCATACGAACGTGCGCGAATTGCCATGCATCATGGCCCGGGCCGCGCCGCCCATGTGCGAAGCCTGCATGAAGATGACACATCTTGGGGGATCTCCGTTGTCATGCAAATATCATGGATGTCACTAAGCAGTATCAGCACCAATTCAATGTTATCAAATTGCAATTCTACATTTATTCTTGCTTACGTCGATATTGTGCGATCGGGCTGCACATGGAATTTAAGAATATGCAACATGCGAGAATCATACTAAGTTAGAAGTGGGGATCCCAGATTCCGACCGGCAAGTGAAGTCTTACAGCCTGAGTACGGTAAGCGACAGTTATGGTTGAAACCACAGACGCTTACTTAGAAAGTCAGAGATGTGTTTCATACTCAACTGAGAGGGAGCTGATGCCCCTCGATTTCCAATTACCAATAAATTGCCAAACCTATACAACACGTGAGTTCATCGCGCTAGCGAATCTCAGATTAGTTGCTGTTCCTGTACGTAATTCAGCAGACTCCGAGTCAAGAACTCAACTCATCAGCTTAAGCCGTTCGATTTAATTAGGCTCAACACCTCTACATCGAACTAAAACCTGGACTCTCAAACCAACAACCACCGAGGGTCTGCGCGCTACGTCGCAAAAGGGTTCGTAAGTGCGCAGCTAAAGTGTCAACTCCTTCCACCTCCGGAGAACTGCATCAGGGCCGAAGGCTTACATGACGCTCGCAAAACCCTCCCTCATACTGGTTTACCAAGCCGACGCTACATCTATCAATTCTCAGACACGCTCGCAGGAAATCTCTCCAAAATGGGTTAACGAAGCCTTAAATACAACTGTCATTCGATTCTCAGACACGCGTCGTCCAAAACCCGTTACAAAACCGTTACGACTCTCACAACTCTTCTACATCAAAGCTGATAAGTTCAACCGCCTCCGTTTCGCCGCCGTTCCACCTGCAATCACCTTCTCAACACGCGAACTAGACCGGGCCGCCTCCGTTATCGCCGCCATTCAATCTGTTATAAGATTCTCGCCACGCGAACTAGACTGGGCCGCCTCAGTTCTTGCAGCCGGAGGGGCAGCACGCGGCGCTGATGCCGTTCTGCGCGGCGACCGCGTTGCAGAGATTCTCCTGGCAGCCGCCGCCGTTACCGGGGAGGGGCGACGGGACGGGGCTCAAAAAGTTGCTGGCCGCGCAACTGCCGCCGGAATAGGTGCCGAAGCAGCCGCACTTGCCGGTCTTGGAGCACTGGCCGTTGGGGGTCGCGGGGCAAACTGCGGTGTCAAGAAGGGCGTGCGTGAGAAGAGGGCTGGCGACTCGACACCGACGGGTTTCGTTTCGTCGGGGTAACGACGGAGGCATCGAAGCTGAGAATGTGGATCTCGTGAAGGGAAAGGTTTCACCGTTGGGGTCGAAGCTAAAAGAACGGATCTCGAGATTGGAGGATTCTAACAGTATGAATTGAAGCTCAATGGATCACTGATACATCACTTTATAAAGCCCGTATCGAAGCATGGGGCTTAATAAGTACGTGGGGTCGGGGCCGAGTTCTACCTAACAAGCTGCTACTGATTTTCAAGAAAGGAGAATTTCCACGGTTGGCGTATGTCGAAGCTCAATTTAAAATGGAGGTTGAAAAGTTGAAAAGTGAACATTCTCATGATGTGGAGTTGAATATTGGTCAATTATTTTCGACAAGAGACGATTTTTACGGTTGGTATTGAAGCTGAAGACAGTACGGGTCTCGACGAGTGGGAATTCTAACGATCGAATTCAAAGCTCAGGAAGTGTGGATCTTTCAAAGATAAAACCCTCACGGTTGATATCGAAGCCAAAAGAACGGATCTCCAACGAGAAACTTTGACAATTGGCGTAAGTCGAAGCTCAAAACATGGAACTCGAAAAGAGAGGTCTCACGCTTGGGGATGCATCTTACAGCACAGAACTCGAAAATAGACGGTTTATGACGTTTGAGATCCGGAAAGTGGACTGTGGATCATGAACCGAAAGCCCTTCTTGTAAAGTCGAAGCTGAAAATGTGGACCTGGAAAAGGAAGAATGCTGATATGATCCTCGAAAAGGAAGACTGCTCACGGTTGGGGTTGAAGCGCAAAGTATGGATATCGAGAAGAGAAAGACTCCCTCGAGAATTAGTAAGAATGCTCACGGTTGGGGTCGAAACTAGAGATGTAGCAGGTTCCGCAGCCCGAAGAGCAGGGGCCGCCCTTGATAGTGTTGGCGGGCTGGGTCGAAGCGCAAGTTCCATTCAAGGTGTACTTCTGACCGGTGGATGACGTCACGGTGGTCTTGCAGCTAGTCTCGCAGCACTTGCCGGAGCCTTGGCAAGCGTAACCGCTGGGGCACTGGCAGTTGGACGAGACCTGGGTAGAGGAAAAATAAAACGTAATTTCAGAGAGGAGAAAGGACAGATTAGTAATAGTGGAGTTATAATATATCGGATAATTTGGTAAAATTGTTTAGGAGAGAGTACTGTTGCAATTAAAGGAAAACGGATTTTGCAGAGGGGAACGGAACATTGATTCACAATGGAGCTAGGAGACTTTGCTAATCAGAGAAGGAGGGATCGAACTTGAAACAGGAGAACGGAGCATTTATCCACAACAGAGAATGCTGATCATTCCAAAAGGGTGGGACCGCTTTTCCACAAGCGTGCGCCTGAACCCTCATTCAGAGGCGGAGGGAACGATGAGTCAAAGCTTGTATCTGACGGCTACAAGACGACTCAGAACGGGAGCCGCTTTTGATGAAACAGCTGCTTTCAGGAGGGTGAGGATTACAGGAGCCTAAAAACATTTGTCTTAAAGATAGGGCGAAAAAGGGGAGAAGAAAAGACTACAGAAGGAACTTGCGAACAAACGGCGAGCAGGATGCGGGGCAGAATGCTTTGAGCGCTCTCGTTCTGCGAGTTTGCTTAACCAGAGCAACTCTTTGGAATGGTTATGATACGCTCGCAATATAGCAGAGCAAATTCATCATCAAAACTAAAACCCACAAAATACACTGCCCGTCTTCCACCCCCTCACTATCTCCACCCGTTCCTAACTTGCGCTTGGCAGAAGTGGTCAACAAACAAATGAAACCTCACCGATCCGCCACAGCCGTCAGGACCAGAGACGGTCCCGCACGTGAGAGAAGGACACGTGGGGGCGGGGTTGGGCTTGCACGTGCAAGTAATGGTGGTTTCACAGTTGGGGCAGTTAGTGCACTTGGGAGCCGTCGTGGGGCAGCCCCCGGTGGAGGGACACGTGTTGGCAGATGAGAGGGCGAGAGCGGAGAGGAGCAGGAGGGCGAACAGGGCACGTGCCATTGTGACGTCTGCAGATGGAGAAGAGATGATTCCAAGGAAGATTCTTAAATGCGGAAATCAAACGGTAAGCCTAGAATGACACGGAAAATAGTCTGTACCTCATGCGCTCTGTACCTACACCCAGTTAACTTCCGGACTTAGCCTACTTCTCCCAGCATTGTTACTTTATATGCTCTTGGTCATGTTAACTCTTCTACGATAGACGGCTAAAAGATATTTCAAACCTAGATACAGAAGTGAAGACACACTTACAAAACAATGTGTGCCGACTCCTTGACAAAGGGAGCTGGAAAGTAAGCTTAGACAACTCGTGAGTGGACGCTAGTTCTAGCTTCATGAGGTTGCAAACAGTTTGCAAGTTCCGCATCTTTAATCATAGCATCCACCTTGAATTCTCAATGAACATCCCGATGAAATAAAAGTTGGTATTTGTACTCCAAATTGACTTTCCTCACCAGCGTTGACTGTTCTAGTTCTTGCCAGTCTCCAGAATAGCCTGTCTTACTACTCCTGAAAACTCGGAACTGACTTAAAAACCTTGAAGATCAGAAAGCAGCTAAACGAAACTCAAGATGTACTAGGAATGCTCTTGCCACTACTGTATATTCCACAGCCAAAAAGGTACAGCCACTTTGCCAGCGAATGAACAAGAGTCTTATGTCCACAGCTGGACACACGTCTTTGAACGATCTTAAAGTCCACCCATTATGACCTGTCCCTCACTGCATTCTCAATGCTGAGTATGAGAAAGTGAAGCAAGGCAGTTCCCACGCCCGCGTGCCACCGTCACTGTCCAAGAGCAGTGTAAATTGAGCAAATTATATGCGGACCCATTAACTTCACACCAGGAGATATGAACTTCCCCAGCTTTACAGCGGGCAACAAAGCAAACAAACCACTCACCGGAAAAACGATTTGCGGCCGGAAGCGTCGGGACAGGGAAATTGGAGGCGCGGACGGTTGGCTCTGGAAAAAGGAAGGTGGCTTTTAAAAGCTAAGGGCAGTGGTGTTTTTCGAATGCGAATGTAGCTGGATGGCAGCTTGCGTCCTGAAGAAATGCTGAAGAAAATAGCGAGTTTAATTTGAGAATGGCAAAAGTGAATGTTGTCTCCAGCTTATGTACTAGGCCCAGCAGACTGCAGCTCGAACCTCACGAGCCCGTCCCGAAGTCTCGACTCCAGCTTGTCTGTACGTTCGCTTTAATTGTTGTCTACCCACAATCCGGAATCGACTGAGCTGTACAATGTAGTACCCTGGAGGAACACGTGTCACGTACTACCTAATTGTAAGGGCTGAGGGCCTCATCATAATCCGCAGGGGAGTGTGGAGGCTGCAGCCGGTGTGTACGGTTTAGGCTGGCCAGCTCATTGCCCAGTTTCGGGCTGTTTCACAGCTTCATGGGAAACCCTGACTGACATAACCCAGATTAGCTTAACACAAAACTGCTACCTTTATGCGTCCTAGCTGCGTGCGAGCTGCGAAATCAGGGTAGTAAGTCGAGGTTAGTCGAAATTAGGCCGCAGCTCTGCCTCAGCTCTGTCGGGTTCAGAGAGCGGACCCAGGAATACTCATGGGTTTTTCTCGTTTGCCACTGCGGCCCATCTGGATACAGGACGTCTCCTCCGCTAATTGTCCGGGCCATGAGAGCAGGCGCTAAGAGTCTGAGCTGGCCTCTATGATGCAGCATTGAATGTGGCGCCATATCCGCAAACTTAGAGCTTGATTATTCGTTTTCATCCGACGCGCACTTGGGTGGGTGAGACCTGCCAGTCCTGCTTCAAAACTGTTCCGCCAAAATTTTGGGGGATTCAAGCCAGCATTTGGTACACAGGCTGTCATTACCGGTACCTACAGCAGTCCCGATGCTCCAGCTGAAGAGCTCAGGAGTCAGGTCATACCGATACAAGCAAGAATGTAAGTACGAAGTAGTACCGGTACCTAAAGTAGGGAATGTGTTGGATTCCACCGTACCGTACCGTAGGACTACCGTAGTCCAAGGTAATGATTCCGAATAGATAAATAATTATTTGCATTCGGAAAGTCAGAAATTCGGATTTCGCATTTGGAAAGTGGAAATTTTTAAAGGTCAATTATTTCTGAAATGGTCCTCGGAAGCCCGAAAACGGCAAAATTCGGCCTCAAAATCCCCTTCCTAGTGAGAACATAGGGCATTCGGATTCTATGATGTCGGAATCATCATAAAGAAATCCGCTTTCCTGGTCGGATTGTCGGAAAATAATTCCAACTAAAATCGTTCGGAATCATCACTTTGGACTACGGTAGTTTGGCACGGTGGTAGACCGGAGGCCCTACGGCGTAGGGCTGATCAACCGTGACTGCATGATGGTGTCGCATGATTGAGCGGGACACGTCAGACTACCGGTAGAACCTCGGTAAAACCTGTTTCGGAATACTCTTAGCGGAAACTTCGGACTTCAAAAACCAGGACATTTCCGCCCGGAGAAACCTTCGGTTTTTGACCGGGGACCTCGACCGAGGACTTGCAAGCTCCTAGCCACCTTCCCCATGAGTGCCCGGAAAGGTCTATCGACCACCCGGGGAAGGTGCAGCCTCCCTCGGATGAAGCCGGCTTTTAGCTCGCCAGTATCTATACAGGGCGGCACTCAGAAATCAGCGGTAATATATTTAGCTGGATTGCTCATTGGGCAGCGGGCTCTCGCCGTCGGGCCGGGTCTGCCTGACAAGACAATTTCGCTGTACGACCGCACGGTACACGAACTGTGCGACTCCGTACTGCAGATTGGCAATCGTACACCATTGGTCTGGACTTTGAATTCTGCAGCATCCGTCGGGTTAAACCGCGGTATACGGTACATTGATGCAGACGTAGACCGCCAGGTCCAGAACAAAGCCTAAAGTGCTTCGGTAATTTCCCGGCAATTTGTAATTTGTCACCCGTCCACTCTCAGCCCTACCGAGTCGTCTTCGCCGTTGCCAAGTCGATCGATCGCGACAGGCCCTCATGGGCCCCCTCAAGCTTCTGGTCCCACTTTTGTCCTCTGATCTTCTTGACTCCGGCTAAAACAGGCAAGACAGATCGAGCCCTTAAGTAAGAAGCAGATCATGCTTTCAACTGCTGACAACCACGTGCGACGGACGTGACTAACACTGATATGGTCTAGCATGCAGGCTCAATTGAGTTGCAACCGGCCGAAATGCAAGAGAATTCTTTCGAGTCACTTGCGTATCAACAAGGATCACTAGAAAGCATTCATCCGAGAGACGTCATGCAGATATTACCTACATGGTTCACGATCATACAAAGTCATGCAGTCGGATGTTAAATAGGTAGACTTTTTTGCCGAAGTTGCCGCCACCGTCACTGACGTACGCGGTACCTGTTCTGCATGTAGTGACAAGCTTGTAACGCTGCAAACGGGATTATGGGATCTCCGACATGCAGAATCCACATGGCTCGCTTCAATATGCATTCCCGGTGGCTTAAAACAGACGTACCAAGAAGTATCACTAGAGTACGGTCACTGCTAGCACAGTCTAAATGGAGCGGAGGCCGGGGTGCCCTTCCCTCCACTGCCACCCGAGGCTCGACAGTTTTACGGAGTCGGTCAATACAACTGAGTCTACTCAACCGCAAGAATCATTCTTATATTTGATTAGCCCTGAGCGCACCCCGGTTGTAAACCCATATTCTAAACGAGACTTCAGCGGTTGCAAGTAGCTGGCGACTTGGACCGAGCTCTCAGAGGGCCCGGGGACCCTACATACAATCCCACAAGCTCTCAGTCTTCAAATTGCCCCACGAGGTCACGTATCATCGAAAAGTTGACAAAGATGCCTTATGAGCTAGCAAGCCAGATACAGAGGCCTCTGGCCAAGAACAAAATAAACTTTTGGAAGTCCTGTCCGGTCTCAAATGCAGCTAGTCATCATACCAGCGAGTGTCAAATTGAAGTAGGATCTCCTTATTGCCCCAGTGACCAAGCAAACGTCCCATGCAACCGAGACCTACACAACTTTACAAGAGTTTGCAGAGGCCCGGTGATGCATCTTGCTCCATTATTGCCGTCTCCGAGTGCTCCTTCTCTAGATCGAAGTCACTTTCACAGGAATCACTTATGATCCAAGTTCGAGGGATATCACCCTTATTGACCAGTCACTGGCGCCTGATTCCTTGTACATGCCGTATGCGACCCGAGTCGATACGGATCCCTCTGATTGCAGACGCACAAATTGCCTACCACTAACTAGTAGTACATACGGTGCATTGCGAATGACGATGCTCTCAAGCCATAAAGTGCAGCGTGCGAGGCGAGGTAAACCGCTTCTTGGTAGATACGACGGAAAGTTGGTTTACCGCTCGTCCCTCCTACTAAAAGCGGAAGAGGGCCGGCGCGCAAGACCCGGGTCGTGGAGCGACGTGCTTTTCCTCGGGTTCGCGGTCGTCGGGCGAGCGGAGATTTTGGTCGCGCTATCCGAAGGGCTCGCGTAAGAGCTTCTGACGATTCCTATGGCTGCGGTGAAGAGCGAGTGCAGATGTGGGTCAGAAAGGTCAATCGCTGGTCAAACGTAAGAGTATAAGTGAAGTGAGGAAGCCGTCACGATTTGCTCTTCGGAGCTCTGTCTACGAGGTTCTGTTATTTGATGCCAAATGATGCTAAGCAGCGAGAGATTGGCCAAATGTACAGATCCTGGCACCGTCAGACGCTGCGTCTCGACCGCAAAAGATTCTCAGCCGAAGGTGAGAGCTAGATCTACAAAACAAGAAAGTTTGCCTCTCAAGAAGAACGAGAACTTTCAGAACAGCTCAATCAACGTATCCACCTTTAAAGTCATGAGGGGCGAGTTCCTTATCTCGAACAAAATGACATGGACCCGCTGTCGTTTCTCAGTCTTCAGCAAAGTCTAACGTGAGACGTTCAAGTCTTTCCAAGTGGCATGAGATCCGAAGTTTCGTACCTGTCTGGGGCCGCGCCGGACGGTTCGGACTGCCCTGTTTATGTGCGGACGTGTGGATGGCTCTACCGGCGGACGGAGTGACGCGGGCCGGCTTCGATCCGAGGTCCTGCGAAGTGGGAGCGGAAGTCAGCTTACTTGTTTGCAGTGGTTCTTTTTCTCGCGCGAGAGACGGTAACCTCCTCCACAACCGACGAAGAAAACGCCAAGTCCGCACGTTCCCTTGACGTGTTCCAGCAATAACGGACGGTCAGTTTGCTTTAACGAACATCATGCGACTGTTTGACTTCCTGTCCACAGCAGAATTGATTCCTGAAACGGAAAAGGAGAGCGGAACGGTACGTACCTTGAGGCCTTGTATGTGCAGCAGGTGAGCGATGGACGAGCTGGGGCGACCTTCCGTGAGGCAGTGGTTGAGTGCCTCGTCGCCTTTTGGTCGGTACACTCGCTTCTCGTACAAAGCGCTGCTCTGAGGGCGCGAAGGGCTGCACAGGTGCCACGTGTCAATCAACAGATACTTGTCGAAGCAAAGCCTGGCAACTTTGCACTCTAACAGCAAGCCCAACGCCCCGATTGCGACATCGGATTCTGCTGAACTAAACAAGATCTTAGGTACTTGCAAGGCTTGCGTGCCGAAAAAGCAATCGCGAAGTACTCTGCTCCCTTTGGGAATGACGGTTTGCCAATGCCATGACGTCTGCCGAGCGTCAGCGTTCCTACCTGCCAGCCCAAGATCGCAACACGTGCCTGGGGTCCTCTTCGAAGTCGAAGCCCCTTCTCCCTGTGAACCCGGCGCTTTTCCCGCCTACGGATTCGACGTTCTCTTTCGAACCCTCCCGCTCACTATTGCGCCGGCTGACACTCTCGCTGGACGTCCGCTCTGAGCGCCACGTGGCACGGTCGGAAAGGATCCATGTGTCGCGCCCGAAGTGGCCGACGATCTGGCCGTCGAGAGACCAGAGACTGGACGACAGAAGGGAGATTGGGCCCCGGTTCAGCGTTTGCGTTTGGGGAACCGCATGGAGCAATCCCAGATCACTTAACCCCTCGTTTGACGTGCTAACGGTGTCCCTTTCAGCTTTTCTTATTCGCGAGAAGTTCCGCGAACAAACGCGTTTACCGACGGACTCAACGAGACGAGAAGCCGCAGAATGGAGACAACAATTATTGAAGCTTACGTACAAAACTCGATGGACGGAAGGTCCTTGGAAGTGAGACGTCAGTTTCGTGCAATTCTTCGGATTCGCCCCTCATCTTAAGGGAAGGCTCGAAAGAAGGTCTGCCTCAAAATCCCCCTCGAAAAGAGTTACTGTCTTCAGCGTTGCAGGTATGGACAAAAGCTTCAAGTACGGAGCAACGGGCGTCCCTGTGTTCTACTTTCGTGCTTGAGATGGTCGCCTCGTGCACCTTTCCAACAAGTTGAAACGATCTCGCATCCGTGACAGGGTAACAAAAACGGTACCTCGAGTCCGTCAAGTGAACTGTTTAACAGACATGGTGACGGCGCACGCCTTGAAAATGAGGGCGACCCTGTCTACAGGGTCAGTGCTTCAGATGGTCGCCACATGGCTCTTTGAGTACCAGCCGAAATCATTGGCTTAAGAATCATTGAAAGGGCCAGAAACTAGATCGGGGGGACCGTTTACCTGACGAATGTGTCGGCAGACGCCGTCAAAATGAGGGCGTCCCTGTCGTCCACTCTATGCTTGAGATGGTCGCCACATGTCTTTGACTATCAGCCGCAATCACTGGCTTAATAATCTCTGGAAGGGCCAGAAACTAGATCGGGGGGACCGTTTACCTGACAAATGTGTCGGCAGACGCCGTCAAAATGAGGGCGTCCCTGTCGACCACTTCTATGCTTGAGATGGTCGCCGCGTGCGCCTTCCAGCCGCCGCCTTCAAGGAACGCCTCCGGTTCGACATCGTTGCTCGCGCCGCCGCGCCGCCGCCCCTGGTACCGGCTGGTGTCCCAGACCTGGAGTTTTGAAATCGAAAGGCGGGGCTTTGACATCGGTTCGCAACTTTCGACGGTGATTCGAAACGGGGGTGTTCCACACCTGGGGTTTGGACACCAAAAGCGGGGCTTGTAATATGGTTAGCAGAACTTCGACGGTGTCCCGGAACGGGGGTGTTCCGCACCTGGGGTTTTGAAACAGTCGGAAGCGGGGGCTCTGAAAGCAATCAGCAGTTTTGGACGGTGTCGCGGAACGGGGTGTCCCACATCTGGGGGTTCAAGGTTGAAAGGCGGGGTTGTGTAGACGGATAGCAATCTCCAGACGACGGAAGGTTCTGTTTCAAACGGGATGGTCTGCACCTCGGGATCAAAGAGGGCTCTATATGAGGATCGGTGCATCTCGACGGCTTGCATTTCCGTAGTGTTTCCAGTGATCAAAGACATGTGCTGGAGTGTGCCATGAGGGCCAGTTAAGTGTAGCGCAATCCACTTAAGATTCCGAGAAGCAGATATTTATATCAGCGCCCAACGTGCAGCCAGGCAGACAGCAGAGGCCTTTCAGCTTAACCAAAATGCTGTTTAACAAGAAGATTCGAAGCGCACGATGAGCCCGGTTGACATAGTGCATCCCCTTGAGCTATCTCGTGGCGTCGCCGGCAACTAGGATGAAGTTATCGGCCAGCCTCGATTGTGAAATCGCGCGATGAGCCCGGGTAATACAGTGCCGTTATTATCAGATACCCCGCGCTTCGCCGTAACTATGATGAATCATCGGTCAGCACAAAGAGTAGCTTTGTGCGACGAGCCCGGTGCGATATACCTTGAGGTATCCTGTGGCGTCGCCGGTAACTAGGATGGCGTTGTCCTGGCTGATGGCCAGCCCGACCAGACTCTCCCCCGCCTTGTGTTGAGCGTCCAACTGGAGAAAAGAGGGCAAAGCGAAGTGAAAAAAAAGAGTTTTTTATTTCAGCGCAGCCCACTTTCTCTTGGAATTCATTCCACTACCGGAAAAGAAGTGATTTCATTCAAAAAAATTTCTTTTTTTACAATCTGTGCTTGACCCCCCTTGGAAGCGGCCTGAATCCCAAGAAGTTCCGCTGTCCGTTTTAAAAAAATTGTCCATATTTGGAGTTAAGCTGCTCAATATAAACAGTGCGTTTCAGAAAGGACGTAATAAAGATTTGCAAGCTTCGGCGGCCTCAAAGATTGACCGGTCTTAGTGTCAGACATGTTTTCAATTGATCGTCGTAACCAAGGCCTGACCCTATTTGCCAGCCAAGCCCGACTTCCTGTCTGGCCCATCAACTCCGGAAGCTACACTTTGTTGCAGCTGCTTCAGTCAACCTAGGACTTGCAAACTTCGTAGCGGGAATTTTGAAAGGACGTACTCTCAAATGTTTTTCTGGGGTGTGAAAGAGCTGCTAAATCAGCTTTGAAGTCCCCGTCACTTTGCATTTGCACCGGGCAGGCATCTGACAGCGTCAGATTTTGAAAGGGAGTTGCTCAACGTGATTCCGTGGTGCTTGTCACCTCAAGGAATGTCACCGCGTGTTCGCGGCAAAATTAACGGCACATACCGACGCAGCGTGTGAGCTAGCGACGTCTTCAGCGGAGCCTTACCGAACCGGTCAGTCAAGGGACTGATTTCCGACACCCGCTTATAAATGCCCAGAGCTTATGAAGGAAACGGAGCGATTGAACGAAGCTTACCTCTGAAGCGAGCGTTCCGTCGATGGAGTCCCACACGCGGATCATTCCGTCGGCCCCGCAGGAACAAAGGAGGTTCTTCTTGGGGCCGTTGAAGAAGGCGACCTTCTCCACGGACCTCTCGTGGGGGGGTCGCCCCTCCGTATATGGAGGCTGCACCCACCGATTAAAATGCTCAGATTACTTCTCGGAGAACCTCAAGCACCAGGCTCTCGTCCAGATTCTGAGGCAACTACCTTCGCTGAGACTCTTGTATGTGTGACATAACCGTTTGGCAGTCTCTCGTTGGGTCTCTTGCGGGAGACGACCTCTGCGCAATGCCCTCCGACGGCGAGAGCCAAGGAATAGACAGCAAGTATCTGGAGATTCCGCTTTCTTCTCTGATCGCACGCCCTAGAAAATGCCTTATACACCTACTCTCGTGACCACGACGTGGCAGCGGTGCAGATCAGACCTGCGAGATCTCCTCATCAGCCTGTACTCTTCCAGTTTTCGCAATTCACTTTCCCTGAAGATTACCCATAGATTCACAGCCTACGGCGCCCGAAACGAAAAGGCGCTTGCCCTTTGATTCCTCTGTTCGTCCAGCTTTCAAGACCAGAACAAGACTTCCGATAAACAAGCGCTCGTTGGCCCTCTGACGTCACATCTATACCTAATCTGACGTCACGCTCACCGTCAGCTTGCACCGGATGGCCCCGCTATCGATGTTCCACAATATGATCGTCCCGTCGTGCGCCCCGGTCGCGAGCGTGTACGGCGGCGAGACTGCTAACGTCAGGATGTCGTCATGGTGGCCCGGCAGCAGTTTGATCGGGTACAGGATCCGCCGGTCGGCTTCCTCCCACAGCGTCACCTGAAAATTTCGGAGTCTGGCTTTACTCTTTCGTTCATCTGATTTTAACAGGGATTGCCAAGAGTTTTAGGACTTTCTGGAGTTCGGATGTGTGAGTTGTGTGCCTTGCAAAAGCTTGGTCGAGTGAAAAGTGTCAACTTTCAGCTTCTTCCCACAGAGTGATCAGGAGTTTGCGAATTTCTGGTGTTCAGCTTTAAAGGAATTCAGTCCCTTGAGTCTTAAGGTAAAAATCACCGGTCAGCACCTTGGTTGGTTGGAAGATCTGGCATTCGAGCACAGCAAGCTGAAGCTTTGAGAGCTGATTTCGAGTCCGACCCTTCTGAGCGCTGAAAAGGAATTTGAGATTGTCCAATGGCCATTCAACAGCAGCCTTGATTGCATAAGACAATCGGTGCTCCTCAGAAGAATATCTGGGTTCGCACGTTCCAGAGATTTACAAAAACTCTACTTACGACCAGATTTGACCTTGTTACTCATCGATTCTTTGAATTTTCAGACCGCAGTGCGTCGAAGCGGGTTCCCTTTCATTCCGTTACAGTCTTCCCCAAACTCACTGTTCTGCTTCGAAGTCCCACTCTCTTTGTGGGCGAGTCAGCCCCTTCTGATCGCTTGGCTGATTACGCAGCCTCCCAACCGGAGAAGTGATAGAGGGGTCACAACCTGTCGAAAGCTCGCTGGGCAGTCTCGCTTCAATATTTGCGAAACGAATCCAAACCTTGCCTTTAAGGAGTTTAAGGAAAAAACATAAACCTACCTTTCTGTTCCATCCAACGCCAATGATTTGCCGGGACTGGTAGCCACCTTTATGGTTGGCCAGACCGGTCACTTCCACAGACGTCCGGCTCGCAAGTTCCTTCAGGCACTCCCCGTTGTTTGGATTCCACATCTGCGTGGAAATGACAGTTCTTTCATCTTCCTTAAAAAGCTGAAAGCATGCTCGACTTACTTTCTGGATCACATCTTCCGGGCGCGCGCTCTTCGTTCAAAACGTAAGCATAACACGACTAGCAACCGCATGCTCTCCACATCCGAGCGGAAAAGTCAACGAGGTACTGAAGTCATCGGAACATGCGAGCTATGATAATGAACCCGCGCGTTTCATCAAAGAGCCCAGTCAAAAGGCCTTTCCTGTTGAAAGCTATTGTCAAAGATACGATGTAAGAACGGAAATAGTAAGTCTCCGTTTGTATTTTGAGTTAGACCTTTGTTGAATATATGACTTCCCGGGCTTAACGAACTGAGAATATACCCACCCTAAATCTCCAAATCACTAAGTTCTGCCTCGGCATGATCTAACTCAACAAGCCCTTTTAAAGTCACATAAGATCGACAGTACCTCCGAAGAAAGGGGACCAAGTCTTGCTTGAAAGAATTACCTTAACGGAACCATCGTGGAATCCAATCAGAAGGCGTCGCTTGTTCGAATCAAACGACATGGCCGTGATTTTGCCCTCGTTGGGCGTGCTCGCGAAGCGGAACGTCAGCTTTCCGGTCGCCAGGTCCCACACGCAGACGATGGAACTCTGGTCTCCGCTCACGACCTGCGAGCGGAAACGGAACGGAACGCATTTTTTAAGCATCGGGTTTGACCGCTTGTCGAATAGTCGAGTGTATGGTGGCCAAATCTCGGATGCAGACGAGGGACCTCCGGTCGCGGCTCACAACCTGCGAGCGGAAAGGGAACGGAACGGTATCTCCGTCGTCAGGTCCCAGACGGAGACGAGAGACCTGCGAGCCGAAGCGGGACGGCTCGTCAACCAATTCTACATAGCGAAAAGGATTCGCTGGTGGATGGGTCTCACACGCAAAGCACGAAGCTCCGATTACAGCTTGCGAGCTGCTACCGGAAAGGGAACGTTACGGGCGTCCTCAAGTTCGAGCTGCTGCCAATACTTGCTAATCCCAGCGCAAGAGGCTACTGGAGACATGTATCTTTCACCTCGCTCTTCTTAAGCAACACGTTTTTCTCATCTGGAAGTCTGAGCATTGCAGATTGGCCAGAGACACGATGGATTCACCCTCACATGCTTGACCTCTGATACCCCACTTTTCTTTGGGCACATTTCACCTGTTCCAAGGTCGCTCCGCAGCGGCCGTGACTCAATCCCTCCCAATCATAATTACTTTACTCTCTTCTCGCCCTCCAGGTGGATGTTCTCCCTTTGCCCTTTCTTCTCTCGTGAGAATACACCTAGTTTTGCTCGTTGGCACGCATTGCTCACCTGTTCCAGGCTCGCGTTGTAGAGCGCGGCCGTGACCGCGGTCGCGTGCGCCATCCCGAAGCTGTCCTCCAGGGTTTTGAGCGGCCAGGGTTTCAGCCGCGTCGCGCCGGTGATCAGAAACGAGCGCGCGGGGTCGAACATGATCGCACCGATGCGGTTCTCGGGCCGATACTGCGCCTTGTCGATCATGACCTGGATGCACTTGTGGCTCCGGATGTCCCAAACCTGGCAGGGTTAACAAGGGTTAGCATGAGATTGTTAAGGCTTACATTTTAACAAATGTGTAAGGGGCGGTCCACGATAGACTGGATGCACTTCTGCTGCAGATGTTCGAGACCTGGCAAGCTTTGACGAGGAGCAAACCAACCAAAGAAGGGCAAAAGGAATGGGGGAAAAGCCTGGTGCCTGGCCGGAGCGAGAATGTTTGAGGCCCAGCAATGCGCCCTGACCGAAAATGGGCTTTGTTCACAAAAAATTCGACGCAGATCCTCCAAAACCTCACCGGAGAGCCATGAGGGTTTTCGAAAGGCTTCATAGGGTTTGATGATTCTGGAGGGGAAACCCGGTACAATCTATTGAGAACCGGGCGTGATCCAGAAGCACTTGTGGCTGCCGATGTTTCGAAGCTGCGTCTTGTAACTATTCGAGACGAGTTCAAGGAAGTTCTGGAGCGTTTTAGTACCAGAGCGAGTTTCAAGACCATGATTTCTGTCCTGAAAATGCTCGCGGTTCCAAAGCTGCCCAGTACTATGTGCGATAGGACAGAAAGGCTCTTGGATGTAAGGACTGTTCAGAAAATGCTTGTAAAGGAAAATAAAGTGAGCAAGTAAAGTAAATTCAGATAAGAGCTGCATTCTATGTTTGAAAACTAACCCGCATGGACTTGTCAACCCCCACGCTGACGATCTGGTTGTGGCCATCATGAACGATGACGTCCTGGATGCATGACGTATGCCCGTGCAGTGACGCCAGCGGCTGGCCCGAAAAGGGGTTCCACAACACGAGGTGCCGGTCCAGACCGCAGCTGATGATGATCTTGTGACTGCAATAAAAAAAAGCGGAGTGTAGATTGGAGACGGGCAATCAAACAGCTCTTGACGAAAGTTCAAAGAAAGCACGGAACCAAACACAAGCAAGCCAACGGCACGATCACCTTTTCCTCCATGCGAACAAGTAGCTAGATGCTTTTACCGTGGCCGCTAAGTACTCGGGGCGGCGTTCTCCGCTCGAGATCAACCACAATGCTCAACCAAACAACTCTGAATGAGAGTCAAAACAAAACACAGAAAGGAAGGGAAGCAAGCCAACTGCACGCTCACTTTCTGCTCCATGCAAACAAGTAGATGCCTTTCCTGGCCGCTAAGCTACGTGGCGGCGTTATCCGCTCAGATTGAACCACATTGCTCTACCAAACGACTCTGAATACGAGTCCAAACCATACACAGAAAGGGATACACAAGCAAGCCGAATGCACGCTCATGTTTGCTCCATGCGAACGAGTAGATACCTTTTCCATGGCTCTTCCGTGACCTGGATGGAGACGCCCTCCTCTCGTGATCAATCTCTGTCTGACCCAAAGAGTTGAACAAAGGATTGACGATCACCAAAAACTTCAAGAAATTGAGGTGAAGAATATTTGAAAAAGAATTTAATTACACGTAAAACCAAGACGAACGCTCACTTCTTGCTCCAAGCAAATGAGTAGATGCCTTTGCCATGGCCGCTAAGTGATCGGGGCGGCGTCCTCCGCTCGGGGTCTATCAACACGATGGTGCGGTCCAAGGAGGAAGAAGCGACGCAACTCAGGTCCGGTATGTGCTTCACCTGCGAAATGTTTGCGGAGCTCTCGAATCCCCTTATAACTCTGTGGAAAAATGAAAATTTACATCAAAACAAACAAAGCGCTAGGATCACCTGATTCTGGCTATTGAAGTTGCAAAACGTGGACAAAAAACAAGATTATTTAAGCTTGCGCGGTTCTCACAGTAAAGCTTCCTGCGAGGCTTTTGAGTTCGTATCATCGAATATGACGGAATTCTCTGTTGCTCGCGTTTGCGGATCGACAGCCAATCAGTCCGGCACGCTATCCGTCCGCGTGGTTCACGGTTGGAATACATCGCGGAGGTGACATGCGTGGCCTAGGCCGGGCGGCAAGTGGGCGTCAAGTCGCCAATGACAGAGTGTCGAACGCTCACCTTCGTGACCCAGTCTGTGTGCGTTCGATGCTTCCAGATTCGGTTGCAGTCGAGCTTCTCCCCCAGGCGCATGTCCCCGACGTCCTTGTCCACGATGCTGTACAGATGCACGTACCTGAAAAAACAGCAGCGTCAGCATGACGTCAGATTGGTTGCTGGTGAAGATTGAAACGTGTCCCCGCGCATTGTGCAGAAAAGCCTAGCCCTTTTCTACCAGATTCCATTAGTAGACGGTTGAGATCACCTGCTGGTTTGGGCGCACGAGCTGGCAGAACAGGCCTGGCGGTGAGTGGCTACTTGTGCATCTTCAATAGTTGCGAACGATTTCGAGTAAGATTCTGCACCCGGAAGAGTTGAAGCAAGAGATCTCAGAAGAGCCTCGACCGCCGTCCTGAAGGTTTTTGGCTTCCCTCGCAGAGTTGCTGGATCTCATGGTTCTGCCAAGCGATTGCTCCTAGTCTCCAACGGATCGCTCCTCGTCTCCAGGACTGATACAGAGCTTTCCCAAATTGTTTAAAATTGGACCCTGGATGCATCCTCGGACAGAGCAGACTAATGGTCAAAAGCTGTGGATTAGACTTCCCGCTCAAAAAGGCGCTCCCTCAAACAGCCAACACTTGAAGTAGACTCACCCGCCGTCATCGCCTATGAGCAGCAAATCCTCCGACGACTTATCCTCCTTGCGGCAGTCCAGCGTCAGCGGCACGTGCTCCAGGCCCATAATCTTTCCGACCACCTCAAACGTCGCGAGGTCGTATATGTAGAGCATGCGGTTGCACGCCGCGACCGCGAGTTTCTTGTGGCAGGGAAGGAAGCAGATGTCGCTGATCCAGGACTTGCAGCACTGGATGGTGCGCTGGTGCATCAGGTCCAAACAACCCCACAACCTGCAATGAAAAGTTAGAAAGGAGGTCTTGAGACGTTAGGGGTCTAAACTTTTAGTGGTTTGGGATAGTTGAATATGCGACTGGGAGTAGATGTCGCTGATCCAGGACTTGCAGCACTGGATGGTGCGCTGGTGCATCAGGTCCAGGCAACCCCACAGTCTGGAGATTTAGAGGTAGAGTCTTTAGATACTAGAGTTTCGAGATTTTTAGAATGTGGGTTGAAGGGTGTTCAGAAGCGTCTTGTGACATGACTGGAACGAATGTCGCTGATCCAGGAATTGCAGCATTGGATGGTCCGCTGATGCATCAGGTCCAAACAGCTCGCAACCTGGAGATTTGGAGGTAGAGACTTCAGCTACTAGAACTTTGAGGTATTTTGTTTGTGGGTTGAAGGGTGTTCAGAAGCGTCTTGTGACTTGACTGGAACGAATGTCGCTGATCAGGCATTGAGCATTGGATGGTGGCGCTGATGCATCAGGTCCAAACAACCCCACAACCTGGAGATTTGGAGGTAGAGTCTTTAGATACTAGAGTTCTGAGATGTTGGGATCTTGGGGTTTGGTTTTTGAGAGCTTCTTATGGAATGACTGGAAGTAGGAGTCACTGATCAAGATTTTGATCACTGGAGGGTGCGCTGATGCATCAGGTCCGAACAACCTGCGACCGGGTTCTGGAGTGTCAGGCCCATGAGATGCTTCGCCAAGGCCATCTGGCCAGCCGGAAGCCAAATGTACGGACTTTCTATCCCTGCCGTTAGAGGAACGAAGATGGTCCACATTAAACATGCCAAAGAAGGTCAGAGCTTTATGTGTACTCAGCCGCGCAAAGCCGGTCTGGAAACTGTAAAATCCAGTCTGCAGATTTTCGGGAGTCAGATGAAACGTTACCTGACGGTACCATCCCGGCTGCCGGACGCATACCGGTCCCCCGGGACGCGCACAATCTTCGTTATAAGGTCACGGTGCGCGGCGGACTCGTGGTTCTTGTCCCGCCACCCGGTATCTAATATCTGGGGCACCTGCTCCTTGTTGCGCATCTGGCCGCGGCCCTGGCTCGACAGTAGCATGAACGCAGAAAACTCCTCCCTGTAGAGGTAACGACGGGGATTTCCGTTTCGTTTTCTTAGTTTCATGTCCGTTCCTGTCGATGTGACATTGACAAACGCTTCTTTCTGCAGTTGCTCCTTGTTGCGCATTCGGCTGCCGCCCTCCTTGTACGCAGAAAATTTCGCTTTAAGAACCGGTAGGGCTCTGAAGTTCTGAAGTAATCCTCTCCACGCCTCTTTTAAAAGGCAGAGAATCATGTCCTTCCTCGAAATACCAGGAATTTGCAGTACGTCGTTGCTTTCTCGGCAGTTTTCGGCAGGCCTCCAAACGGTCCGTGTTTACGACGGGAACCTTCCAAGTCCGTCTGAATATCTTGGTCAGGAAATTTGCAAGCTGTTCCTTGGATTTCCTTTAGGGTTCTTCAACACTTTGCTCTAATAGAAACAGCATGCTGCTCTATTGTGGAGTGCATCCACTCGCGCGGGGCACAGAACTAAGCAGACGGAACAGAAGACTCATCGGCTCTCACCAGTCGAGATCCCCGCTTGCGTTGGCGTCGATCTTCATGAACATCTGCCGCAGTTCCTTAGGTCCCGTGTGCTCGTCGCCAATCACTCCGCTAAACGCATGCACGAACTCGTCCTCGTCTAGAGTGCCCCCCTTGTCCGTGTCGGCATCGTCAAACACTTTCTTGAGGCGCATCAGGATCTGCGGGGGAGACGGAAAGGTTTGTCACGTTCTCCTCTTCAGATTATTTAGCGTACACACTTCAAATCATTCTTCAATCAGCGTGGTGCGAGCATCGTCAAAGACTTTCTGGAAGCGCGTCAGAACCTGCATGAAAAGCTGTACCTTCGTAAGGTTCTGGAACCTTAAGCCCTAGGCCTTTTTAAAAGAAGCCCTTGAATTCCGTACCTCCCGTATCCTTGTGGCAACGACATTAAAAGTTCCTTGAGGCGCATGAGAATCGGGACCAGCGACGTTCAGTTGTTGTCAAGGTGCAAAGTTGGAGGAATAGGGCAGGGAGCTCGGATCGACTGCCCGTGATAGCGGAACCCCACTATATGCTCCAAGTCCTGGCGCTAAGGGGTTGACGAGGTCTCCATTGTCAGACTTACACCGTTGAGCTTCTAGGGCTCGCCGTTGTCAATGTTTTGACACATCCTCGTCTCCTTCTCGATCCAGGCCTCACAGAGATTGGTTTACAAGCACGTTATTGCGTTCTGAGCGTGCTCTAACTTGCACAAGTTGAGAGAGCTACGATTCATCATCTGCCCTCGCCAAAAAGGTGACGTCGCTATGTTGATTTTGCTGACAAAAAGAACTAAATAAGAAATCTTCTGAAGTAGTGAATGAAGGACGCCTTTTGTGGCTACGACTGAGATCACAACAATATACGGATGTTTAGTGGTCCACTTCTAAGATATTGAACTGGGCCTACAGTTCCTTTTCATCAAAAGTCCTCGTCTTGCTCCCATGCATCTTTTCTTTGGAAATTCTAGAATCCGATAGTGTCCGTCACAATCTAACAAACGGCTCCCTAGCTCACCTCAAGATTGATGTTGTCGTCCAGGGTAACCTTAGACTTTGACTGTGGCCGCGGGGGCATTCTTGGCTGCAGCCATCAGAGACGACGTTGTCAGGAAAGGTAAACATCAAGGCGTCTGTACTTAAAAAGATTCGAATGTTTCTGCCCCCTGAAGATTGCGAAAACGCACAAGATATGTGGCGAAGAGCTGAACAGGACGAGCAACAAAAATGGTAGATATTACAAGTACTGTGAGAATCTGTCAAGGAGGCTCATCCTACCCCTCGAAAGCCCTAGGGAGCACCTAACGGTCGCGTTAGGGCCTACACTATACTAGCACGCTGAGCAGAGACCACAACGCACGTTTGCTTCTTGAGTGGCGGTCATTCCGGATTAGGAAGTGGATGTACGATGACAACGAATGTGCTGAGAATGGCCTGTGGCAGTCGATAAACATTATCAAAGCTACTCAACCTAAATCCTGCAAAAACACCTGCGAATGTTGCGGTTTCAACATTACTTTCTCGATCATGGCGCGTTCTGTAGGAGCCAACAAGAGCTTACAGAAAGTGTAGGCTGGATCATTAGCTTCGTGCAAAACTTTCTGTGCAAACGGTCTCTTTTAAACTGTCTGTGATCAATAAGACTCAATCTCATACACCACAGTCTAGTTTCTTTGAGGATGTCAACATCAAATGCTGTGAAACCACAGCCACGGATGTCACTTGCTGGATGATCGTAGTTACCTTCGCAAGCTTTCCACCACTTCAACCTAGCTTCAACCTGGCTGGTGCTTGGCCCTAAACAGCGCTGTTTAAGGGGGGGTTTCTTGCGTTTCAGAAGGGGGCCTAGCTGTGTTGTTACTATCTGGTTTGGTATGAAGAGCCTGCTCAATATTCCCAAATGCAGCTGTACTCCAAATGAAATAGCTCGTCTTCCTAAAGCGAAGGAATGCAGAACCTCTCGCCACTTATACATCCAAGCTGAACACTCACCTCAGGTGGCGGTGCTGCGACATCATCGCCAGAAGTCCCGGCCTTATCCTCCCCTGCAATTGTGCTGTAAGAAGCCCGTGATGACGCCACTGAGCTCCGAGAGGACCTGGACCGATGCGCCATATTGACAGTGTCTATCTTCCAGCCTGCGTTGGCTCAATTTCCCTCGAGAAAACTCTGCCCCTGCGAGCCAGTTCTCATGAGTTCTGTGAAGCCTCTATGAGAGTGGCGGGAATGAGCTGCTAGCAGCTTCCTGACCCTCACACAGTTCCATTGGTTTCTCTATGGGTCCTTTTCTCCTGTTACATGAACCACTTGAATTGAGCCATCAGCTCCTTGACGAGCAGCCAGCCCAGCAAAGTTGGTGAACGTTCCCCTTCCATGACCTTGCAAGGTGCGACTCACATATTCAACATAGAACCCCATGATTCTTACCAGGCTCATGACTAGCCACCAGGTTTGATCTTGGCAAAGCCAACTTGATACAAAAGGGGCACCGCACACAACGTGTCAAAACAGCCTTCCTAAAGCTCTACCAAGAGCAGCTTTCTTACACCATGCGTAGCGGCCACCTTCTGATCTCAGGGCCTCATTGTCCTCAAGGCTCAATGCTCAATGAGCACTGAAGAGCTTGTGCAGCAAACTTTCTTTGGAAACCCTAACTTTAGCTGAGGCGCGCGTACGCGCGTACACATAAAGTAATAAACCCCTTCGTTCGCGGAAGTTGTCACCAATTCTAAAACCCCGGCCCAGCTCGATCGACGGTCGTCCGCGGGCGGCTGCCGCAGCCGGCCGTCACGCGTCAGAGCAGCCGACCGATGGGGACAGGACCGATATACTTTGACATAAAGCGCAATTTTCTTGATTCTTTAGAAGCCATTCTCTCAGTTCTTGCCCTCAAGCTAGGATGCATCGAAGTTGTCGTAACATGCCTTCAAATAGAATACTACTTTGCCTGAGGAGTGTGTGAAACACGTGTGAAAGGGTCTGAACGATCCTGAAGTTGACGAAGTCGTGGAGGCCCTTAAACAATGACCGGAAGGTCTTTGTCTGGACGGCTTTCCAAAGCGCCTGGGATCGTGTCAAGAGCTCAACAGAAGGTGCAATCAAAAGTGGCGTTCTCTTAAAAGTCGTCATGCTATCTTCGACAGGAGAGAAGCAGATAGATGTGTTAGACTTTCTCTTTGCATTGGCAGTCGCGATAGCTTGCATAAGGAAGATCCGATGCAGAGGTCCAGTAAAGAAAGGTGTGATCAGCCAGCCAAATTAGCTGGCTGTTCACTGTTCAAAGACATGACCATGATCCGTGGTTTGAATTCAGCATCTCCATCTTTGTTCCACATCACAGGGCGACCACTGTGTCAAGCACAGTGCCAATCACTGCAACAATAAAGGAGTCGAGCAGATTTTGTCAGTGCCGCTCATGGAGCCAGATCTCGCCAATCAAACCTTGGAGATGCCTCCGATAAACAACATCGCGAAAAGGAACTCCGAGAAACCGACAAAAATCTGACCGTATCACAGAAATATTTGCTCCACACCGCTGCCTGTCCACACCGCAAAGCATAACTAGTAACCTTTGAAGTCTCTGACCCCTTCAACGTCGAGTTGATTCTGACCCCATGTTGCAACGTACTTCCCAATGCAGACTCGCAAAGTGCTTCTTTCCAGCCCCTCTCCGACCTGCTCGAAACAGCGGCACGAGCTCGGGTTGCGGTCAAACTCCTCCAAGAGAGGAGAACGGAGCTCGTACAAGCTCACGGAAAAAAGTAAGGTAGACGAGAGCGGCGGCGGGTGTTTGAGCAGGGATGGCACTATCTGCCAGAGGCATATCCCAACATCCCGAGGCTGCTAACCCGAAAGGTTAGGGGTGTGAATGGGGACCTGGTGGGGGTTTGCATGATGAGTCCGAAGCTCTACAGGAAGGCGCGGAAGCTGGTGAACAGTTTGCGGAAGCAGGAGCTATCGATGGGATTGGAGAAAGATTAAAGTGCTCATGTATGGGCCCCAAGGAACCGGCAAGACGCACTGGTTCGTTCAGCTAGTGATGAACTTTACGGAAGAGGTGAAGGCGGAGGGAAAGGGAATGCAACTGGTCAAACTCGTCTTCTGAAATTTCTCTTGTAATTGGCCGGGCAGCAAATGACGCGCGTTCGAGGGTGTACATGCTTTAAGATTGTGCTTGTGGGTCGGCGGATAGTCTCACAGGATTCTTACGTCTTTTGTGACATGACTTGTGACAAAGCACTGTTTTGAGCACTTTAACGGCATCAATAATGTGCAACACAAAGCCAACTTACAATTTAGCCGGGCCACGTACCGATGTGTTCAAACTGATAAACCATTACTACTAAAATAGCGCCAGTAGTACTGAAGTATTGGGCTATTGATAACACTGAAATAAATCACATGACATCGTCTGTGCAGCTACGACTGACCAATCGTTGCAAATCTGTTCATTTTAGTCCTGCCCAACAGAAAGTAAAGTGGACATAATCGTTCCCCTCTAGCAACTGGAATCATGTATAATGTGCTTCACGGTTTCGCAACGACGTACCGCCTGACAATTACAGCTGGTAGGCAAGGCGATGATACTGAAGATACACTCCCTTATCATTGCCGTTGAGTTGAGACACCAGGTTCGAGCAGTTGTTCATCATTACTTCGGGGCCTGCAGCAGAACAAAGACGAGATTCTCAAACACGAATCATGAATCAAGAAATTACCTGCCAGGTCAGGTCTAGGCGCCAGTTTCTTCGACTCAAATGTATGCGCTCGAGACAGAGAGGCTGCGACCTGTTCCTGTAACTCAACTTCATTCTTGGGGATTCGCTTTGATGACCTCAACAAATGTTGGATGTAAGATTCATTGCCAATTGTCATTTCAGAACAGTCATGTCGCTCTCATACACAGAGCGGGAGTAGAAAGAGAAAATGCAACGGTATAGACAGCTTCAACGAGCTGTTTGAGTCAGTACCGGCGCAGCAAACGGCGACTCTCATCGAAGCGTTCTCATTTGTGACGATGCTCTCGAGGGCACTCTTGAGGTCGGGGCGCCCCTGCTCGACGTTGACCTCCAGGCCCAGCTCATTGAAGCTGACGCTCGTGGCAGACTGCAACAACAAGGCAACAAAAGAAGAAAAATGGTGAACGAGAAATAAATTGGCACGGCAGTCAAATACGTCCAGAACCAACTGGGATGGCTCGAGAAGAGCAGAATCGTTATTTGCACGTTTCTGTTCTCCAGCTTTTCCTGTCAGTGTGCCTTTACTATATATGTACAGCCAATACTTTGCACGGCTCTAAGTCTATTTGATCCATTCTACATGTCGAGCTTGCTCGATCTGCTCGCGCGCGCGCAATTTCTGAGCCCCAAGGTGCACACTTACGACGGACGGGTGGTCGGGGCTCTCGTACACGTCCTCAGCGGACGCCAGCTGTGACGCTTGGATGACGTCTTCCCTTCTGTAGCGCAAATACCTGCAGGAAAGAGGTCACGTGTCCTGAACCTCGCTCGAAGAGCGCTTCGAACCCCGGGCTGAGTCAGACTGAAACAGACAGGAACGTACCGCACAGGTCGGGCGCAGAATGACAGTAATCAGACATGTTTCGGACAGCCTCCCGGACCGTCCACTGATAATTCTGGACTCGTCTTGTAACTCCAGACACAGGCCCAATGGTTAGACCGGGCGAGACATGGTTTGAATTGAGGTACCTCTCACCGTGACCCAATCGAGATTGATAAACGCAGTCCATTCCGTCTTGAGATTTGAATGTCAGTCGAGGTACTCAGAACTTGGTGCATTTCTGACCTGTAGAGGTGCCTGGGGAAAAGGACCACAGCCACTGGCAGCCCGATTGACATGACGGAGAGCAGAACTGTGTAAAATAGACCCGCCTGCATAAATAGAACGGATGGTTCTTTCACCATCGCATAAGTATTCGCATAAGTACTTGCATCACTTGCAGAAGTGGCTTTCGACGAGATCGGGATCTTCATCTGGATCACTGTTCAGTTGGGAAAACAAAAGGGCTCAGAGAAGGTAGAAAGAGCTACTAGGAATCACGTTCAGAAGACCCGAGTCAACTGCAGAAACCACGACAGCAATGCGAATCAGCGAGCTTTGTTGAGATTCACAGCTCCTTTATCCCTAGAAGCGAAACCAGAAGTACTACGTTGAGAAACTTGGTTTTTTTTTTTCACAGTGGTACAAAATCTAGCGACGCGTACCATCTCTCAATAAGCGTTTCTGGTCACTTCTTCGCTTGCAAATGCAAACGTCGTTTGCTTTTACCTTCCAGTACTTCGACTCCGTGTAGAAGGTCTCCACATACTCCGCAAAGAAGCTCTGGCAGAGGACGAGTCCACACCAGCCGCCGACCCACGTCGTCAGGATGACGAGGAGCGCCTCGAGCTCGTTGAAGGACTTGGGCTGGATCGGCCTGTAGAGTCGAGAGTTGATCAGGGTTAGCCGTAATGACCAGGGTTAGCCATGATGACCACGGTTAGCCATGTCAAACTTTTGATGCTGCGTGCAATTCGTCTCGTGTGTGTGAACGGTTCTACCGTCAATGTTGGGACCCTACAGGAGAAACACGTTAACCCACCCTGGGACCCTACACGAAAAACATCTTAACCCATCCAGGCCAGCCTAATCCACCTTACAAACCAACTTTCCAAATCCTGTGCAGCGCGGTCCAAGCAAATTGTGGGCTTCAGAAGCAAAATTCACTTGCAGATTGCATCAAATTCGCCAAACCCTTATTTTATGCGAGTCAAAGGGCTGTGTCAAAATTTTACCTGGCGTAATCCCAAAAGAAGCTGGATGCTCCCGGAAGCTTGACGTCAGCGCGCGGGCCTTCAGCCGGGGCGCTATTGAAGTTTCCGACATCGACACCGTTCCTCTCGTTTAAGACAGAACCCATGTCGAAGTCGACCTTGGAGCTTTTGAAGCTTGGCTTGGCCGTCTGTTCCTTCGACTCGTTGCCGGTGTAGAACAGACGGATGGTGAGCCAACCCTCCCTGAAGGACACGTGGACGAATAAGATAAGATACTTCCTCTTTGCCTTTTTCAAAAGTTGAAAAACACTTCAAAAGGTTGAAAACCACTTCTAAAGGTTGAAAAACACTTCCAAAGGTGTTTTGATGCGAGGCCACTGGGATCAGCGTGGAGCTAGGCTGGGACTGCAAACGGATCTGACAAGCAGAGAAGGCAGCCGGATAAAGCATGACAGACAAGCCTTTAGAGAGATAAACGGTCGATTCTCTACCAGATTCAATATGCTTTAAGTTCTAAAAGCGGGTGTGGTAACGCGACATCCATCTTGACTGCAAATGGATCCGACAAGCAAAGAAGGAAAGCCCAATTGAACGGTGAGGACAAAGCTTCTACGATAATTCCTGGACTCCTTACCAAATTACATACGCCTCAGATCAAGTCTCGAAAGGCTCTTACTGTATTGCAGCAGCCATGTCCTTGGTTAGGAGGTGGAACTCCGCCTTGTGGCGGGCCGACCAGTACAGGACCACCCGCTCAGGTACGTCATCCGGCGAACCAGCCGCGCGCGCGGACAGCATGTCTTGCAGGAGGGAGATGAGCGGGACGACCTGTGGAGAGGTGCAATATCAGAGATGAAATCTGGGCGCCCGGATGAAGTTTGAACAACATACTGCAGCTCTGTGGAAGTACCTGAAAGCTGTAGATAGACCCACGGCTTCCTGTGCAATCCCAAATTTCCTTCGCGCTAACTTGGTGGCACAAGATTGAAGTCTTAAAATAAAAATCGCGCGCATGAGATAGATGAGTCCTTTGCGCTGACGTGACACCGAGTTGGAGTCCTTCCTCTCCGAAGTCCGCCAAGCATAAACACAGAGCATCTGGTACGGTTCTAGAACTTTCGAATGTACGTAGTGGAATCAAATCCTGTGGGCGTTATCCAATGAGGCCTCAAGGACATACATACTGAAGGGAAAAGGAGAATTTGGTCGTAGGTTCTCACCCCGATTCCGCCAGCGTAGAGGTGGACGACGTCGTATTTGCGCCACTGGAAGGAGGTCTCGCCTCCGAACGGGCCGCTGAGCCGCACCGCGAGTACCTCTCCGTTCTTTAAGCGGTCAATGACTTCCTGGAAGAAGGAAAATGAAGAAATGGCACCTTTCATCCGCCTAAGAGAAAGACTGACTGAGACGCAGAGCTTTGACCGCGACGAAGAGGTTTGACCAAAATCACGACGGAACGGCGCATGGGGGCCCACTGGCAGTCCAAGCAATGTGTCAAACCCAGTGCTGGAGATTCTAGACAGCGGCAAAGGCTGGTCCTAAGTCAGACTCGGACGAGAAAAGGTGTCTGGTCAAGCGAAATCTCCACTACAAGGCACGTCTTTTCAAACGTCAGGAATAAACCCGGTCACAGCCTGTGGAGGAGAAACAGCACCGCTCTCCTCGTGCGCGCGCGCATTCGGACGCACTCACCGACGTCCACTTTCCGTAACGCTTCATGCTCAGCAGTATCTCCTTACTGCTGCCCTCCATCGGACAAGCGGACGAGGTTTCGGCCTTCGCGATGCTGAACGGGTGGTACTGCCAGCGACTGATGTCGGGGAAGGCCACAAAGATGTCTTGGAGTGGGGCCAGCTTTATGTTCTGCAGGCACAGACAGACCCATATCTGATTGGACCACGTGTAACTTTACGTCAGAGTCACGTACGTAAGCAATTAAAGTGTGGGCCCTAGAATAGCGGCTCAGTAAGTATGGGGTGCTTCGCAGCGAAGGACGCCGCAAGAAGCCAAAAGGATGTGCGCAAGTGAAATTGTGTTTAGGGTACTCAAGCAGTGAGAAAAGTGGGGCAAGCAGCATCGGTCAGATATTCGTCAAAAGAAGTGAAAATTTCCCCTGGTGGCCACTGTCTCAGGTTTTTGATGATGAGAAATGAAAGGGGAGTGGCAGACGAGCGTGAGTTTTACAGATATATTTCAGAACGACGAAGGGAACGTGCAAACTTCTTCATCAGGTAGTAGACGACCCATCCCTATCGACTTTACTTGATGAAGCTGTTCTAGCAGCTAAAAGAGCGCGTTTCTCACCACTGTTTTTTTAGCGAAGTGGTTGTGTCTAACCCGGCAGCTTACCTTGTCAACCGACAGCTTGATCATGACGACTGAGTCCTCCTCACAGACGCCCTTGGCGATCGCTGTCGACGTGTTCTGGATCTGGCAAAGCCGGACCGCCAGGTCGGCCGCGTAGAGGAGCAGACCTGCAAGAGAGCATTTTGTGCACTGGATTTGAGAGTTGCTTCTGAGTCTCGAGGATTGTAGGAACCCAGAAGACAACGTCGACCGTGATTTTGCTCTTTTGATAAGGTCTGGTACAAGACATGGCAGACACACTTCCTTTTGAAGTGTTTGACGTCATGATTGGGTAGTCAGCCAAAGGACGTCAAGCTACTTAAGCTTGCACAGCTAGCTTGTTTCTAGAGAGTTACAATCCTTTCCGTTCCCGCTTCCGCTTCCTCTTCCGCTTCCGCTTCCGTTTCCGTTTCCGTTTCCGTTTCCGTTTCCGTTTCCGTTTCCGTTTCCGTCCTAACTCTGGGCAAGCTTGCTTACCTGGGAGCCAGCAGGTCCACATCCAGTAGTAGTGCATCTGGGCGAAAACCACTAAGCCCACGAATCCGACGATATGTGTTTTGTAAAAGAGCTGCATATCAGCCATGAAAGAAGTCAAAAATTGACACCCCTGGCAGGTGAAGAGCAGTCTCAATCTCCGGTGCACAAAATACATCCAGCGCGACTTGAACACAATTGGATATCTAAATCAAGTACATGCCACGAGTCTGGCTGTTGAAAGTTAAGAATCTAATGCAATGTTTTGGTCAGACGCGTCAAAAGGAGTGATTGTGTTTGCCGCAAGGGCAGATTTCGGGATATTTGGTAAACAGGGGTGGAACACCTGCGCTTACCTCAAAGTACTTGCGACGGATCCAGTCGAGGGAAGTGATCCAGAGCGCGAGGCCGAAAATCCAGGAGATGGAGCCGGCCAAGAGATTGATGAAGTAGCGCTGGCCCCAGTCGAAGAACTCGTGCACGAAGCTGAATTGAATAACGTCAGTTGACAAACAGCAAGGGCGCGGCCTGTATTTGGTCACCCCGTGTTTCGTAGAAAGCTCGGGACGTTTTTGACATCTGAACGCACTCAAAATCTTGCACGCTATTTCCCGTGGATCTGCGACTGCTAGTGGAGCTCGAGAGAGAGACGGGCGTCAGACCTCGACAGTCATTTCTCGGCAATAAGTAATTCCTTACTTTCACAAAGAGCCGTTTGCAGATGACAAGGTGATGACAGGTGGACTGCGAGCAACTCGAGAGAAGGTATGTCGACTCACTTGATTTCGGGATTGGCTGTCCAATAGAGATAGTAGAACAGAGCGTGCGCAGTCAAAGACCACATAGCCATATGGCCCAGCCATCTGCAAGGAAGATGAAATTGAGTGCCGTTGTTTTCAACCTTGAGCGGTCTTTGCTGCAGACCCTATCTTCCAGAACTGCCCACGTCTTGCTTCAGACGTTCACATCCGTGACCGCGGAAGATTTTTGATTAAGCACTCACAGCTCAAAATGAATATGGTAGCCACTGTCAAAGGCCGTCCGGAGTTGTATTTAATCATAGCGCTTTATCCATCTCATCATACTCCGTCTGCATTTGAAAACGCGCCCGGTCAGATTCAAGGCGTGGGATGCTGAGTAGTCGATGTCTCAGAAAAGAGAAGGTGAAAGCTCTCAGGGATCCAAAAACGATCCCGTCAATGTAGAACATTGTGTCTCCACTTTTTCTTTAAAACAATGGTCTGAATCAGATGACATAATCACCTGTGGTAGCGGACGAGGTGCGGGAACGGGATGCCCAACATGTAGTTCAGAAACGAGCTGTGGGAGATCGGGAAGAACAGGAGCGTGAAATCCAGGTACAGAATCCAGCCCCAGGCAATGGCGATCCTGTAAAGAAGCAGGGCAAATTTCGTCAGATGGAGCAAAACGGCTGATCGATCAGGTCACACTGGCAGGCTTGTAATACACGCGCGCAATGTGCAACTCAGCTGAAGTGACCTTAGATCGATCTAGAGGTTCGTCAATGGGCAAACGTTCGACTCGACGTTGGCAAATGCAGAGCCCGATAGAACGTCAGTGAGATCGGCATGACTCACTTATCGAGGGCGTACACGCTTTTGGGTACGTTGTAGTACAGACCTAGTTCGTCCCCTGCAGAATGTTCGAGGAGGATGGAGTTTAGGCCGGAGCTACCGAAGTGCTGTAGCCTGCTTTCACTGCAATCATTGTGTTAGCGGCCTGCGCAGCACACAGCCCACAACTTGTAGAAAGGGGTCATCGAATGCCGGTTTGCACTACAGTACAAGAGGCTGCAGCTGCTAGTGACGTTTGGATCAGAGCGGGTGCAGGTGTTCCTTTGCAGATTGACACGGGCAAATTAAGCAACTCAGCACTGCCTGGCAAAGCAGCTCGAGAAGGGCATTTCCAAGAAAGGGCGTTATATCACCTGAGATGGGAAGGTTCTCAACAGCAGTCCAGAATCGAGGAACTTGAAGGATGCAGCTATCTCGTTTCCGCCTAGGCTGGCCCGCCGTAAATGATCCAGGAAAAAGACCGCCCTGACTAGTTCTGGACTGCTTGGTAGGCTTCATAAAGGCCAGATATAGTAGGGCTGAAAGACAAAATGTGACTTACAAGCGTCGAATTGACCCCAGCTGTTGATCTTGTGGCTCCATAAGCAGATGAAGTGGAGCGCAATCCAGCCAAACACCAATAGGAATTCGCCCAATGACATGCCAGATGACCACCAGAGCCAAAAGCGGCGGGGGGGGATCTGCCAGACAAAACTGCGCCGGACCTGCACGACAGAAACTCATTCTTCTTAGTCCAGCAGGCGGGAGAAAAGTAAAGGCAAGGAGGTGCAACTTGACGGCCTCCTTGATGAAGTGATGCAGAGGAAGTTTTAGTATCTTCGCATTTAACAGCTACCATACTGCAACAGAAGCATTGGTTGAAGCGCGTGTGAACCTCAGGCTATTCCGCTGTCCCTAGCACCAGAATGAAGAAGCACTGCTGGTGAATGCGCTCGCGAACCAGTATTGTTGTAGCAGCAACTAAAGAAACAAATTATTTGCCAGCAGAGTTCCGTGAGAAGCACTCGCGCTCAAGGCATAAGCCTGCTGAAAAACGAAAGTCAGGACTCCTTACCCACTCGACTCCCTCATGGGCGGCTTGTCCAAGGACCATGATTTTGTAGTCTGCCCGCGTCTTCTCTTTCTTCGGGAGCAGCCGGGCGAGAGAAACGCAGACCGCGGCAACAAAGGGGGGCAGCACGCCGAGAATCACCATCTGGGCGTCGTAGCCAGCCACAACAAAGTGCCCTGATTCCATCATATGGTTCCTGCACAGAAACCCAGGGGTAGTGCACTGGGTTAGTGCACCGTAGTCTCATCGATAAATTCAAAAATGCTTTTACGGCGCCCTTAAGGTCTTAAGCAATTATTGTTCCCTTTTGCTTACAGTGAGGCTCATACATGGAAGTGCCGCGTGCGATACTTGGGGCTCATCAGAATCGCACAAGAATGTCTTGATTAGCTGGCCTTGATGTTCAGTTAATTCATCAGCCTTACTGGTTTAACAATGCCCCTACAGAGGTTTGACAGAAAAACCAGATTTGCATGAAAGCATTTTTTAAGTGAAGCAAGGGCAGCATGGTCCTTAGTGGTGCTAAATGGAACACTTACTGAGTTCCGCTCACTGAGTACCTTCCACTTCACCCCTACTAGTAGTGAATTCATAAGGTTTTTTCTCCAAACGCCAACGATTAGCAGCGCGCAACATATAGTTGAGTATGTATGCAAGAAGACAGCTGTGCAGCAGAATGTAATAAGGCAACGTGACAGCCACGTCAACATGTCTCCAAATACTCTTTCTGACAAACTTAGAAGCAGTAGATTACTCATGGAGTATGATCAAAAAAGAAGGAAGCTCTTCTTCAACCCGAACAGAACTCTCCTATCTGGCCTTCCGAAAGAACAGCTATCAGTGTGGGTTCCTCACTTGAGGTTGAGGGCAGTCCGCATGTCCTGCCACAAGTCGCCCTCCTGGTAAGCCCATGACCACTTGGGCAGGTTAAAAACCACAGTCCAGAAGACGAACGCGAACACGCACGCCCACGCGATTGCGAACAGCACTAAGCGAAGCATACCGCACAGGAAAAGCAGACCCCCCGCGCGTTCCTTTGGAGGAGAGACCTTCCCCTCGATGCCCGCCATACTGCGGACCAGCCGAACGCGTCCGTTGGTGATAAGGACTGCCAACGTCTGCGCAGGGAGCTACTGAGATGACAGGTTCTCGCGTGGCTGTTTTTGGAAATGCTTGTTTAGATAAACGTGAGGTTGTGACTAAACTTTAATTTGTGGTGCTGCCAGCGGTGGGGGCGGCGAGGAGACTGCCAAGAGAAGTGCTCGGGCAAGTGCAATGTACGCAGCATAGGTATGTGGTAGGAATTTTCTGATAATTTTCAAACCTAAATAGGTATGCGTTCTTAGCTGGTTAGAGTCGAGCTACTGTCACTTCCGTCGCGGTATTGACCAAGTAGCCCGTGTAGGTAGTTCTCAGCTTTTCGAGTTTGGAGAAGCCTGTCGTAGGCCATAGTAGCTCTTTGAATCAAGCCTTGGACGACAATTGTATAGAGTAGGAAAGAAGCCTATCACTTCTAGTGGTACCTAGTACTGGCATATTGTTGGGCGTCAGATTTTTGTTGCACAAGATATGCGTACTTCCGGATAGAGATGAGGACGTCCTGCGATATCTCACGTTGGCCACGCGCCGAACAATCGGCCGCTTGCAATGATTGCATGGTCCGTGAACGGAAAATGGATGACGTACAAGGGTCATGTGTCGGAGTGTGTAGGTCGACGCCCAAATTGTGTTGGCCAGGAGCCGTGCCGGAGATGTTGAAATCAAACGTGTACACATAAACATGTTACATAGCCCTGGTGGCCGGGCACTAGAGAGTGACATACTTTGGGGCGCGCCTAGCTCGGCCGTCGGCCCACTCGATCTGGCTGCATACGGTGGCCGGAAAACAGGCCGCCCGGCGGCCTGTTTTCCGGCCCGGTCAAAGTCGACTCGGAGGAACTTCTCGGCGCCGCACGGCGCAACGCCGGGCGACCTCGCACTTCCGTGTCGGCCCGGGCCGTGGTGGTAAAGTACCGGGGCCCTCAAAGGTTTCTAGAATCCAGCTGCCGACTTTACCGGCCGGCCATACCGATCGACATACCGACCTTCCGGTAACAACCCGGAGTTCCGGAATCCGGACTCGAGTCCCGCGGCGCCGACTCCCCCCCGCCGGGCGCGGCCCACCCACTCGTCCGTACGACCGACTGGTAAATATGGAAGGAGAACCGGGTCCGTACGTCGGGATCCAATCAGGCCACCCGATCGCAAACGTGTACACTAACGAGGTATAGGTACGCAACGTACACTAGTACCAAGGTACTCACTGGATAAAGTACCCAATGTGGGACCAATGTAAGAGGCTCCTGGTAGCTTTTAAGGTGCCGGAGAGGTAGCCTCCACCTACGTCGCAGGACTTTGGCCAGCCAGCTCGCCACCACGCTTGTAGAGGAATTCCTTACTCCGTAATACGAGGAGCTCTGTAGAAGCTGGTTTCAGTGTACGTAGAGCTGCGAGATCACTGACATGAGACGATCAATGGTTAATCTGAGAATGCGGCGGTCCAAGATTAAGGGCGCTGGACTAGAAGGATCCCAAGCACCTCTGTAGACGCTCGAACCTAATTTGCCTTGCCGACCCAACTAGAGCCTAGTCGTATCGTCCCAATGGCTAGCTCACGCCCAACCAGGGGCGTCTCTCTTTTCGCGCTGTCGGCAGCCTTATACGTGTTTGTTGCACTAATTCTACCAAGCTTGGCTGCCGCACAAATCAGTGCTGCCGCACCGGCCGCCGCAAATGCAACCGTAGCTCTACAGACCCCTGTCAACGTGGCAGATGCATGCACGAAAGAGGTGTTCCACAGCTTGACGTACCATTATCGCAGCTGCAGCCGGAAGTTCTTCCATTATGAAGACCCAGGTGAGACACAAATTGGACATTCTTGATTTCAGACCAGCCCAATTTTCCGCTCATCTCTTCCAGATTACAGCCAAGCCGAGATATTCCAGGTTATTTTGAGCTATTTTGACCACTTATGCGCCGGCTGTGCAGATGCAGTATGAGGAGGGGGGCATATGGCAGCAGACATTTATTCTGTTGAAAGCTGAACTTGTGTATGTGCTTCGGACCGTACAGAATACTTTCGATATTCAAACGGATTGAGCAATCAGATTTCCTGATTGCACACTCTTGAAGCAGCCACGAGAGAGCTGGTATTCGTAAAAATTGTGCTCTTCTGGTCAAATAGGGACTAAGGTGGCCAAGTTTGCAGCTCCGAGCTGGAGCCCAGTGAATGCACTAGTAGCAGCAGGATTATCCGGCTGCTAGCTCCAAGTTGACCCCCTTTCATGGTAGAGGTTTCTTGACAGAAGGGACATCTCAGCTCTGAATCTGCTCATTGTTGGGATTCCATGTTGACGCGACGCAACCTGCTTGTAGCCTTACCAAAATAATTCTGCCAGACCGACTTCTACCACTTTTGAAGGAATAGACGATCAGTTTTCCCGAGTGTATTACTGAGCTTCTGACCTGTTCTCGTCATGATCCTGCTCCAGATGAAGACTGCTGCCAGGGTCTGGCCCACTTCTACGGCCCGGAGTCACCCATGCCCTCTCGCAACTGCTTCTGTGACGAGACGTATGCTGCCTGGTTCTCTGCGTTCGAAGACCGTACCTACTACCCCATGGCGTCAGCGTTCAAAGTATGCAAGTAAGTTGACGCTGCCAAGAGCCTGCTGAGAGGAGACACCCTGTGATCTCATCACTGTCCTTTAGAGCCTGTTAACATGGCAGGCAGTTGCTACAGTCTCCGTTGTACAGCTGTCAAGTCAAATTCAAAAAAGAGAAAATCAGAGAAGTAAAGTGCTGACATGTTGATTTGATAACCTCCCAGGCAGCCTAGATGTGTTCGTGTCTTCCTGAGGGATACAGTGACTTTGCGGTCCACCGGTCCTACAAACTCTCGATTTAAACTGGCAGAATTTATGCTGCTCTGATCTGTCAACCGTCCGCATTCCCCATTGTTCGTAGGGGCCAGGCCAAGTGGACTACAGCTACGATGAGATCTCGCTGGTCCTTGCTCTACGCTTCTGCATTTTAGGCTTTGAAGATTTGCGTCAGAAGATTTTTTGCAAGAATACGTCTTTCCAGGCGCTTCCTTACGCTGCGCGCGGTGTTTATATCGTTGAAAGTCATTTGCGAAATTGCTCTAACCAGAGGCGTTGAGCTGCTCTTTCAGGAAGTTCAACATCACAATTGGGTACTTTGACGACGGGGAGGGCCCTTGCGCGGGGAAGGAATACTCCGCAGACGATATCGAAGCGACGTGCATTGACTGCTACACAAGCGCGCCACACGCATCCCTAGGAAATTGGCTGTCCCGCTTGGACGAAGACTGGGGCATCGCTATGTCGTTTGCCATCTTCTGGGTTTCTCGTGAGTGAATCTGGCCCACAAGGCTGATTTCCCTTGATTATGCATAAATGTTGCTCAATGCTGATGATGATGACGCGTCGAGAACCTTGATATATGCACAGTCTTTCACATTCTGAAACTGTAACAGGCATTTGAGCTTTCTGTTGCAGGACCGTAAGCTCTTGTGTTGAGTGCAAGATCAGTCTTACAGTGAATTTCAGCATGAACTATCCTTTTGATTTCAAAGGGGCTTCGAGAGCGTCAGCAACTTTGCTCTGCGAGGGTTATGGGCCAGATTTTCCACTATTTCACGTGAGGGTAGGGGAAGGAACGACCCAGGTGCAGTCTACGCGGAGGGTTTTCCTCTGAAAAGTGTGAAACGAGATTGGCAACGTGTGATGCCTGAGGACGTGCCTGAATCTCTATAGGAAAAGTCCTTCTTATTTGATGTGAACAACAGGTCTTCAGTGAACTACGAATTGATGTACGATTGTTTGCTGGAGCACTGACATCAATCTTACTTTTTTGTGCAGTATTTGGCTGCGTCCTTCTGGTGGGTTCCGTGACATTAGATTTCGCAAAGGACGCCCAGAGGCTTGTGTCGAGGAAGAAGACTTGACTCAGAACGTTAGGTAGTTACTTAGAGCAAGGACAGGTCCAAGAACTTCATGTAGACCCAGTGTGGTGCTCATTTATCGGAAGCGCGGCCACTTTGATGGCGTCGAAACTCTCTGAAGCTCTGAGCTGATGCAAGGCTCTCCTATATTTGAATTATGGTTACTGATCACGGTCACTAGCTATCGCGGGCTAATTTCACGCGACCGTACGACTACTCATCCACAGACTCGGACGTACTCGGTCACAAGTATCAGTATATATCAGAAAGCTGGTTTGGGACTCTCCCACGAATGGCTACATGCCCGTCTTGTAGCTGAGGCGGAGACGTAATCATTTGCGACCAAGGCTTTTTTGTTTGCCTCCACGTCCCTTGCATGGTGTGATGATCAGGCTACATATATGGCCGGCTCATTCAAGGCCGTTTGAGAAGCCCGTTTACCCATTTTGCGGAATCGTCTTTCTGCCAGTGAAGGTTCATAAACAGCTCGCTCCAAGGTAGCTGCTAACTTTCAAGCATAAGAAGCCGGCCGTGGCTCACACATTCTGCAATTTTTTTAATCGAAAAAGGAAAGTATACCCATTTAGCATGTTGTGTCAGAGAGGTTCTGCTCTCCATTTTCATGGTATAAATTCGGTAATTTGTGGAAATGATCCAATGATCTATTATGGTTGGTCGTAGGTTCTAACAGGGCTCGAAAGGTCCTTGAAAAGGGCAAGTGCTGCATCTTGAGCCCCAAGCTGCTAAGTCTGCATCCGCTGATGTTTGTACCAGAGTCCCAGCATGTTGCCGCGTGTTCATTATCTTCAAAGGTTACCGGCTAATCAGGGTTCCTTTAGAGCCCGTCTTGAGCCTCTAGTAGTGTCAGAGCTACGAACGTTTGGTCTGTACGGTCAACACGACCGGAAGAGATTCATCCGAATCAGGGGGCGTGCATACGTGATCCGCAGATACATTTGGAGGTTCTACTCGCCTACGAACGAATCTGTTTCGAGTCCCTCATTTAGGCGTCGAATCAGGTACTGATTGCAGGACTCATGCCCGCCTCTTGCTCTCGACCGGCTGATTACGAGCATCACACAAATTTCTTCACAACCCCACGTCCACGAATCTTCGCATGATTACTGGCAGGACGAGAAACTGATCTGGCTTCTTTAATACCCCATCATCTTACATGAGATTTGACTCGCGGATAGGACACGGGCGTCGAGGAAGGCGCCAACTTTTCAGCCTTAAAGGTTTGCGCCGGCGCCGGCATCTGGCCAATATGCAAACCTGCCCGACGCTGCGTCCAAATCGTAACCCGGCCACGACTCAACCAGCCCCTCAACTCGCGATCAATCTAAATCGTGAAGTACAGTGCAAAAGTAGAGGAAACCGAACGGGCTGATCAAGAGTCTTTGAAGTGAAGTTACGCCAAGCTGCAAAACGACTAGCAGTCGTGCGTACGTCCTGGGCCCTTCTTGCCAGGCGACACGGACCATGACAGCGCCCGGCCGGCTGCAGCCTACTAAGTGCTTACGGACGATCATTAGTGCCTGCCGTAAGCTCTTAGATGCGCTATGCAGCTATATATGATGGGAAGATACGTGCTTGCAAGAAGCTGAGGCTCCGACAGGGCTTTGGTGGGCCAGCGACATGAGGATCGACGGGCGCCCGGCCGCGAGACGCACGAGACGACGTGGCGCGGCCGCCGAACAGTTCCGAAGTTCGAGGACCGTGTCCGGTCGGCGGCCGCCGCGGGGGAGTAATATGAGACTCGAGAGTCCCCGAGGAAAGAAGACGCCCGCATCGGCCGGGCAAAGGATGAACAATCTGAGGACACCACGCTCAT